CCGTACCCCGTACCCCCCCCCCAACCAACCAACCAACCAAATTCCGCAGTATTGCTATCATGTCTACCGGCGGGATATCGATAGAGGATTATTATGTATACATATCAGACTCGAGCTTTTGCATAGGTAAAGTGTAAGCCGAGCTTATGGTGTGAAGTAAACTGATAGTTCTGAAGTCGCTACTGCAATCGTTGTCATTTATGATTGGTGTGAGACATGAACTTATGAACATTGTACCAATTCAACTGACCTAGTCTGGATTAGTACTCACGCTGGAGAAAGAGGTTCGCTTCAAGTTCGCTTCAAAACCATCTTCGTGTCTTGTTGCTAACAAATGGACACGTCGTTAAGGTAGTCCTTGTATGGGTGAGCTTTTTAAGAAGATGGGCGAATATTTCACCGCTTATCGAGTCATAAGAAACGAGACGTGACCTTCGTCTCCTGGCTTTACCTTATTGTGTGTTCCAAAAGCAGATCTGTGATGCTATGTCTTATAAGTTGCAGTGCCGCTACGTTCCTATTGCCTCTTACATGTTTGTACTGTCTGCGCATCAGGAATATCCCTTCTAACAGGGTATGTAGCTGTGCAGTTTTGAGTAGGTCGACCCAAGTTTTTTCCTTGTCGCTACGCTGATAGATGAACGGTAGTCACGACCACGTTCCCACTATCTGCAAAGGTACGAGGTCCTTCACTACACTGCATTCCCGACGTTTAGCAAGCGGCTACAACGCAGGGGTAAGCGAAATTTTATACTAGTCGTTCGTGCTACTCTTACTTTGCTCCTACCATGCATCAACACGCCTCTCGGAATAGATGTAAGTCTGTTTCGTAGTAGTCCTTACGATAAATGAAATTCACGGAGATTTTTTTTCGGATGCACAGGTACGGTAATATCTTCCATCTACAGCTGGTCTTTCTTTATTGTCACCATGACTGCTGACGGTATGTTCCCGTCCTAAATATAACAATCTTCGGTACCTGATGTGTATTTTTGAGTCATTATGGCCATTCGAATTCATGCGATGTTTCCAGCAGCTAAAGGAATAAAGACATTCCTCATAATTGCGGTTTTGATACTGGAGTCATTTCGCATTGTCGGATTAGTCCCAGAACAAGAACACGAAGGTTGATATCATTTACCTTGTCCCTTTACTCTGTTTAACAGGAATGTCTACTCAGGCGAAGGCATTGCCTTCCTCAATCTAAATCTCTGTGTAACTGCCAATACCTGGAATTTTCTTACGTATTCCGAAGTCACGAGGATTCCCCCGCTGGTTTTTGTCACTTCGCTTTTGAGTCTGGCAATATGGGGATATTGCAAGCATGCCGCAAATAGAAAGAAAGTCACCGGACACTGGTCTGTCGGTTTGTGGATGAAGCTCCTCGTGACGCAAAACTTTGCATACTTTTTGATGTACGTGCTTGTTTCTAGGATCATTGATAGCTTTATTTACATCCACGTAGTGTCCTATGCTGCTACATTGTCATGGCTTCTGCTGTGTTTACGGGGCAGGTGAGCCTATTCACATCTCCACGTTTTTCTCATAACTTATCTCCTTATCATAGACCACGATGCTATTGTTTGGAGCAGTACTGGCTAGCCTAGTTCCCTTCATAATTGTGCCTCGCCTGTTACTCAGTTTTCGGAGCTATCGTCCGGGAGGGGTCATTTTCAGTGGGGACTCCAATTCTTCATATAATCCTTTGAGTATCACCACCTGGTCTTCATTAGACAAGGATTTACCCCTTGAATGCACATAAAGACCCAACAGATGTACAGAGTGCAATGTCTCTTCTTTCCAAAACGAGTAAAATCTTGGAGTGCACCATTTTCAAGATCCTTTAAATATGCATGTCCTTTCATATTCATTGCAACGTAAAATATTGGCATCGTTATGTATCCTCATACTTGCTTTTCTCCTGCGTCTGAGTGCTTCGGCGAGCCAGAATTGATACGCAGAATTACGAGCTGTCATGTTTTCAACTTTGCTGACACAGCCAACTTATAACCGACGATATGCAAAATCCTCGATAATTCCATTATCAGTCAAACTCCAAATCCCTTATTCAGTAGCGGGTACAGCACTTTCAAAGGTTCTAACATCATTGCATTCTGCAGCCAAGATGTATCCTGAATTTCTGACAAAGGACTTATACGCGCTCTAAAAGCCAGCGATAATTGACAGTAAGAATAGTAAGTGAAGGTACAAAAACAAATACCAATTACCAATATATTATAAACCCCTCTATTTGAACATGCCTCGAAGACGAGGCAACGCGAGTGCAACGTTGTCTTGTATCGGCTGCCATTGCTGCGTAGGAGGTTGTGACTGAGGGGGAGCAGAATTACCGCCACTTGAAGATGATGAAACGGGAAATGCCGAAGTCGCGGGTGATGGCGTCGAGCCTGTCGTTCCTCCTCTCCTAGATGGTGCTGACGAAGGAGCACCAAACGTGCTTCTGAGGCCATATACAGAAGTCGAAGCTGCGGGTCCAGATGCGGGAGCTGGAGCCTGGATATCATCGTTTTCATCCGCATCGTCATCCATGTAGTTTATGGCAGCCAGTCGGTCTATTGAGTAGAGACAAGTGTAAGCTCCAGGGAATGGTGGCATAGAATGCTAGCCGAATACATACTGGAAGCGATTGTGTAACAGAACGAATCATCATCGGGTGGTGGATACAGTTTCTTCAGCTTCAGCAGTCGGCGAGCATTTTCATAGTACCTCGGATACTCTTCATCGAGCCTGCGATGGCGTTACTACACCTAGAAAGCTTATGGCAGCGATGGAATCTTACCACGCCGGCTCTTGACCGCTCCCCGATGACCTTGCGTCAAAGGTTTTGGGCAATATCAGGAGCTCAGCGAGCTCGGAGTCGTCAATGACGTAATTGTAGCGGAAGAAAGGCGACTGTGCTATCTCATAGGAGCCTATCATCGCGCTATTATCCTCCCAAACGAGGAGTTTCCAGGTGTTGGGTATGATAGGGTCCCAAGGCAAGGCTTTGACCGTGGGCGAGGAAGGAGGGGGACGTAGGCTGACACCAGTGAGATCCAACGGGATTCTCCATGTCCTCGCATCCGTCAGCGAGCGTTCAGTCCCAGGTCGCCAGTAGGTCTTTCTGGAGCGGGGGTTGCTGGAGTCTATTAGGACCGTGCGCCAGCCACGCTTTACGTACTTGCTCTTGAGGTTTTCATCCACGTTCAAGATTCTCACTATTAGCGCTTCTCTCTTCTCGAAAGTCGGCATGGGGTATAGGGCGTATGCACAGTCGAATGCAATGAGGTTCATAACACATGCTGAAGGATACGTGAGCTAAAATGAAAGCTAAGAAGAACACATACTTACTCGTGTAGGTCTGCATGATGGCGGTGAATGGATTGATGGCCGCTTCCATGACGTGAACTTTGCGCGGTGCCTCCTGGCTCTTCGAGTCTTTGATGAAGGTGAATATGTCGCGCACAGCTTTTACGCCGGCATATTCTGGTTCGTCCCACATCGTTTTGGGGCCCACTGGCTGCTTGGGATCCCATCGTGGGACAGCCTTCCGGTAGTCGGCCGCTTGGTCTGGTCGCGACTGGTAATGGTATCCCTCGGCTACAGTTAACCAGTCAAGAAGCTCGAGGGTATGACCTGGGTGAGTGTAGACGTCCAGATCAGACCCTAAGTAGCAGGTCCTATCGAAGAACTGGAGGGCAATGGAGCCCGAGATCAGTGTCCCAGTGCGAGCTTGGAGCGAACGAAAGGATAGGGGGTCCACGAAGAAACGCGAGAGATGACGATTGATGTTGTACGCGCGGTGAAAGAAGTACGCAGAGGCCTCGTGAATGACTTTACATGTGTGCGACACCCGGATGAACTCAACGGGGGAGAGCATGGAGAAGATGTTTTCGTAAACCGGCGCGCGGGAGAAGACCTCCTCCACGAGACGAGCCTGGCATGACATGTTGCTCTGCTGGTCGTACGCAGACACACGGAGAACAGATGCAGATTCAGAGAAAGTCGGTGTGAATGATAAAGTCGTTCTTGGAGATCAATTGCAAGCAGAGGTTGATGGCAGACGACACAAGACTACATATGAGACATACGGACCGTCGACCGTATGATGGGCGCTTGGTTTTGAACTCCGCCCAGCGCGTCCAGTGCGCCCACGCAACGCAAGAGTGGTGACTGACATCAACTGTCATGCTGCCATGTTGGGCGGCAGGACTCTTCCAGCTGCGGGCCATTCAATTACGAATGGTCCCTGCCAACACTCTTCTTTGACATGACCGACGACTCCGACAACCATAAGTTGATGATGATGAAAACTGAGGTTTGTCGGCCTTCCACCAGCATCCTCACCATGGTTCATTGAGCCTTAGACTTACCATGCAACGTTCATGCTTCAAGTCTTTGTTTCAGGAGAGCGACTAGGTCGTCTTCACGCTGTACGACGTCTTGCGGCCCTGGAATGACCTCCGCGGATGCAATTCGACCTGTCAATAGCGACGTACATGATCGCCGAAGCGCAAGTGCGCGCGCAGAGTTCACCACATGATTATCTTGGCTAAGTTGATGGCAACCGTGACAGCGCAGACGTCAGAAGCTACATAAACGAATGCCACTGAGGAGAACGGCAGACAAGTCTCACCGCTAGCTCACCCCATCACGCAACAAACCACCACCGTTCTACATCACACCCACCTCAAGATGCACTTCACCTTCTCCGCCATCCTCGCTATTGCCGGCGCCAGCTTCGTCGCGGCATCCGTCGACGCCCAGTGGTCCTTTGACATCTACCAGACCAACGACTGCAGCGATGGTCTCCCCCCTCTCAGCCAGAGCGGCAGCGGCAAGACCTGCTCGCCTCAACCCGAGTTCGGGTTCTTCGGCGTCAAGGTGCACAGCGCCGGTGGATGCACCATCAACTTCGTCGGGGAAGGCTGCAGCGACGTGCTGACGAACAGCCCCGGCAAGATCCCTGCGGATGGCAAGTGCCACCCTCTCCCCAGCGGAACCACCAGCTATGCTGTCGTTTGCAACTGAAGGGTGGATTATACGGAAAGACGGAGGCAGGCTGGTTGTGTGGAGCAGAGTCGAAGGATAGCTGGATTTGAAAGCGTCTCGGGACGTTCGTGAAGGTTAGAGTCCATGCGTCTTAAGTTCTACGTGTGTTGACCGTCCCCGAACCTGTTACTTAGTGATGATGAAACATGCATTGGTAAAGGTAGATCGTACAAAGATTTTAATCAGGGAGACTCAGGAAACGAGAAGTAATTCGGGAGTGGGGAGACTCGAGGAACGTCTTCATCTAGCCTGCGTACACCCCGCGAACCAATAAACTTCTGCCTCTCCAGTTCTTCTTTTGCCTGTTTGCAATACCTAGGTAGCTCTCCGTCCAACCTATTGATGCACCGTCAGAGTGTTCATCAGAACACTACGGTGCAGGTGGCTTACCAGGGCCATTCATCCATGCGAGCCAGTTTGACAAAGCGACTCGCAACACTCTGTCGATCGGGCTGTACCACGTACCCGGAATCAACCATGGCCTTGACCAGCGTTTCGTCGGATAGGAAGTAGTCGTAGCGGAACGTGATGGACTTGACCATGACGCATGAGACGCCCATGGCGAGACGCCCGAAGAACTTGACATATATCATCTTCCAGGTATTAGAAACCATTGGATCCCACGGAACAGCTTTTGAGGAGACGGAGGGTGGAGAGCGCTGCGCAACGCCGGTCACGTCCAGGGGGACTCTCCACGTATATCTGTCCTGGACCGAACGCTCGACTCCCGGGTACCACAGGGAAGGTTTGCTGCCGATGTCTTTGGCGTCCTCGACGTCCGTCTTACAGAACTCCCAACCCCGTTCTGTGTATTTCTCTACTGGGCCTACCACGCCCTGGTCGATCGTCAGCAACGACTTGCGTTCCTCATATGTTGCCACGGGATAAAGAGAGTATGCGCAGTCAAACGCGATGATATTCATCACGCAGGCTAAAGTCATTATCCATTAGGAATGTTAGCGGACATGAAGTGCTTTGATGGCTTACTAGAATGGAAGAAGAGAACGGTACCAAGCGGGTTCACCTCGCTTTCCATCACCTGTATTCTGAGTGGCTCGCCACCATCCTTCGAATCTTTGATGTAGTGAAAGACATGGGCGAGGCCCCTCAGCTTTACGCCGCCGTAGTCACCAGACGGCTTCGAGGTCTGGGACGTGAACCGGTGCGCCGGGCTCCAACCCGCGATATCATGGAACGAGCTTGTTGGACGGTCCTCGGGAGGCGCGAACCGATAACCGGCTTTCTCAGTCAGCCAGTCTAGAACCTCGAGGGTATGTCCGGAGTGGGTATACACGTCTAAATCAGCCTCGGGGTAGAGAGATCTGTCCAAGAACTGGAGCGCGTTCGACCCGGAGATAAGGGTGCCCGTGCGAGCCTGCAAAGAACGGAAAGCTAGGGGATCGGAGAAGTACCGAGAGAGATGACGATTGACATCGTATTCGTGGTGTATGAACGCCTGGACCGCGTCATGGGCTGTCTGACAAGCCCAGGAGGTCCTGATCAGCTGGCGCGGGGAGAGTTCAGATAAGATGGTTTCGTATATGGGTGCACGTGAGAAGATCTGGTTAGCGTGATGGTTCTGGTTTTGTTGAGACATTTCCTCTGTGACAGAAGACGTCAGGCTGGTGAATGAGGAGCTTTATCGGTCCTCGAGGGACGGAGTGGAGAGATGGGCAGAAGGGATTTGAGTCGTCGTCACACTCTGATGCAGCCCCGCTGGCCGTGACAACGCCGCCACTTTTCGCACCGGTGGAACTTCTGACAACGTTCTGCGCAGTTGATCAAGAGATCAACACGAGGTACGGCGAGATCCGAGCATCAATGCAAAGAAACCGAACCTTGATCTTATAGCAGCTCAACTCGCAATTGCCATACGATGTATGTCTCTTGATAACGAGATCATCCCCTACTTTTCTGAAACGCCATGTCTGGGTATTATGATCGTGTATGAATGTGAGCGGCGACTTGGACACGAAACCGGAGGATGAGCGCCGGTGCAACGATATGCGCTTCCGCTCATCAATTGAACCTGAACAACGGGCCATGCATATTGTTAGCTGGAACGTAGACGACATTTGCTTCTCAGAACGCGCCTACAACCTTCACCCTGAAAATTTTTCGATCGAAGGCCTCTTTCACAGCTGTCACGCAAACCCCTAGTATGAGCCCGAGGAAAGCGCCGATACGGGAGAATCAGTGAAGAAGCGATGAATTGGTGATATTTGATGCTGTATGCGTCGCATTGAGGTATCAGGAGAGTTTCAAGTGCGTGAGCCACGGATTAGCTCTCCATCCCAGAGCGTGGAGATTCTAGGTGGGCTCAACGACAACGGAGCGGACAAAAACGATTGGTCGACAAAAGTCTTCACAAACTATCATAAAAGGCAATGTCGTTTAGTTCATGCGGCTCAGAAAGTGATCATAACGCAAAATACGAAGAGAAACATACATAAGACTGTGGTGGTGCTTGCGACATCGACGATAGTGGTCGCGGTGAAACATACGATCCGAGAAATGACCCGTGAGAAAGATAAACCCAATTGAGACGCGATTTCGTCATAGCTCTTCGGAGGCAATACAGGCTCATTGTTGGAGACTGTTGGAGATTTGCTTCTGAACGTGGATCTCGCGCGGTTTCAACGCGTACCTCCACCACACCAGGTCCCTTACTTGACACCTACAGCTCACTTCATCATGCAGGACCCAGCTAAGGAGGTTTCTCACGTCATCGAGCTCCTGTCGACATCGCGATCCCCGTACATCACCCGCCAGACTGTCGAGAAGTTCTACACTGAGGACGCATCCTTTCGCCACCCGTTTGTCGCTGTGGAGAGCAGCGCAACCTCGAGAGAAAGGCTTATAGGTATATTTGACTGGTATTGCACTATCGCAGAAACTTCGTCGTCAAAGTTCCATTCTTGCAGTACGTATTTTGATGGCGACTGAGAACGTGCTAGGCTGATAACATACACGTGCGGTGCTACAGCCTTCGACGAACACAACCAACTCGTCTATGTAGACGTGTCCCAGACTGTCTCAATACACTACAGCCCGTTTAGCCCCACTTCGTGTCGGTGAGCCGTTCCACCTCCGTGCTTGTGGGCGATATGATGCTAACAGGGTGCCTTACTATCATCCAGGACCGTGATCCGTATGAACCTACAGAAGCGAGACGGAAAGTTCCGCATCAAAGATCAAGAAGACTTCTTCCACCCATCAGTAAGCATCTGAGAGATATTGAACGAACACATGACGAGCACATCAAATAGGACGCACTGGCGTCGATCGTTCCGCCTCTCGCACCTCTGGTACACATCCTACTGGCAATTTCGGCGATAATCATGGGATACTGCGCTATTCTCTCCGCATGGCTACGAGGCACCATTAGAGTCATTGTTGGAATGGCTTCGAATGCTCCGCGAGGGCGCTCTGAGACGCCTACACACCCAAACGGAGGCGGGCGCAAGAGTAGACATGCGTCCGAAACGGAATCCTCGTATTGGAATGGCAAGATAGATGAGAGTGGCAGTGGGCGCAGGAGCCGCAAGGGCTCTCGAACAGCGTCTGGAGATAGTAGCGGTGAAGCTAACGAGAGGGAAATGAAGTTGCCCCGGCAGTGCTAAGTCGGGTCCTCGAGCTGAATTTACGATAATCGTTTTGCACTCGAAATTTGTTAGACCGCTCGCGATGTATTTGACTTGTACATATCTTTATTGTCCATATACGCTTAACACGTTATTTCGACACTGCCCCACTGCAGAATTTATGGTAGACACACGCGTAGTTTTTAGTCCTTGCTAGAAACGTAGTCCAATAAACATATCTACTTTAGGTGCGCCGTAATGTCAGGCTGAGGAGAATCATGACCTTCAGCGTTCCTGGATTTCTCATAATGATCGAGCTTTTCAGCCCGCTTATCAGGATCGCTCGTCTCGACGACTCCAAGAGCGTGATGGATTTGGGTGCTCGTACTCTCTCCGGTATACTTGCCTCCCGTGATCCTCAAGCTCCTGTTACACATATCGTTAACTTCACATCCAAACGGCGACGCGGAGGCAACGCACGTTAAGATCATCGCCATTATCCCCATCATCCAACCCGAAAGAGCGAGCATAATGCCAACAATGGGTGCGAGGGGCGGTAGGATCATAGCGGCAACATCCTGAACAATCTCGTTAGTTATCAGGAATGTAAGATTCAGAATCAGTGTGACTTACCACCCAATGGTACAGATCCTCCTGTTGGTAGATGAATAGGCGCCCATTAATCTCCTTCAAGGAGAGTCGAACGTTCACCCTGGCGGGGGAGGACGTCACAGTCATCAACGTGAAGCAAGAAAAGCCGTACATACCTCGCAGGTTTCTTAGGGAAGGGGCTGAACCACAAATGAAAGTTATGCTCTGCCTCAAGCATGACCACTTTTGTCGATTCGTCGTACACTGCGACGCGGACGGCATGATCAACACTCGCCATGAAAACAATGTCAGCGAAGAGAACTATACGCACTAACGCTCTTGGTTCGAGCCTCAGTGTTGGGGCTCATGATGCGGTACAGCTCGAAGATGTTCTGGATACCCTTGCGAGTCCCCGCCTGGCAGACCGGGTTCAAAAGTCGCGCGTCAGGGGTGTAATACTTCTGGAAGATACCCTCAAGGGCTTTCGCATTTGGCGCAGTGCAGAGGTCCGTGAGGAGAACGCGAACTTCGTCTTTAGGGTTTTGCATGGTTGACCAACGAGGATGAGAGAGGATGGAAATGACTGCAGAGGAAGCTGCGTAGCCGCTTGCATCTTAAGTCGCTCGCGCGACCGGTGAGCGAGATACCCCTCTCTGAAGTCGCTCTCCTAAATGTCGGCTTAGGAGCTTGAAAAGTGATCAGCTGGGTTGCCGCGATATGCAGGGAATGCAGCGGCTCCTGGAGCGTTCACTCCAGCCGCTTTCTTGGAGGTTGTTTATGTCAGGAGTCAATCAAACACATGCATGTTATATGGACTGACCGCAATCATGACACTGACATTACCTCATGAAAAGCTTTATCGACTGCGTTCCGCGTTCTAGGGCTTGGGCGCATCGAAAGCCGCAGTTGCAATTGAGACCTATCGCTTTGAGTTGTGCCATGTACAACCCAGCGTCCCAGCGCCGTATGCGCAGTAGCTGCGAACCATTAGCAATTCTGAGACCGAAGAAAACCTTGAGGCTGCTGACCTGTGTCGTGAATTAGCACATGGTGAGCAACTGGGTGCGTTCCGAGCGGCGATCTGAGCGACGCATTCGATTTACACTCCGACCGGGCATATCCGCTCATTTGTCGGAATGGTAACGTTACAGCTTCGGTTACATGGATCAGGCCGACGCCACGTACCGTCCCTTGCAAGTCTCGAGGACATCCAAGCAGACACCCCAAGGCTAGACTATTTCCTTCCAGTACTACAGCATCTCAACTTGCTTGCGGTATCTTTTCGCATCGCATCAAATAGTATGCTATGACAATGGCGAGATGGTGGCAGCCTTGTTTCGACTTCGCTGATTCCCCAACCGAGAACAGCGGACGCCTGCAGCTGCGCAGGGCTGTCACCCTCGTTTTAACGATATCCTTAGCGTCCAAACATCTCTCTCATCCACTAAGTCCTCGAATGTATGTGTTTCGGCTATATGGCTCACAGATACCAAACACGGGGACGCCACCTGATGCACGGTTCCACAGACCACGGACCAGCGCTTTTAACAAGCTTTCGATATCGATAGCTTTACTCGATGGGGATGAAGGGCGCGCATACAAGCGCCTACAAGTCGGTCATCTGGTCTCCTTGATTGCGCCCTCCCACCTTATGCATAACGTTTCGGGAGCGAGAAGTCCCTTGTACTCAGGCACCGGTCCGTATCGCATTTCCGTGTAGCCAGTACTCAACGTTCTTTCATTGTACGGCAAGTATGAGGTAGGAATTCTCGACTGTACGTAACGTTGTTCGTAATCGCCCTCCCGATGTGAAGGCGTGATTCCGCATCGCACTTGCTGTAGGTCTTGTATCTGACATTTCGACACTCTAACATAGCTGAGCTGTCATGCTAGGGAACATCCTGTGCAATGAGTTCATGTTCTTGGTCTATCTAGATCTAGCTTTGATGTATGTCCATTCTCGTCCGCCCTCGCATAGATCTTGAGAAGAGCGCTCAGCGATACAGTCTCATTTATAGTCGCTATCAGTGCGGACTGGTGTACTTGAGGACCTGCTACCCCCCGCACTCATCGATTGCTGTTACCATGTCCGAGATTACACTGGACCAACTACTGACCTATTATCTGGACAGTAGCTACACCATAGGTAAGCCCATCCCTCACCGTTGTTTCGATTTCAAAGTCTCAAGCTGGTGAAACAAAAAATGCAGTCGCGGTCGCAACGATAGTCATCTATGACTTCCGTGAGTTTGAATTCCAAACTAATCGGTTTCAATTGGTATTCATACTCAACAGTGCTTACTATCGATCAAGAGGTGATCCCAACTAATGCTCTCAATGCTTTTAATACACTGTATCTTACGCGGATTGACTTGAGAAGGTTGATCTTGTATGGGTGAGATCATATATCTTATTTCCATCGCAACCTCTGACAAGCTCTCAGAAACGGCAACTGACCTCTGTGTCTTGGCTTTTCTTTATTGTAATTGCACTCACCTACATGCAGTCTATAGTACGCTAATTTTTTTAGTGCCGCTACCTTTCTATCCTTGCAATCATGTGAGCCCATTACTTGTGAGAACACGTTGGTGTGCTAATGTTGTGAGCAGAGCTGGCGTCCTAAGTGGGAGACTATACATATCTAAAACGTTTGTCTTCCTGATCTTAAGTTGATCGATAGTTACTACCACGCTTCCGTTGTCTGCGATGGTAAGCCTTTCGCTTGTAGCTTTACTTCGGGTTGTTAACAGTTCCCCATCTTGTAGAGGTGAGCTTATTTATCTGTCGTGCGCCAGGCTACGCTCTCTCTTGATTAATCGCGCTTGCGCATAAGCTGTGCGTCAAACCTGCGCAGTATCAATAATTTATCCAACTGACCGGTGATAGGCCAGAGCATTAGTCAATTTTATTCCTGGTCTAACTTCGTTGTTACCGTCGCTAGCCATGGTACTGATCGAACTACTTTATTTCCTTCGAGAAATGCCTAACGCTCTATCAATCAGCTATCATGATCCTTCGAATCCATGCCATGTTCCACAGGTCCAAGTTTGTGCTCGTACTACTTGTCGCTGCATTCATCGCCATGGATATTTTCAACATCGTCGGGTTGCTGCCTGCTGCTGAGCATGAAGGTTGGTGACCCTAAATTAGCATACTGTTTTCTTCCATTCAACTTACAGTAACTGTAGGAAGTGACGTAGATGTTTACGTTGCCTACGTTTGCGAGACGTCCAACACGTGGAATTACAAGATGTTTGTCGACGTTACAAGGATCCCAAGCATAGCCTTCGGTATCTTGTTGTTGACGCTGGCCTTGTACGGATATTACAAGCACGCTGTGGACCGGAAGAAGACCATCGGCATCATGTCCGTGAATTCATGGATGAAGCTGCTTCTCACACAAAACATTATTTATTTCGTCGTGTAAGTGCAAACCCTATCCTACATTCAGAGCTGTACACCCAGCTTATCAACAATATAGGGTTGTAGGATGCAATGCCCTTGTTTTCGCGTCTGCCTACACACAACAGGTCGGCATTTCCCTCCCTCAATATCGAACGCCTCTGACGTGATCTCAGACCGTGATGCTGTCGTTCCCAGCAGTACTTTCGAGCTTGCAGAACTACATTCTCGCACCACGCTTGTTGCTCAGTTTCCGCGCATATCATGCAAGACCTGCGCACTCAAGAGGCAGCTCCGCCGATAGCGCATTCGGTATCAGCACTTACGCCTCGACTGAAAAGGATTACCCGCTTCCCCAACCACCTAGCCTCGGCCGGGATAGTAGGGCGTCGTCGCGTGTAGCGGTGGTAACATGGGATGCAATGACAGGTTAGATGTGAACTTTACGCAATCAAAGGTAAATAGAGGGGCTGAGAATGTTCGGAATCGATTGGTAGCTGGTTATCCCATATGTACATGATACCTCGCTCACTTAACTACTTGCGCTGTATGTAGTTTAGCCTCGTACGCATTGAAACTTCATATCCCAACATCTAGTCGTAATGATACAAAGCTATATGTCTCGACATGAGCGTCTGTGGCGCTGTTCAAGGGTGCTCTAGTAGCCAGCCACCATCAATCGCCAAAGTCTAACGAGATTTGTTAGTCATGATAGAATTAAGGCACACAAAGTGTCCGAACCTGTCCGAAAAGATACTGATTTACGGCGAACATGATGGCAACTTGGGCTATGTCCTCCTCGCGACCGGAACGACCTGCAGGAACCTGGTTTCTCTTCATTCTGTCAGAGTCTGTGGGTATGGTTGACTTGTTGCCCTGGTTAGAATCACCGGCTATAATTCATGAAATAAATAGTTCAGGAAGCGGAGATCATCATAAACGCACTGGTCATCTCGGAAGGGAAAAGTCCCGGAGCGATGTTGTTTACTCGGATCTGGACAGCGCTTCTCCTAAACTCGTGCGCGAGGAGATTGGATAACTGTATGGTGGCAGCCTTCGATGCCGTATAGTGAAAGCGCTTCTGAGCGAGTCGAGTCACTACCCAGATAAGGCCAGGGTTGAGAACAGAAAAGCAAGCGAAAGAAATGGGGCGTACGTCCGGCATTAGACGAAATATTTATCACCGTAGATCTGTACTTGTCTCCTTCTTCGCCTCTCGTAGAAGCACTGAGCAGTGGAATAAATGCAGCTGTCACAAAGAAGTAGCTTGCAACGTTCGTCCGGTATACCTGCTCCCACTCCTCCATTTCCTGACTGAAAAGCTCCTGAGATAGCTCTTCAGCAGAGAAGTCGCCTTTGTCGGTGTTCAGCTCATCGCCTGCGTAACCTGCGTTGTTTACAAGCACGTCAACGTGACTCTCATGCTTCCCAACCTCCATAACGAGGTGCTGAATGGACTCCTTGGATGTAACATCACAAGCGATAGGAACGATTCTGCCCTTAGGATGGCTAAGGGAAGAACCCCACCTTTGGGCGGCCTGCTCCAAAGCGTCTTGTCGTCGAGAGGTTATGTACACCCTCGCTCCATTGTTGGCAAACGCTTGAGTGATCATGAGGCCAATACCTGTACCGCCACCAGTTACGACACAGACCATGTCCTCTACACTAAAGAGGTTAGAGAGGGTGAGTTTAGAGTTTTCGCGCATAGCGGAAATGGGAAAGCAAAGCAAGTTGGAGGGGTCTGCAGGCGCCGTCATCATCGAACCTGGTGGCTTTTAAGTCTTAAAAATCTGTTCAGATGTTTCATAAGGGCGCGCTGGCTGAAGTCATGGCTGCGGTCATGATCCGGATGTGGTGTCGAATATTGGGATCCACTCCGGAGCAAAAGCTAGGGCGTGCGCTTGAAACCCTGATCAGAGGTAGGGCCGGCCAACGTTCGGTTAATGTTAACCGGTGTTAGCCGTCAACGCGTCAACGCTCCATACTGTATGTACTATGTATGGTCACGATTGAAGGAGCTTGAAGTCGCGTTTCCCCAAGAGGTTTGCTTGCATGACTGATGTATCGTTGAAAAGGATGCCTCAAAAACCTTACATAAAGCTCAAATGTCACAGTGATCACAGAATGACTTCTGCGAGCTACGTAAAGAAACGAAACAAGTTAAAACCAAGCAGCACCTAGCACGCCAAGAACGCCTCCACTGATGACGTCAAGTGGTATATAATCTTTGCATTGGTACCGTACTGACTTAATCTATGAGCAAAAGTGAGCATCATATACTATCCCGTGCTTTGCGGTACACATTGCGTACATGAAAACTGAACCACAACCTAATCTTACTGAGTAAACCCACTGATGACTGTGCAGTTATCAATGGCCCCGGTTTTTCCGCCGCTGGCGGTCAATTCGGACCAGTCCCAGGTACCAGTGCATGAGCCTTCACCGCAATCGATGGCAACCATAGTGGCATTGCTGTCCGTTTCGACGGTGGTGGCGCCACCCGTGAAGTTGATATCCTATGAGGACGCCATGAGCATTATTATAGGTACTCCATACCAATTGACTTACTGAAATGATGACACCGGTGCCCGGTGTCCCAAATGACGAGGGGTAGCTCTGTTGTATATGATTATAATGCTAGATAGGCCGACGCAAGACGGACGGACCTGTGTTATGAGGACGCCATAATCGTAGATACCAGTCGCCTTGTTATTCTGATAGCGAAAGCAAAGTCATTTTCTAAAGTCCGAGAGTGTGCGTTTTACTCACCGAATATGTCACATTGGAAACAGAACTGTTCGTCGCGGCAGCATCGGTCTTAATGCGGAACGCTTGCTGACTGAGAAGGCGGTCAGGTATTGCACGGTGAGAGCAAATGATACCCTGGACTCACGTTCCCTCACAGGTATTACCAAAGATGACGATTCCATTCCAGACACGACTGTGTTAGAATTTATTGATCCCTGAAGACTAGGATGAACGACCAGACTCTGTAACAGATTCAAGGCGCTCACAATCGATATCCCATGCCCAGTCGCACAGTAATTATCTGAAAACACAATGTTGTTTCCCCTATTGATGGCGAGGCAATCATCCTGAATAATTAGACTCTTGAGCGCGACATAATCGCGCCTTGTGCTGACACATACCTGATTGATTACCGTGCTGGATTCAACGGAATGACATCAACGCCGAGCACCGCACGGTCAGTTACTCATATGACGCACCTCTTTGTGATGGTGATATCGTCTCCCGAAACATCGAAACCGTCGGTGTTGTGACCTTCAGAAAGAGTTCAGGTTCATTGCGTCCCAAATCTGGATGCAACAGATACATACCAGCGACTTTGCCGTCACTCTGGCTATTTGGCTGGTTTCCTTGCGCTGAACAAGGCGAGGGAAAGATATATTAGACGCCTCGATGTTTGTTTTGTTGGAAACCTACAGTTGTCAACCGTTATGCCTGACATCAACAAGGCCGCTGGGGGATCGACGGAGAAGCATCGTTCTGGGGAATTAATGACCTTCACGTTCTGATGGAGGGTAAAGGGCGTGAGAGCTGAGGCAATATGTCGGATGAACGCACTGTCACGGTGCCCGACATCTCGATTTTCATCATAGGATCGGGCTTTGTATTACCGCCACTTCCGCCCAGACCGTCCTGTCAAGATTACAGTTAAATGGTGAAGGAGGACACATGGGACTTGATCATACCCAGTAGAAGGGTCCTCCTCCATCGAATATGTAGTTGTTTCCGTTAACTTCATTGAAGCCGTTGTACGTCAATTCTGGAAGTATCTCTACTAAATTTCACTTACATGTAATATCGTCGCCTCTAGGGACGAATGTCAACGAGTCATACTCGGGAATCTAAGGAAGCGGACTCACTTCACTTCAAAGAGCGGGCCATCCCATGTTTGATTTCCAAACGCGATGTTACCCTCTGAGTCCCCCGATGTACTGTAAGATCATCTTGCCACTTCTATAGACATCCAAGAACTCACGTATGTTGACTGTAGTGCCCTGGAGTAGCGACAAGCTGAGAGTCTCGCCAGCCGGGACTGTGAACGAATTGACGTTGACAGTCGTGCACTGAACTGCGTCGGCGACGTCGTCGAGCGAAGAGATCGTGCCGGTACAATCGCTGGATGCTGGGGCAGCAGCGACGAATGGAACCAGTGCTACGAGTGCGGTCCAAGTAATCATGGTTAGGTGAGACGTCGAGAGCGAGAAATATTCACAAGGATTCTCCGGCTTGAATAGCATTTTATATGACTTGAGCGGCCCGGGAGTATATGCTTGAGGGGTGACCGTGTAAAGCAATCAACACATTAAGCTTGGGTCCGTCGACCGCCTGGAGACAAAAGACCGACGCATGTGGCAGCGGACCGTCCTGCGCGAGGTGTAACTTCGGTTTTATTGTAGATATGACCTGATCATCAGATGCGAAGCATCGTGTAGAAGCAACGTTAAAGGGCGCCTTGCTTTTCCATGATGTCCTTGTCCATAGATACTCAGGGTGAGCTCAGAAGCTACAAAGTTCCACGATATTCCCGCTACCGGAGGTAGTGGGTCTTAGATCAACTTCGTGTTACCGAGTCGCCCGCCAAAAACTGGCATTTGCGCAAATCACGTGATAATTGGTGCTCCGCCTGAAATACCGTGCACGCTTATTACCATTTCAATTTTGTTTTTGAAGCTCAGATATCCCCCAACGCGATGAGGCCGAGGTCTTTGGGCTCCTCTTATCTTCACGTAGTACACATTTAGCGATGATTGAATTCGACGTGCACGCAGGGGCCAAACGTGTATGCTTTAATATCTCTCTTCCCTGTCCTGTCTATGGGACTCCGTGCGGACACCATGGCTCACCGCACTTGTATACCGGGTAAGTTCAATGCAGTATGCGCAATCTAATGATATCCCTTTCGATATTCTTTATCAGTGAAGCATAGTTGACTAATGACTAGTGACTGGTCACGGTAATATGCTATTCCTCTTGTCAGAATAGTGGATGCCTCCAAGCCGAGTGCTTAGGTCTTTTCTAACATCAGTCAACCTGCGACTGTCAAGGTCTTGACCCGTCTGAGTTGCACTTGCTCGTTAGCAACGTTACACTCAGGCTTGATCTAGTTGCTTAACGGCTCCGCGCGCTAAATACTTACTGTACTCGATGTAGTTGTACCCCACTTCTTTGCAATGAAGACTGTCATTCAACTGTCCATTACACGGTAGTACTAGCGGGCCATGCTGCGCACCGCGCGGCGCTACTCTACTAATTATTATGTCGGACCTAGCTGAACGTGAACCCCGTGACCCCAGCACACCTACCGATCGACGGGACGCTAGGCGTGCGGGTACAGTTTTGCCGGAATCGGGCTGCAGGCTTGAAGAGAGATGACGAACGGCATGCAATGCCTGAAAAAATCGAACTTGGATTCTATGTCAACGTTGTAGCGTCAAATATCCTAACTGAAGGAAAGGCTGTTTCTACGACCTCGAGCTACCTGTTGACTTCTGATAGAGCAAGCTGACGTGTCAGATAGTCAGATGGACTCACGAAAAGCATTGAATTCATAGAAGTCTGTGAAGGTGGGTTTACGACGGTGTCTAACGTCGCAGCGGCCCAAGCGGGCCGGTATTGAGCCGAGCAACATCTCGATGACGTATCTGCAACAAGCGCATCCGAGTCCCACCTCACTCTGCTATAGGTACGTAGAAGAGCAGGCCTACAGCAGACAAGTCAAAAGCGTCAGGGGGATCACGACTACGTTGAAAAATCTCACAGACATACTACTAGAGCTCGACGTCGGAATGTCAGGGACAAGTCCTCCAGAAAGGTGCTCGTATGCTCCAAAGATCAGTATAGCAGGTCTCGCCAGGTCCTAACTCCGCCGACTACGCGATTCCCTACAGTTCCACGCACCAAGTCCAGGGTGCTCCGGTCTTCCATGTGTACAAGGCTAAGTGGTCTCCCCCAGGCAGACCCTACGTAAGCTAGTCATTCTGCGTAGTGCTAGGCGGCCAAGCCAAGTTGAAATTTAATGAAACCCGAGGCAGCAAAACTTCAACTGAACGTTCAAACTCCGACCGGATATATGCGCTTGACATGTGCACTGTGCAGCGTCTCCCTCTCACGTCCAAACCGATACAAGCCCAGAGCAACGGTCCTCGAAGCGCTGGAGATGATGTTCGCCACCCTCATTTTGGTGTAGCGTGACAGCAGACAGGTGGAGGGCAGAACATGCTTGGTGGTGGCTCCAGCTCATTCATAGTATGCCCTCTTCGGCCACCATCCAGATCGCACAAGACTGTGACGGGCGCACGACACCTCTTGGTGCAGATAAGCTACCATCTGAAACTTTTGGTTGATTCTCCACGGCTAGCTCACGTCAGGAGCTCTTTATCTATGTTAGTTCTAGTTTTGGACAGGCACTATCATTGCCTGCGGACGGACCACCCGACATGCTTGATCGCAATGCTTGGAGACCTCACTTAACTCCTAGGGAAAAGAAAATCATCCACGCATCGCGCTCATATTCAGCGCCCAAACTTGTGTATTCACCTGTCTGATGTTCAATCTATGACAGTCAAGTTGGTACCGATGGATGAACGATTTATCATCAATGATCCAGGTTCATTGGGCTCGGTTTATGGTTTCAGCATATTTATAAATGAACGCCGAGTACCCACACCAGAGATCAGCTTTATCATGTGAGCCCTCGAAACACTAATCTTGATACAGCTTCTTGATTTACCAGCATGCTTCGGATATGGCATAGTCCCGGCCTGATAACTCTGGATTGTATATCTGGTCGCTGGTTCGGTTATCTCTCCCCTTGAGGTTCCCTCGGTCATCCTCGCCTCTCCATATCTACTACGCTAACACATCATGTCAACGACACTTTCTCAGGTAAACGACACGATCATTGCATACCAGCAAAGTAGCTATTGTATAGGTATGTAATGGGCGCATAAAGGTTAGAACGAGAACCCTCAAGGCTTCCTCTCAGCGACGATAGCAGCCATTGTTATCTACGACTGGTGTAAGTTCAATGACAACAGACATTGACTGTGCTACTGATAGTATTTGAATAGCGCTTACCTTAGGCAGGGAGGTTTGTCGCATGTCTTAACACCTTGATGCTCCTTCATGCTGATACTTCGCAGACGGATCGCGTATGGGTGAGCATTTGTTGCGATCACCGTGTCGAAGTATGTAAATTGCCAATCGGATCCGCCAGAGCCGAAATTTCACGCTCGTGACATGGCTTTATCTCGTTGTGCGTTGCATCAATACACTCCTCTTCCTTTGCTAAACTATCTTAGTGTCGATACCTTTCCATCGTAATTATCTTGTGAGTAGCTTAACTCTGTGGATTCTATTCCGTGGGCCGACATCGTCACTAGCTGCGCAGTCATAAGTAAGGATCGCTTATTTGAAAAGTGTTCATCTTCGTAACCGGTTTTCATCACCAGTTGCTACCACCTTTCCATTATCCACTATGGTAAGTACACCTTTAATCATCTCCTGCCGAGTTTTCTACCCTATATTGTCATTCAGAGGTACGCGGAGCGTTTGGTTTCATTTGGTATACTGTATCCCTGAATGGGTGTCTTAATGTCTTGTTAGCTGTGCGTGTCATGGCACTAGTTTCCATAACTTACAGGGCTGACCCGTTTGACGGTACAGGTACTGGCCTCAGCCAGTTCTATTCTTGGTCAAACTGCATCGTATACATTGCAAGCGATGGTATGCTTGTTATACATCTCCCTCTGCGTCTTCTCATCCGCCTCTGGTAGCGATAATGGTGTTCCGAATTCACGCCATGTTCCCCAAATCCAAACCAATCCTCGCGCTTATTCTTGTCGCGTTCATTGGCGTTATCGTGGTTAACATCGTCGGATATATTCCTGCATCTGAGAATAAAGGTTGGTACAGCCGTGTCACATGTCCTAACTACTCGAATACTTACAGAATACATGTAGAGGAGGATGAGAGCCTTCAGCTGATGCGACTTTGTGTTGAGTCTAACTTATGGAACTATAAGACATTCGTCAGTATGACGAGGGTTCCGCGAGTAGTTTTCGAAGCTCTGTTACTGTCTCTAGCCCTGGGAGGATATTACAGACATGCTGCAGAGCGGAGAAAGAACATTGGAATCTGGTCGGTGAACGCTTGGATAAAGCTGCTCATGGAGCAAAGCATCGTTTACTTTGCAGTGTACGTTTATTCCTAATACGTAGACTTCATCTGATTGTTCCGAGTGCAGTGCAGTAGGGTGTGACACTATCATCATCGCATCCGGTTATTCAAGCCAGGTAAGCGCGTGCCTATGTCAATATCCCAATCTTTTGGTTATCTCTCACCGAAATGCAGGAGAATATGACATCCTTCGGCGCCATACTCGCTAGTTTACAAGGATACCTACTCGCGCCGCGCCTTTTGCTCAGTTTTCGTGGACATCAGTCGAAGCCCATGCACTCCCGAGACAATTCTGCAGATAGCACGCTCAGCTTTATCAAGCATGCTCGTACACCATCAGACATGCTCTATCAGCTTCCGACCATAGCTAGAGCTAGTATGGTTTCATCTCTCGCCAAGTAGGAACCATGGGGTGCGATGAAAAGGTAGCGGTGGAATGCCTCGGGTAGTGAAGAAACACGTAGCTGGTCTTACAGTAATCAACCACATGCGATAATAAGTACTTAATATCCACTTTTTAAAGATGTAGCTGAAGCTATTCACCGTATAGTATGCATGTACAGGCTTCGGGTACTGTATTGCGCTTTAGGGTCACAATCTTTCGAGTTGATGGGAGATATATGCATTTGTGGGCGCAATATAGTAAACGCTCACTTTAACAACATCATATATTTAAATCAATCCCTCTTAAAGCTCTCCAGACGACCTCGGGGCCCACGAAACACCAAACAAGGTCTCGGTACGTGAGTATACAGGAACTTACAAAATAACTTCTGACTACATCTACTGAGTGAATCCAGTGATGACGGTACAATTGTCAATAGCGCCCGTCTTTCCGCCGCTAACAGTGAGGCCCGACCAATCCCAAGTGCCGTCACACGAGCCCTCGCCACAATCGACTGCCACCATGGTGGCACTGCTGTTGGTTTCAATCGTAGTAGCACCTCCAGTAAAGCTTATGTCCTACATCAATCATTAGCGGATGCTCGCACGACAATAGCACGTTTACGACTCACGGTTATGTTGACGCCATTTCCAGGGGTTCCGAACGACGCGGGGTAGCTCTTTTTGACTCACGGTAAGCAATACAAATAAACGTTATACAGGATCTCAACGAACCTGAGTCATGAGAACGCCATAGTCATAAACACCAGTTGCCTTGTTGTTCTAGATTCGTGAATTAGGAAACCTCTTGGTATCTTATCAGACTTCTCGCTCACCGAGTAAGTCACATTGGATACAGTGCTGTTGGTAGCAGCGGCATCGGTCTTGATACGGAAACCTTGTTGCCTGGAGGAACATTCAGCCTGATTCACGTTATCGTACGCAACTGCACTGGACGTACGTGTTGTAGCATGTGTTTCCGGAAATGACGACTCCAGATACAATGACGTTAGAAGTGATCGAACCCTTGAAACAACGTAAATAGGGATAGTGAGAACGCGGAGAATGGATGGCTCACGATGGAGATACCGTGGCCAGTGGCACAGTAGTTATTCGAGAATACAAGGTTCGTCCCTCTATTGATGGCCAGGCAATCATCCTGTGAAGCAACCCTCACTAAGTCACTATGAGGACCAAAAGGCGGTTTATGCTTACCTGGTTGATGACGGTGCTGAATTATGAGGATAAGCAAAGTCAGCACTTAGGGAAGGTAAGCTCATAATCATGCACCTGTTCGTGATGGTCAAGTCATTCGCAGAGACATCAAATCCATCGGTATTGTGGCCTTTTGTACGAATCAGGACGGCCCCTCTGTGTCGATCGAGTCGCACTTGACAAAGACCTACCGGCAGCAGTACCGTTACTCTTACTGTTAGGCAGGTTGCCTTGGGCTTGACGCAGCAAAAGACGCGTAAGACACGATAGTGATCCGGACACGGAAACGTACAGTTATCGACAATAGTGCCAGACATCGTCAAGGCAGCAGGGTTGGACACAGAGAAGCATTGAGCAGGTGAGTTGACGACATGCACGTCCTTGATAGTAACATTACGTTGGTACCCGAGAGAAATAACGGGAAAACATACTGTCATGGTTCCCGAGATCTCAACCTTCATCATAGGGTGAGGCTTGGTGACACCACCGTTCGTACCCAGACCATCCTGTGAGGTTTCGTTGCGAGTGAGCGCGGAAGTCACAAGTACAGAATAGGAAAGCGTACCCAGTAGAATGGTCCTCCACCATCAAAGATGTAGTCGTTCCCATTAACTGGATTTCAACGAGACGTCAAGGAAGAAGCCTGAACGCGAGCGGAAACTCGCTCACATGTAATATCATCACCTCTACACACCAAGGTCAGCTTTCATTTGGTTCAAACTTGAACACACTCTTACGTGACTTCGAAAAGCGGTCCCGACCACGTCTCATTCCCAAATGCGACATTGCCCTCTGTCGATCAAACATCAACGTATGAAACAATCCGACCATTTAATCGAAAACTTACGCATGTTGACGGTAGTTCCTTGTAGGAGCGACAAGCTGAATGTCTCGCCCGCAGGGACCGTAAAGGAGTTGATGTTGACAGTCGTACATTGAACCGCATCGGCGACGTCATCGAGCGAAGAGATTGTGCCCGTGCAATCGCTCGAAGCAGGCGCTGCGAGGACGTAAGGCACAAGCGCCACGAGAGCGGTCCAAGCTAGCATGACTGGATAAGACTCGGAAAGAGGAGGTGATGGTAGCGAACGAGGGAAGCTAGCTTCGCTGGGGTCTTCCCGGATCATTGGGAGTACCTTTTGTACCTGGAACCAGTCCAGCGGCCCGGGATAATATGGGTAAATGGTAGAGACGAGGAATGGTTGAATTCCACGTCCACGTCCTAGGAAAAGACACGAGAATAGCCGAGATTGAATAAAGAGCGTTGCGTATAGTGTGCGTTTGCCTTTCGCTGCCGAGTGTGTCTTTCAAGATCAGAAACCTTGCGTAGTGAGAACGACGAGCTCCACCGTATATTCTTCGTACCCTTCCACGAATGCATTTCTTTGATGAAAATGAAGCTGTCATGGCGAGAGCAACCCCGCGGCTCTTCGGACTGTGTTCTTCTCATGAGCCAGGTACGAGTTCCAACAAGCTTCTATGCGTTTGTTCCCCGCGCGTCACGAGCACCGACAGCGAAAGATGATGTGGGGAAAGAAGCTTGAACGCTTGTTCTCGAACGTGGGGTTAGCACAGTCGTTAAGGATTTGCTTGCAGGGATCTCTGTTAACGCGACGTTAAAGACAAGCACCGCGTCTGACATGCACCTCATGCTGCCATTTCGCTTGTAATGCGCCACGTCCTCACGATGGTCTACCTGGGAGGTTTCTTGAGAACAGTATTGTTATTTTAAGATTCTTAGAAGACGAGGGTTGAGTGACATACACATTTGTACTTCGGTTTGATGCATCTGTTCCGTACTGTGGTGGCACTGGTGGGCCGCGCGGACCGCCTGACGCTCCGTGACATCCGTCGGTGGCCGACGTATACATACGCATATAGTTGGTGGATCTACCTCATAGAGTGGCTAGCCAACCAGAGCAGCCTAACGATGAAAACCATGCCTCTTTCTCGGCCGTTCGGGGATCAAGTGCATTCAAAAGTAGGCCCAGCGGTTCAACGTTCTTGGATCGGACAGAAGACAAAAAAGGGAGATAATTACAGAGGATGGAAGGTTCGATAAACCTGCAAGCTGCGTCATACGGCGGGTCGCAATGGATGCACATCGAAGGCAAGCGAAAAGAGGTCAAGTGCGATGAACCTGGCCCGCAAACTTCGGACCGTGGGAACGGGTTTATTGGCCGCTAGCTATCGCCTCCTCGCGGTCTCGTCTCAAGCGCATACAGCGCCGTAATCCTGTAACGACCACCCACTCTCCTCTAGACCTCCTCCATGTCCTACTTCCTCCCTCATCTCCCCACCGGCTGGCACGTCGATCAAGCCATCCTCTCCGAAGAAGACCGCATCGTCGTCCTCCGGTTCGGGCACGACTGGGACGCGCAGTGCATGACGATGGACGAGACACTCTACTCCGTCTCCGAGAAGATCCAGAACTTTGCCGTCGTCTACCTCGTCGATATCTCCGAGGTGCCTGACTTCACAAAGGTGCGTGCTCGGGTGTTACTGAGAACGGGCATAGCTGACTGGGTGGCGGCGGGCGGGGCTTGCGTTGCGACTGCAGATGTACGAGTTGTACGACCCATGCACGGTCATGTTCTTCTATCGGTGCGTCCTGTGACCCTGCTCTCTCTTTCGCCTGGTATTCATCCCTCTCACTACAGGAACAAGCATATCATGATTGATCTGGGTACTGGTAATAACAATAAGATGTACGTTCCTTCCTCCCGTCTGCCCATACATGTTGCTGAACATCACCCAATCCGCACCTGCATAGTAATTGGGCTATGGACAATAAACAAGAGGTCAGCATCCTTGATTCTCCTCGAGACCTTGCTCATACCTCTCATAGCTAATTGACATCATTGAGACTGTTTATCGCGGTGCTTCCAAGGGCAGAGGTCTGGTCGTCTCCCCCAAGGGTACGTTTCTGCTGCTTTCTTCCCCTCCTTCATTTGCTTGACAGTGTTTCTAGACTACTCGACGCGGTACCGGTACTGATCGTACTCGGACATTCATCCGACTTTGGTACGACCTATCACGACCATGTACCAGTATATCAAGGTGTACGTAAATGCAATGGAACCGTGTCTCTAACCATGCCAGTGGTCTCGGTTTCGTTTGATATTGTCGCCAAATAATAAGGTTAATGGTATACATCGCATGGTCGTTTGTATCATCGTGTGGGCTTGAAGCCGATGTCTCTAATGCGTGTACATGAGGGTATGTCACAAGGTCTTACAGCTTCGCCTTGTAAACGAGCTGCTCTTTGTCCATCTCCTTCTCGTACGCCTCAACAAGAACACGGCGCAGCACCTTCCCGGTCGGCGACTTGGGTATCTACAGCAGCACGCCATCAGAATCGTCTAATAATCAAGAAGGCAAAGGGGACAACCCACCTGATCAACAATCCCCACCCCACCCCTCAACCACTTGTACCGACTAAGCGCCTCCCTCGTCCACGCCTCCAGCCTCTGCACGATCTCCTTCTCGCCCACCTCTCTACCAGCCTCCCTGTCCACCTTGGCCGCCGCGCGCCCGAGCTCCTTCGCGACCCCCTTGGTGACATCCGCGACGAGCCGGCGGCCCGCAGGCGAGAGCACGACCCATGCACGAGGCACCTTCTCGTCCGCGGTGCGGCCGCCGCGCACGCCCGAGACGGTGACGTCGCTGAGCAGCCCCTCGGGGTGCGCGAGGAGCGTGTCCTCGATTTCGCGCGGGGAGACTTGCATGCCGGAGATTTTGAGGGTGTCCTGAGGAGAGGAAAGGGGGCGGACACGGGTTAGCAACGGACGCGCAAGATGGGATGAGGTGGGGACAGACGCATACCTTCGCTCGGTCTTCGAAGCTGCGGGTCCACGGAAGTTACCATTATGCATATCTTGTCAACAAACCCACACACGAGCCCATAATCAGAGGGACGCACTAAACCACACCATCCTCACTAATCCGCATCAAATCGCCCGTCCGCAGCCACCCATTCACAAACGTCTCCCTCGTCGCCTTCTCGTTCTTATAATACCCCAGCGCGACGTGCGGCCCGCGCACCCACAACTCGCCCGGCTCGTTGGGCCCACACATAGGGCCCGGGCCGTCACCGTCCCACCCCGCAGCCGGATCGCCCGACGCGCCTGAGGCGGACTCGTCCCCTTCAGAAGGCACTCGCACGATGCGCGCTTCGGTGCCGGGAACGAGGATCCCGACCGATCCCTGGATGTCTTTGACGCGCCCGTCGAGCGCGCCGGGTTGCGGCGTGACGGTGATGCTGATGGTCGCTTCGGACATGCCGTATGCTATGCGAGGGGTGGGATAAGTCATTTGGCAGGTATGATCGGATACGGAAGAAGAGCGGAAAGCGCACCTGAGCCAACGCGTTCGAGGGCGGAGATGCGCCGCTTGATCTTGTTCGCGAGTGAGGTGGGGAGCGCCGCTGCGCCGCTGCCGAAGCGCTGGACCGAGCTGAAGTCGGTGGTCTCGAAGCGCTTGTGGTGGGCTACCTGGTGCAGGAGGGAAGGGACGAGGTAGAGGTTCTGGACGCGGTATCTGATGATATTGGACCGTTAGTCACTAGTGTTATTGAGGAAATACAAGACGCAACGTACTTCTCAATGGTATCGAACCACGCATTGATGTCCCATTGGGAGAGGATGACGATCGTAGATGGTGCCAGGAGACCGATCACGTTGACCACCATCAGTCCCATTGCGTGGTGGAGTGGCAGCGGGATAAGCGTAGCATTTGGAGTGGCTGGGGGCGGCTATTGACGCGTTGCATATGATCATGAAGTTGGTCATAGTATCTTCATCACAGAGTCGGAGAAACATACCGGCAACACCTTAGCGTGCTCCTGCGCCGAGACCGAATTGTGCATGACCAGCGCGCACAGGTTTCCGTGAGAGAGCATCACAGCTAAGAAAGTCTCAACATCAGCATCATCTGAGTTTGTACGGGAAGAAACCAACGTTCCCCGGACAACACGCACCTTTCGGCAGTCCGCTCGTTCCACTGGAAAAGATGAAGTACGCAATCGTGTCTTTGTTGGCCTCACGCACAGGCGTCCGAGGGATGCCTTTGCTATGCGCCTGCTTGATCAGCTCGCCCAAGCTCACATACCCATCTTTCCCAGATTCGCCCATAATAAAGATACAGTCCTTGGGCACGCCAGCTTCCTGAGCTTTTCGAACGAGTCCTGGGCTCGTGAAGACGTGTGTGGGACCAGTGAGCTGCACAGCATGCGACAGCTCCCGTGGGGTCGCGTATGACGACAAAAGCGACGAGGGCACAGTGAGCACGAGGAGAGCGTGGAACAAGACCATGTAGTCCTGACGTGAAGGCCTATTCAGCACATTGTCGGGAAGGTGAGAGCCCGGTGTAGCCGGAGCGAAGGAGATGAAGATGAACGCACAAGACAATTCTCGCTCAGCATGCCGACGACGTGTCCAGCTTCGCGTTTTATGCCGATAGCATCTAAAGAAGTTGCAGCGTCCAAGACACGTTCCTTGAACTGTTTGAACGTGCGTTCCTCGCCCGTGGAGGCGTCAATGTGTATGGTAAACTCGGGCCATTGCTCCTGATCTGGTCGAGCGAGAGTGAAGTGGTGTGCGTTGGCCGCGTTATATGGGGGGAGAGGAGGATAAAGCGAGGTGTGATGCATGGACTTTGATGAGGCTCTAGGGAGAGATGGGTCAAGGAGAGATAGAGGCCAGCGACACACAGACCCGACGGTGAATATGACAGGTGGGGATTCCGCCGGCTATGAACGCTTGAGCACTGCTACCGGTATTGCCGGTATGACGCATGCATCCCTCCGGTCTTGTTGCCCGATGGCCGAGTAGTTATCTTGGCCCGCAACCACGATTTAGCAGGGCCCAACGCCCGTAGTTTGTGTGTCCTACAGCGAAAAAAGCGGGATGATCGATGATGGTGGCTACCGCAGTCGAGGGAATAGCTCGAGTTCGGGATGAACATGATAAAGTGCGGGGTAACTTTGCGGCAATTTGCGCCGATCGCATGACCGCCCCCACCGGTCGACCCCGATTGCCTCAAAGTCCGACTCATCGGCGCTTCGGACACAAGTTTCTCCCACTAGTATGTTGTGTTCGACCAAGTCCAGCATCTACCTTAGACTTCACTCCCGCTCAGCTCAATGTCTATGTGCTCTGACAAAACTACTCTTCAAAACCAAGAATTTGAGCTGCCATAGCGGCGTGCGTCGATCTTCTGGTCCTTCATGGTGACAATGGTGCCGATTTTCGCACTTTCGAATCCTCCCAAGTGGTCGGCGCCTTCTAGGTGTATCGTCGAACAACAACCGCACTTTACATTTCAGGTACCAGAAGCTGCCTGGATACATGTAAGTATTGACTTCATGCAACATGTGCCTCGAGATGCCACTGAGGAGGTTGTGGTCAGCCTGTACTGACCAGTGGGATGGCACCGAGCCGCGCGGCCCGTACAATTTTCATCAGTGGCACTAAAGCCAGCTAAACTGGTAGGGCATCCACGATGCCATGAGGACAAACTTACCTCGCATAAACGCCTATACTTTCCCAGAAACCGACCCCAACGATGTGGATCTTCGTTAGACAAGCGTACCGTGAGTACTTGTTGCACTCTTCCCTGTCATTTTCCGGGACCGCGCCACGCTCGGGCCCCTGTTGAATATAATGTTGCCTCAACAATGTGAGAGCGCCCAAAAATACACCAACTCACTGCTAATTCCAGGACTATATGCGTCCGCATATGTGCTAATTCCGCAGTCACACCCTGATGCGCTCCTCGTTCACTAAACTCTGACCTGCCTCGCTGGCCCTACCGCAATGCGAGCCTGAACACGCCTGAAGTGTTCCTGTTCTTTTGTTCTGATTTTATCTCTCCGTGGGTGACACTCTTGGGAACATGAACGGACAATGCCCGGGCCGCTCACAGAGACGCGAAACGCGCTCGCGAATCCGGACCCTTCTGCTGAACGCGACAGCATCCAGCGCACTTCCAAAGTCCAACCAACACAACGACCTTTACATCCTCCGAGTGCACCCGCCGGACCGCCAAGACGTATAAAAGGCGTAGCTCTTGGCATACGTTCAGCCAGTCGTTCACCACAACTACTACTCAACGAAACCGTCTCACCTTTACTTCGCAATGCTGCCCTGGACCGTCCTCGCTCTTCTCGTTCCCTACGTCGTCGCCGCACCTGCGAGCAGCGACTGTACGGGTACCATTTCCTCGCTCGACGATGTTACCGACGCGGTCGAGTGCACGACCGTCAACGTCAACTCGTTCACGGTCCCTGCGGGAGAAACGTTCACCTTGTCGCTCCTGTCAGGCACTACAGTCAATATCAGTACGCGTTCAGTACCACTATTCTCTCCGCAGATGGCTAACTGAGTTCGTCCTCCTAGATGGGGACATCGCTTTTGGCAACGAAACTTGGAGTGGCCCTCTGTTCGAAGTAAAGTTGATACATTCCACTATACCAACGTTCACCCAATACTGACGCATTAGATAGGGGCGATGACATTACATGTTAGCTATCTCAGCTCCTTCCACATACTTATACTAACACCTAGTCTTAAGTCAACGGTAACGGCTACAGGTTCGACGGTGGAGGACCCTACTACTGGGTACGCGCCTTCAACGAGCGCCTCTTTTTATTTCAGCATTGACACTTCACAGGACGGCGAAGGTACCGATGGTGGTGTCACCAAACCACACCCGATGATGAAGGTTGAAATTTCGGGCACCATGACCGTGCGTAGGCTGTGGATCCCAATTTAAATGCAATAGATCTCATAAACAATTCCTCGGTCAGGACGTGTACGTCGTCAACTCCCCAGCGCAGTGTTTCTCCGTGAGCAACACTGGCCCTTTGACCCTGTCCGATATCACTGTCGACAACTGTGAGTATGAATGTTCTATGAACGGAGACCTCATTTGACACACGAATATTCCAGCTCAAGGCAATGCCGCGAATAGTGCTAGTGGAAGCGACCCTGCTGGTACGAGACTAGATTTCACTGAGCGCACAATGCATTCATTTTACTTCAGGTGCCAACACCGACGGCTTCGACGTCGCTGGCAGCGACCTCCTGATCACGAAGAGGTAAACACCATTATAGTCCCACTAGTATACTATGTTTAACGAAACTACACAGCACCGTTATCAACCAGGATGACTGCCTGGCCATCAACAGCGGCTCGAACATCACGTTCTCCGACAACAGCTGTGCTGATGGACACGGTATCTCTATCGTAAGTTACACAAATCTTCACTTTTCCTCACGTACCGGTGTTGATCACGAAACTTGCTTCTCCAGGGCTCCATCTCGTCTGACAAGACCGTTTCCGACGTCGTCATATCCGGCAACACTGTGACAAACTCGTAAGCTACAGCCTATTAGCGCGGCTTTGACGGATTCAATGTTTATGCACCACCTTCAGGCAGCAGGCCCTCCGCATCAAGAGCGACGCCGACGCCACGGATAGCTCTGTCTCCAGCGTTACCTACTCTGTGAGTATCTGTCTACAAAAGAGCACCTTACTCGCATCTCTGACCGATCAACTCCTCGCTAGAACAACAAGGCTACGGGTATCACCAAGTACGGTGTCCTGATCACTCAGGTACAACTAAACACTTCATAACAGTTCGTCACCATACTAACCACCCACACCCGACAGAGCTACCCCGATTCCGTCGGCACACCCGGCACTGGCACCACCTTCTCTGTGAGTCTCCTCCGCCCTTTATATGTTCCAAACTCAACATCTAACACTGCTACGCGCATCCCACAGGGCATCAGCTTCACCGGCGGCGCCACCACCGTCGCGGTAGAGAGCACCGCCGAGATGGTCGCCGTCGACTGCGGCTCCGGCTCGTGCACCGGTACCTGGGACTGGTCCGACCTGACCACCAGCGGGGGCGAGGACGGCGCGATCACCAACGCGGACATTTCGGGCTTCACTCAGTAGATTTTGGCGTGCTTGGTTGGTGTTCAGTCTGTCTGGGTTTCGGTTGGCTTGGGATGTTCTTGGGCTCTGGAATAAAATGGATCGGGGGGCCCTTGTCTACTCTACGGTTATACTTGTACACAGGTGCTTCGCAGTATAGTGCAGATACAAAGGCGCAATTGCTCTATTTATACAAGACAAATTCGTGTATTGAACGTGTATCGAATGATCGTACTACGTCAAAAGAACGCAGCGACACGTGTAAAACGGCTGCAAAAAGGAGACTATGATCGTACCATGAAAAGAGAAGATTAAGTATATAAGAAGGTAATGAGTAGCTCAGTCACCCATAAGCGTCCATGGGCCTTTTGACAAAGAAAAGCCCAATTAAAACAAAGTAATACACCAACTTTTACTTCCTTTCAACATGACGGTCGCATAGCCACATGCAGAAATTTACCGGCTTCGCAGGGGTCGATAGCCAGGGGAATTAATGGCGGCTTTAGATCGACCGTCGTCCGAGGAAACGGGTTTATCTGCGTTGTGCAGCGCATCCTCGACATCACACTACCCCTAAAGCAGCGGAACAAGAAAGTGACGATGACGAGGAGGTTTCACACGACCAATTTGACGAACAGCTGCATTTCCCGCAGAAATTGCCATCGCTACGGCGGGGGCAACATCCTCCCACCAGAAGTGACGTGCGCGAAACCGAATGACGAGTCGGAGAGCCGTCACCAAAGCGGCGAATCATGAAAGCCCACTGTAGATCTGGAACGTCACAAGGTTTATAGTGACATAGAGCCCGAGAAGATGAGACACAAACAAAAGAGTGTTGTATATTCCGGCAGGACCGCAGAGGAGGTCATCAAAGGTTCAAAATATTGAGAAGTGAGATGAAGTCGCAGACAAATAACAGCATACGTGCCAGACACGGCATACTGAGTTGCCAAAAACAAGTGGGCGGTGCAATGGTGGCATCTACCGGAGTTGTGGTTGCCCCCACCAGTGAACACTCAGTAAAATGTGGTTTTCGCCGAGATCGACGTCGGACAACGCATCAGAGGTTATCAGAGACCGAGAAAAACAGGTGTCGTCAGCGTTCGAGATAAATAACAGGTCTGAAACCAATATCGACAGCCTCGGCCCTTCGATTCCCTTAACTTTGACAATGTACCGAGTACCAGTGGTAGGGCCCCGGTGTGCTACAGCCAAGCATCTCTCGTCTTTCACTAGTTTTGATTATTCAAAGCCTAAGTGTTGAACATACGATAGATACAATGTAGATGTCTGTCTAGAATAATCTATTTTATCGATACAGTGTGGCCTATCTCGTATTGATCAATGCTCATGTCAGTGAAGACAATGGAGAACACTACTCCATGCAATAAAAAGAGAAAAATATTACTCCAGGATCTACTTCACTTCAAAGCGATTATCATATGACCGCGTACAGATATCTTCAGGCGGAGGTGTTTCCGGCCAAGAGATCGAGGACTCGAGGTCGATCGTGGTCAGAACGCTCAACTGCGTACTCGATAGAGTCTCTTCGATGTCACTACCCCATAAGTAGCGGTACACAAATGTTACAATGACGAGTAGGTTGCATACGATCAGAGAAACGCACAGCTGCACAATGGCGCTGTCTCATAAGCGAGCAGCGCTGGGAAAAATGAGCTGTGTACACACCTGTAGCTCGACCGTAAGAGCTGATGCAAACGATGCCGTAGGGATAAGAAAAACCGTATGCGCGATGCTTACAGCAGAGCTCAATATGCTCATAGCAAAAACGGTGCGGGTAAGGACGCGGAGATGAACTTGAAGACGCGTGCGCCATAAGAGTCGCAGAGGCAAAAACACCAGGATCACATCGCCGGAAATATCAGCTGAAAAAACAAAACACCAGGGACAGTCAGAGTGAACCTCCGGGTCTGAAACCGATAAGGCGTAGAGCAATGCTTACTTATGAGCTCCACGATAGCGATCCCTGCATCCAATGGGCACAACCCCGGAGCACGTGTCTCCCAGTCCGCATGTGAGGCGCAGGTGGTTACTGTCAAAATGGTATTTGTCGCCCACATGGCTACAAACAGAACCAAGGATGCTCGAGCGACGTTGCATAGCCGACCCGGAGGCACGAAACGGAGAATGGATAGGAGGATGCTGAGGCGGGTGGACCATAGAGCCAGCGGGTGTATGGATAGTGCAATCCACGTGCCGATAACACGGGGATTCTTCGCTGGGCATTCATCCGTACAATCTCAAGTGCGGTCATCATCAGCGGGAGGCGGGCAGGGAAGTGCACCATTCACTCTTGGTTGAACGCACCCAAATGAGAGAAGTTGAGCCACAGAGCGACGCCAGAGACCACCGAAGCCGCCAGCGCTAGTGCGGCGGCAGCATCCTCCCACCAGAAACGACGTGCGCGAAGCCGAATGGCGAGTCGTAGAGCTGTCACCAGTGACGCGAAGATGTGAAAAGCGAACTGTGCATCTGGAAGATGTTGCATCATAAGTATGTGCGTACGAAACGGGAGACCAAGAAACCGAGATACGGACAAAATAACACACCACGCCCCTGCGGAACTGAAGGGGATGCCATCAAAACGCTTGCGCGGCAAGTGGCAGTCGCAGAGAAAGGACGAAGGGACAAAATAACGAGACACGGCAGCCCAACCCCACAGCCGAGTGGGCAGGGCAGGATTTACACATCGTCAAAAGAACACAGCGACACGTGTAAAACGGCTGCACAAAGTAGACTAGGGTTATCAAAGAAGGGGGAAAAAAGAACAAAGATCAGGATATCGTGCGCGTGAGCGGTGGTCGAGGTACAGGAGGAGCGAAAACCCCTAGCTAGCGACTGCGGCCTCAAGCTTCAAGTTCAAGCTTCAATTCAAAGGTCCCGTTTTGGCAGGTCCCGATATCCCTTTGCACTACCAATGCAAATTCAGCTCGCACTAGACCCTACTAGACCCTCGAGCCTCGTTCGCGTGGACCAGAGTTTTCAGTTGTGAGACCTTCTCGATCCCCGTAAAGAAAGGCCCAGAGAACGGGCTGCAGCCCAAGCACCGCAGCAACGATACAGCGGCACCGCTGCGGCACCGTACGTATAGATTTCACCCAAGAGATTCCTTCGTGCGCCATATTCGCCACTTGCTGGAGTAATCCGCCTATGAGCGCAGTATATGCAACATCGCGATTGGCGCTCACCGTCTCTGTTATCCGACCGATGGCATAGTATGTAAAGGATGAGAGGGGGTTTCGTCTTCAACCGACCTTCGGAGGGCGCAAACGCGCACCATTGACTTCTCGATATCATGTGTTCATTCAAGTTGTTTTGGCTTCGCCCTGGAGAATGGAAAGATAAGCTGACGCTGACGCTGCGCCGGACTGACCTTCGGATGCAGATAAGCTCGAAACACTTGAATTTCACATCCCGTAAACCATCTCAAATACCAACTTCGTAGGACTCAGCGGCATCCCTTGATCGTAATCCTCAAAGTTCGATTGCATTCCGTAGCTACACACAAGCGCATCAACACAGGACATGACCGTAAGCCGTAGGAGCACGTCGCCAAACAAAGTCAAGTCTTACGGAGCCGAACCATGGTCCATGTGTACGAGCGCCTTCTGTGGATCACGGATTCTCGCCAGAAGTCAACCCAGATTGAAAGCACTGTCAAGTGAACCGGGGTTGAAATGCGGATAGCGAGGCTAGATGTTATCTCAGCATGTCCTCATCGGTGGGATTCTTGAAGCCCATCGATGACCACATGATAGCGGCGTTGAGATCGTCAGCGCCGTCGTCTTTGACGCCGACGACACCGTCGACTTCGTACACGGCGCGGGTCTGAGCAGAAAGCACGAAGGGGAAAAAGTCATTAGCAATGCGAAAGACGTTTAAGTCATATGTTAGATGCACTCACCAAGCCGAGCGAAACCTTGATAGCAGGTGCACCAGGTGCGTACGCTTCGAGTACGTCATCGTCCAACTCATCGCTACCGCTAGACAGTCCCTCGCGTCGCCGGATGAGTCGCAGAATGTTCCGTGCGGCGACCTCGCCCTGGTAGTACGCCGTGTGGCCCGCATTGATCGCACCGAACGCGTCCGCACAGTCGCCAATCGCGAAGATGTGTGGGTAGCGCGTCTCCGTCTGCGTCACCATCACTCCATCCTCTTCAATGTCTACAGGCCCGCCCGCTTCACCGTCGACACCGAAGGGCGACGTGTCAAGCTGCATCGTGGGTAGCACACGCGCCATCTTGCTGTCCGACAACACCGTATCGGAATCCATGGCCGCGAGGAGGCCCGTGTTTGGAATTTGGCCAGTACACAGGAGCTATAGAACATAGAGCTCGATGAGATGCTAGGTCACATGGATGACGGTATGAATACCCACCAGGAGGTCAGTCCGGATCTCGCGCCCTGACTGGGTGCGGACCATGCGAATGGGGAGCTCGCCTGGCTTGGAGGCGATTGGAGGAGCGGAGACGGACTGCATGTCAAGTCGCTCGCCGAGCATGACGTCGACGCCGAGGTTCTCGAGGCTCTGCAAGACTGCACGGAGATTTCGTCAGCTGTGACGTTATGTTAGCGGAGCTGGAGTGGACACGTACCTTCGTCATGCAATGATGGGTCGAAGCGAGGAAGGAGCTGTCGACGTGAGTGCAGAAGCGTGACGGTCTTGTTCGGGTGGAGGTGTGCGATGTCCGACGCGAACTCTGGCGCCGACGACGGGTGACAGTTAGCAAGACCCAGTGACTCCAGATATCGGTTGACTCACGAATACCAAGTGCGCCTCCTCCAACGACCAAGATGTTATGAGCGCACTCCACACGCTTCTGAGCCTTTTGTAGCCAGCTGACACTATCCGTCTTCATGCCTGAATACGACATGGGTGGAGATGCAGGAATATCCTTCCCGGGGTGTTCCTCTATGGGACCCCACAGATCTATAGGGGCGGGGAGATGCGCCCCCAGAGCATATATTGCGTAGTCGAAATTAAGTTTGGTGTCTAGTCCGTACTCGGGGAATGCGCGGCTGAGGTGGACGTGGTCCGGGCCCATTTCGGTGATGTTGGCGTGTAGCCGGATGTTGTCATGTCCAGCGAGCGAGGGAGTGCTCGAGGCGGGGGAAGGAGCGGAAAGTAGTTGGGATTTATCAAAGACGGGGTCGTAGGGGATAACTTTAGACAGACGCCAAAATTAGGTTTTTGTTGAATGGATGATCGTGTGAGCAGACGCACATGCTTTATGTTCGTGCCCGGGTAGGACAGCGAAGCGAGGCAAACTATAGACATCTTTAGATGGAAAAGCAGTGGTATGAGCGTCGTTATTCGTAAGAGGTCGGACATGCAGGACGAAGGCAACTTACGATTAAAGTGTCTGCAGGGGGCGGGCGCTTAGTAAGACACGTCGACATCACAGCAAGCGGACAACGTACGAGTTTCTATCAACAAGGACTACTCTCCATCCCTCTGGAAGGCCATGGGCAAGAAGCTTCGCGGCTCGGTAACCTGTCACCAAACGGGCGGGCGGGGACGGAAACAGTCAAGTTGAGCACCCGTGAACTTTGACTTTATTAACAAAATAGGTAATTAAATATGCTTACCGCCGTAAGACCCTCCGAAAACAGCGACAGTCTTGGGTTGTGTTGAGGTCGATGCGGTCGATGGTGAAGGTAATGTTGAGGTCGACATGGTGGGGAAAGGCAAGGAAGAGGAGGGAGACCGAAGCCCCAAAAGAATGAGCCGACCGGGAGATGGAGATGAGTGGTGCGAGGACAGAAAATGGCCTCGCCAAGGGACTTATCAGATAAACTATTTTGGAGCCCGACCATCGGCAATAAACCGGCTTATGACGCTCACTCACACTCTCCTTTTCCCGGGATCACAAGTGCAGTCCGACGGGCCAGGCTTCCAACACGCTTGTGCACTTTCTCAGCTCTCTTTCTCTCTCAACAAGGACCTCTATTGAACGATTTTGACCGGAATTTTGTCAGCACAACTAGACTCTTACCATGTTGATGTGATTCAGACGTTTGTTCGCCAGTCCGCCAGTAGGTCAGCCCACCTTCCCCAAAAGGCAGCCTGGTTCCACCGAGTTCCACCCCGCACCGAGGGAACGTCTTGCGCGAGCTCCGAGAAGTCTGGGATGTCATCACTCTAAAACCTTCCAGGTGCTGCCCGCCGTGTCTCTGACTCTCACCAGTGACCACAGCAAGCACGTCTATGCTGCAGACAAAAGCAAACGATGAGAGTCTCGTTGCTACGCTCTCATAAAGCTGCAAAACCCGATCCTTCCCGATCACTATCGGCCGGCTCCGCCGCATTTCCGTGGCGGTCCGACGCGGCCGCTGGGCGTATCGGACTTGGGCGGCCTAACGACTGCACGCTTGCATCTGGCTTATACAAGGTTTACGTCGAAGCTCGCCATCGAGCGTTCGTGGTGACCTCATCGACATCATCTTGCATCATGACTATACACGACTATCACTAACCATAGCTGGGTCCCTTCTTCACTGAAGGGATGCGAACATTCATCTCCAGTCTATTTCTAGCTTGCGAACGTTTCAAGATCGATCAACACAAGCTGCACGGACCATCCCTAAGTACAATGCCACACGCGGAGCATCGCTTGGTGCAACTCTCTCATGAAACTCTCATACAATAGGCAGCTTGATTTTCATACTCTTTGCACCAGTCCAACAACGTGGTACCTACCGAAGTGAGTGCGATTCGGACTCCTACTATAATTGCACTCCTTTTCATGGCAGTTGTACAGTTCGAGCTCCCAAGATTCGCGTTTCAGGGCACATCTGGCAGGAACATCGCCCACCTCACAAACGGTAGATCCGTTGAACAAGCGTTCGTGTGTTGATGCTCTCACTTGTGATCCTGCCGAGATGAGAATGACGCTGCTCCTCCTCACGCACATGGTCCACCAGCACTCCTCGTCTCCGTGCAGTGAAGACCACGCGACTTTGGAACGTACCAACTGACTTTGACTTCTCACCACGCTACATAGCCATGGCCCATGGCCACCTCATCGTCTCGTTCCGAAGGGTTATCCACGTGTCTTAATTCGTAATAGCGTTTGGGAACGTTGGGTAGCGCCACACGCTACGAAGGGTGAAGCCGCTCAGGATGATCTGCACGTTTCAAGTATGTATAACCCGTTAATCGATGCAACTTTTCATTGAATCATCGCCTTTGCATTATAGCTCAAAAGGCAAAAGCAGCATGTCCAAAGTCAGCTACAATGCTCTGGCATTCGCCCCCATCATCGTGCGACATAGTCTGGTCAACAGCTCTGAGTCCCCACTCGGACCGCCTCCACGTTAGTACGGTCGCGATGGAAGCGTCATCCTCATATCTCTCTCTCAAATTTGTTGATCCAACCCCCCCCCCCCCCGGGAGTCGCCTTCCAGGAGTCTCGGTTACACCGTGTCAATCCCCGATCACCCAGGACATGTTATGTATGCGTTATGTAAAGGCGTTGCCTCGGTGTCGCCCTTGCATCGCAACTGCCCCGCCAACTCACGTTGTCCGGCGCGACGGGGTTTCCAGTCTCCCTGGAATTCGGCTCGCTCGCGCCGTCCGCTCCGGCGGATCGCGGAAAATTTGCCGCCGGCACACCTTGGTCCCTCGGGAGTCGGCCTTGGGCCTGGCTCGGGAAAGTGAGGTTAATCGCCAAAAGCGTTGGCGATCGTGCGCTCGAGCGGGCTAATATTAGCTCTTGCAGCGTACACAAAGTGTACGTCCACGGACGATTTATCCTTTTGAACTTACGCCAGCGCCATCTGATCTATCAGTGTTATTGTAGGCCTTTCCTGTGCGCAGCGGGTTTCCCGATGCCATGAGAGGTAAGAGCTGGTCCGCGATCGGATGGCGCGCGTACGTGCAGTGCGCGCTCGACTCACATCAAGGACGTGAATGAGGTTACTCATCTTTACTCATCCAACGCAGCGGGGTACACCGATCGTGGCCCTCGTCGACACGCTGTGCACATCAGGGTGCCGCCAGACTATCTCCCTGGGGACGTTATCGCTTTCAAACTGAACAACAATGCATGGAACTGTGAGCATCGGTCACAGCGAACCATTGTCTCGCCCGGTGTATATTGATCTTGTGCTAATCTCGAATATAGATAAACACGTATAGATCCCAGGCTATCTATGCATCAGGAATTCCTTCGCAGCATCACGAACGTGCGTCTGAGCATCCCTCGTTGCGCTCCATCTATCACTGATTGCAAACCACGGGTAGCGCTAGCGCCTACGTTGTTTGTATAAACAGTCCTTGCCATGTACGTATGCTGATATCTATACCTGGACCTAGACCTGGCGAGAATTCGAACAAGCACCCATAACACCTGCCTTCAACCAGTCTAGAATTTCGCGTTCTCGTCCAAGGCACTCCATGAAAGGCATGCACTAGACCGCGGTAGCGGCAGCGGCATCTCAGCTGAGTCAAACGGAACAGGCCTTTGCAATGGAGCGACTTCAAGCTTCATTATGATATCCGCATACATATACGGCTCACCTGTTCAGTCGCGCCACCCGGGTTTGAAATACGTTCCATTATGCAGATCGACGGAACAACTCGAAGCCACTCGATCGGGCTGTAAACAATACGCCGTCGTGGGGACGTTTCGGAAAGTATCTTAGCAGTCTGAGAAATCACAGGCAGGTGCCGTGCCCTGCCAGACGCTTTGTTCATCATGATTTCTGTGTGTGATCACCTCGGATTCCGAGACGACAGTGACGTCACAGCAAAGGCTATGGTAGATGCATCGGTGTTATGATTCGAGGGTCGTGGGGGAGGTAACCCAGCGTGTTCATACTTACTACCGTATGATCCTCGAAGAGAACAAGGGATAGACTCGGAACGCAATGATGTTGATCGTATATGCAACGTGCTAGTCATAAGAATGATAAGACATATAAAACAAAGGAAAACGAAACGAGATAACACGAAACAGGCAAGAAGAGAAGAGAAGCGATGATAGATAATACTCAGTGGCTATGGCTAGCTATCTTAAGCGGTGATTATAACATATACCGAGTCGAGTTGGGCGTGAGCGAGAATACATACAGTCAATCGATCCAAAAAAAAAACGTAAGGAGATCTAAACGTCCAAACATTATACGCATTACTGTCCACCTGTGTCCACATATGTGCATCCTCCTACACCATCGGCACCATAGCCCCAGCCCCAGCCCCAGCCCCAGCCCCAGGCCACTGACAAGCCCTCTTCTCCTCTTATATCCCAATCGTCTAAGTATGTACAGCATCCAGCAATGCGGCCCGCACGCCGGTCTGCTCTGCGCCATTATCCGGTTCAGCTAATAGGGAACGTCATATACAAGAAAACGAGGCGACCAAATAGATAAGCCAGATACAAGGTGTTGCATAATATTAGAACAACAACAAACGATGGTCGTTGAGGTAGGTGCATGAGTGAGGAAATAGATGGATGAGAGTCATGAGACGGGTGGGCGGATGGATGGATGGATGAAGCGTGGCGGTGCGCCGATCGTGAGAGGATATCATGCTGTGAGGTGTCTGAGGATAGAAGCGGGAGATGAGGTGCTGTGCGATTGTCCGGTGATGTGTCTGAGGGCGCGGGCTTGAAGATGGGCGACTCGAAATTGCGTTCGTTTGTCATCATGACATAGCGCGAGCTTAGATGACGTTCAGCTTCTCGAGGTGGTTACGCAGGATACCCTCCCGTACTGCACAAATGGACAACCGAACGAGCGAAAACGGGGGCAAGGCATCATCGATCAGCCAGAACGTTCGCTCCAAAACAGTTGGATCAAAACGCACCCCCGACCAGCACGGCTTGCGTCGCCTGTGTATCGATTGCAGACGTCTCGTGGCAGAAGAATGAACGCGGTTTCGGCGAAAGTCGTTTCTGCATAGTGCGAGAACGTGCAAAGGCACGCGGGAAATGATCAGCACGGAGCTCGGAGGTTTACGATAGAAGCCGCGTACATGGTATGCCTTGAACTTGTCCTTGAAATCTACATCACATCAAATGAACAGAAAACCACCGTCAGCTCAATCCCATGACCAAAGCAGGCACCGGCGGTGCTAGCGACACGCGGCGGCGCAGGGAAATCAAGCAGACGACTTACACTTTGTGACATGAGGCACGTCGTTTGGCGCCGAACCGTAGCTCGGGACGTACGTCTTGACCTGGATGCCAGCCGCGAGCGTCTTGTCCAGGATGTCCATCTACACGAACCAACGTCCAAACACACCCGACAATGATCCGAGACACGAAACGTGTAGCGGCGCGATAAAGAACGGACACGAAAAGAAAGTGGAACAAGTCAGCGTCAGATCGGGAAATCCGGGAACCAGACAGAAGACAGGATAGGGTTTCATCCACCCGTCACGGCGCAGGAGATCCATCCCAAAGTTCTCCTTAGCGACGGCAGATGACGGATGCTCGAGCCGGAGGCAGCTGGCCCAACGGAACGAAACAGAAACAAGACTAACCTTGTTCAGGAATAAGATGATGTGGGCACGTGCCATAAGTGGGTTCCTGCAGACATCTTTCCAAAGCAGTATCGAGTCCTCCTATGAATGCGGACGAAGAAGCAGAGTAGTCGATCCGAGTGAGTAGTGCGGTGGCGATGAGTGACGTGAGCTCATCAAAAGAAGTAGAGATGGGGGGGAACGTACCAGTCGGTTAACGTTGCGGTCCTCATCGAGTGTCTGATTGAACGCAAGTGGCGCAAGGAAGATAATCGATTGGACTGCCAATTGCGAGTGAATGAATAGGCGGACATCGGGGGCTGTCCGTGACGACACTCACCGTCATCAAAGTAGGGCACCCATTGAGGACGCTGTCAATCCCGCATCAGTCCATTGGGTCGTGCGTACGGCGATGTCACCGGGACATGTAAACACTCACCATATTCCGACTACCGCCTACATCGTAGATATACCACTCTGAGCCTGATGGGGGACAAGCGTCAGATACACGGCGCTGCGAACGTGAAGCACTGATGATGGACACAGACCCAACGCACCATTGTCCGTTACGAACCGGTGCTCCTCCACGCCAAATGTCCGCAGCCGGGCACGCACAATGTCATCTGTTGTTGTAGAACAGCGTCGGTGAGATAAGACGGCCGGTGACAACAAAACCTCTGATGCCGACCTTCCGTGGGTTCGTAGTCCGCCGTCGCCACCCTCGCGGTATCATCCAGGAAGCTGTGATGCGCCGGCGTTTGAGGACCAATGTCCAAAGACAAGGAATAATGCAGTGTTACTCACAACCCGGGCTGGTCTTCCATGCGAATACCCCTCTGATCCAGCACTTGCTTGACGGCGGCGTCTTGCCATAATGAAACGATGTCTGCGCAGGAGGCGGCGAGCACCAGCGTAGGGTCGTCCTTGTTGCGCGCGTCGACCGTGTTCGGTCGGCGGTGTCCACTGGGTCTCGGGTTGTCCGGGTCCTGGTCTGAATTTTGTCCTGAACCCGTGACTCGCTGGAGGACGGACTTCCAAGCGCTGCCCGCGCGGACGCAGAGTTCGGGCACACGGCTGGGATCGAAGTTCTCTGGGAGGAGCTGCCGCGTGAGATTGGTCTCCATAGATAGCAGGGGCAGGAGGCGTAGCCGTATCCTCCGGTGGTAATCAGTCAGGGGACCCTGTTCCACGGGAGGTGGGGGTGGGGGAGCTGAGGATGTTGACGCGTAGTTACTGGCTGATTTGGGCGAACGTGCACTCTGGAGGTCGAGCTCTTCGTCCAAGATTGTGAGCAGCTTCTTGACGGAGCTGTGGAGTGTTCAGTACGAAATTTAAGTGGATATATGCGTGGAACACACCCGATGAGATTGAGCTGGATGATGGTTCTCCATACAGATCTCTCGCCCTCGAAGTAAGAGGGATTGAACGCCATTTGGAAATCTGGGGTAGCCATAGGTTACAATGTGAGAAGGAAGAATGGGAGGAAAAGAGAGGACGCACTTCTAAGCATCGTTGATTTGCCCGACTCTGCCTGGCCTGTGTTGACGGAGAGCGGATGAACGCCGGTGAGGGGGTGAGGACGAAGGCGACGAAGGCGGAGACGTACCTAGGAGGAGCACTTTGATAGCCTTCTTTTTCTTCTCCCATGTCTTCTTGGATTCGAGGATGCTCTCGTCTATTTCGCGGGATATGCGGAGGGCTTCCTGTTGCTGTATGAGGCGCTCGCGCTTCTCCTCCTCTGTCTCGTTGGGAGGTGGTCTGAAGAGGAGGGACCAGGCGTCGTCATTATTGTCGTTCTTCTCGAGAGAAGAGCGACTTCTGTGTCTTGTGACGACGTCGATGGAGGTCATGGTGGTTGGGATGATGTGGCTGGGGGAGGAGGAAGATGAAAAGATGGCGGGACGGGGACAAGAAAGGGTAGGGGCGATGCGCTACTTAGGCCATGGTAACATAGCCAATGTCAAGTCCAGATCTCTTAGTGAGATCGCATCCGACGCCAGCGCTTTTCCTTATCCGGACACGCCTCACCTCGCTGTTCGCGTTAGACAGCGACTGCCCCGGGATCACTAAGCCCAATTCTCTTCCCCGCTTTTCGTCCGAGTGTTACAGCACACCTGACACTTCTTCTCGCATCTGACCACTTCAGACTCGAGACATATTCCTTCACGTGGCACATAGGCTCTCGAACATCAATCGAAGCACCAAGAACTGCCTCGGCTCCTGCTTACGTGGTCATAATAATTAAGCCCCACAGCCCCCGCATTCTCGGATGCCCTGCTTCTCGCTGCCATCCCACTTATCTCCCAGTGACTTCGGTGCTCATTGCCTCTACCCATCAATACCCTCTATCCGCAGCAGCGCCTTTATCAGATCTAGAGCATACATAGCATTCCCTATGACGAACCATGGCGGTCGTCGCTTCAACAAGCGCGCTCTGAAAAATCATTTCTAGTGTCCACTGAGGACCGACTCGGGCATCATCATCCCAATCTGCAGGTGATGCGTTGCCATTAGAGCATGTTATTGCATCAAGACCCTTTGGGCACGCAGCGCGACGTACCAGATAATGGGGCATATCGACCTATGTAGCACACATATATGTCCGTCCGTCAGCACACGTTGGTCTCCGTCATCGGTGTAGCTCGGTGCGCGACCGATCGCGTCGCCGTGCCAAACAGAAAACCAGATTTGAAAAAAGCAGGGACCCACCACCTCGTGCATACGCAGATCTCCCGCGACGCTGCAGAGCATATACGCCTCCCTCCGATCGAGCCCGTGCTCCGCCGCCAGGAAGCTGATCATGTTTCGCACCGCCGATCGCGCAGCTTCACGAACATCTGCAATTTCAACGTCACGCGCGACGACTGAGTCAGCGCGGGTGCAAAGGGCAGCGCGTGGTCATCGGTTTACCCGGATCAACGCCCGTAGTCGTATAATACCCCATCTCGGCGCCTCTTTCCGCGGTCCGACTCACAAAGTGTGGGGTGTTGACATACGGCTTATCTTTGCGCACCGTCAGCCGTACCTTAACCTTCATTGACGTTTCGATCGCGGTTCCTGTAGCGGCAGACAAAGTTAGATAGCTCAGAGATTTGCGATAATCAGACTTGTGCTGTGCCCCAGGCAAACGGGGATAGAAGTTAAACCCGAGGAAACTCACCAGCCACCTCTTTCAAAGATTTTGTGTTTGGATGTCATGGCATCGTGGTAGCGTCATGGCGGACGATCGAAACGCGATTGTTGACCCATTTCGAAAGCATATGTTTGTTTGTTTAGTCAGACCGAAACGCCCGAGTCGGGCATCGTCAACATGGGTGACTCACCGCCATCTCCTTGAGCAGCATGACCATCCTATGTGCGATAGTCGCTCAGTCAGTTTCATATGTCAGTGGTGAGATATGGAACGCCATGCTCAATCATGTAAACCCTCGGGAGACGATATCGGTCCTGCCGGCGCGAATAGACGCGCCAGCAGCTTGCTATGTCAGCGAAAACACTCACCCCAACGGAGAACAATCCACCCTCAACTTCAACAGGGAGGAAAAGGGTCGAACCCCGCGTCAGATGGCGCGTGTCCATATTTCCGCCGGTATGATAAGGCGGAATCGTCGAAAACGCGCCCTGCTCGCGGCGCGCGACACCCATCTCGCCGCAGAAGGGGCGTATCGGCACGCGGATCCGCTCGAGCGCGCTCCCTGCAGCACCAACACCGAGGTCGACGCGCTCACGGAACGTCGTAACCCCCTCCTCCAGGTCCCTCTCGAGGTCCCAGATCTTCAACGCTGCCTCTTGGAACTCTGGATCGTCCGCGAGGAGCCCAAAGCCAGGGATGATCGCCGTCCAGCCCCACGCGCCCGGCTGCAGCTCGAGCACGTCGACCTGCAGCGTGTCGCCCGGCCGCGCGCCGCGCACGAACACGGGCCCGTTCACCTGGTCGCACTGCGAGAAGACCATGCGCACGACGTCGGCTGCGGTCGACGATGCGGTGAGCTGCCCGTTGGATGCGTCGAGGCAGTCGAAGGAGACGGTGTCGCCCGAGTCGATGGTGATTGCGGGCGGGATGCTGCCGTTGTTTCACATGTGAAATGTTGAGAACGTAGCTTGAGTGCCAGAGGTTCGACACGTTAGGTAGGGTCCTTGACGCACCTGTTGTCCCAAGTCAGGTTCGCCTGCTCGCGTTTCACCGCGTGTATGGACATCTTCAAAGCACCAAGTAGAAGATGAACGCAACACTATCCGTTATCTGCCAAGGTCAGCTCCACGATCCACGCACTGTCTCCCATCCCACGCGTCGAGGCATACTTACATGCTCTTACATGACCACCGGGCCAAGGTCCGGTGACTTGTCGGGACGTTCCTACCATGCTCAGATTTAGGCCGCCCAGATGTCGACCCGGGGTATTCCTTCGCTGGTCATGGACGATCAAACAGCTTCAAACAGCCCCCCAAACCCGCACGCAGTCCCTGTGGCATCGCAGGGCAGTGCCATGAACTTCCCAGGCCAATTATCAAGATAGCCTTCACGGACACCCAACAACCTCTCCGTTGCTCTGTTTCGTTCCACACACTCGCTATCAGTGTGGATAGGCACCACAGTTCTTGCGGGTGTGGAACCCTGATCTACGCCTCCTAGTAGCATGCAGGCTGGCAACGGTGCACCATCATGTCTCTAGGATCCACAGTCTATGTTTGTATGCACGGCGATCAGTATAACTTCTTTATGGCAAGTCATTAGATAATTGAAACATATACTATTTCCAGATTTCCCTGTCTGATAGATCGCGTCCTCGTTTCGCTCAGAAGGGCACCACAGCTTCAGATCCCATGAACGCTCCCCACTGAATAGGCCTAGCCTGACACCCCATCTTCGACTTCACCGTCTGCTTCTCCCGATGCGCCTCGCGACGGTGAGCAACAACATCAACAAGGTGCCGCATCGTCGGCCGTCCGTGCGGGCAGTTCCAGGGCTGATCCATCGTCCCCATATGCCGTACAACCTGCACATAATTCAAGAGCCCTAGCTTGAGAACGATCATCAACATTAGGAGATGGCCGATCCATAACGTACGGTAGTCATTTGCGCCTGCGTGAGCGGCTTGCCGACCATGATGCTCTTCCTGCAGGCACGCATCGCGAACATCGCGCGCGCCTTGGAGCAGCGTACCATCGTCCCCTTTGGCCGATCCTGCATCAGGTGGATGATCTCCTCCAGGTCTGTTTTTGATTTTGGTTTTGGTTTCCGCATCCGTTTCCAATTCCATTTACGGGTGCAGGGCGTGACAGGACAGGGATCGGAGTCGGAGCCAGCGTGCGCCCGAAATGAAGAGAGGGGTGCCGTTGACGGTTGGATGACAGTTTTAATTAAAGGCGGGTCGATGGACAGATTTATGAGATCGTGATGCGTGCAGTAGTCAACGGTGGTAGACGAAGTGTCAAAAATACGTGAGTTGCGTGTTCAGCATCGGTTCTCAATTTTAGACCCTTACCTCGCATGTCAAACACCGTGCTCTTGCTCACGGGCTGAGCAACCAGACAAAGCCTCGAGCCGCTCGCGGCTTCCGGGTCCTCAATATGGTCAACCTCGAACCCATTCTGTCGAAGCACGTCGATATTCTCCATCGCAAGCAGCTCGTCAGCGGCTGTAAGCTCAAGCGGCTGGGGCCTGCATCACGTATCAGCATCGCTGTCATTTCGGAATGAGAAAAATTATCCGCTCATCGTGACACACCTGAACAGCTTCTGCGACTGGATATTCGTCGTCTGCTGCAGCGTCTCGAAGTTGTACTTCTCATCAGCGGCATGCTGATCGACAATGAACAGATCATCCAGGCTGCCCGCGCTAGCGGCGCTCGCCGGATCGCCACCGCCACCATCAACATCACCCCCTGGCAGGGCATCCGAAGCCAACGCTCGTCGTCGGGCGACGATGAAGCCGAGGTTGAACTGCCCCAAGATCTCCATTTCACCAAAGTCGCTCTTGCGGATGATACGCGAAAGCGTCGCGCTAGCCTTTGCGTCGTCCACGGATTTGTCAAGCCCCGCCGCTTCAGAATCAGTACTATCCCCTGTTTGACCGGTTTGTGGTGTAGGTGCATCTAGGGGCCATGATGATTGGTCCACCAGTGCATGTCTGGGGTCGTCCTTGGCAAGCTCATTCCAGCGGCTGGCTATGCGTCCCAAGTCGAAGCGGATCGTGAATGTCGCATCACCCGATGGCATATTGCTGGCTTTGTCTTCCGAACCAACCACCGATTCTTGGTCGACATCAATAACTTCGTACTCGGTCAAGTCCACAACGTCCGAAGAAGCCCCAGCATCCTGTGGAGTGATATGGGGACTGTCAATGTTCATAAGTTCCCAATCCTCCAAAGGTTCGCCTGAGCTTGGAGGAAGACCGTATGCATGGCCCTCGCCTTCAGTCGGGTGCAGTCCATGTTCTTCTGACGACGCATGGCTAGGAGCTTCGATAATCATGTCCGTTGGATCGACCTCAGGCTCAGAGCTTGTCATCATCCGACGTTTGCGAGAAAGACCAGCAGCAGCGACGTCTTCGCGGCGTGCAACATCGTCCCTCTCATCATGAGCGCTACGAGACTGAGCATGTCCACAAGTCTCCATCTCTTCATCTTCATCCAGCTCATCTCGTTCTTCTTCTCTGTCAGCTTGCTCTTCTTTTTCTTCATCGTCATCCCCGCCCCTTTCTTCTTCTCCTTCATCCTCCTCCTCCTCCACATCTACACTCGGAACCTGGCTCCCCGCAGCAGCGAACGCTCGGAGCTTCGTCCTGAACGAGACCTTGAACGCCGGCCGCTGCTGCTCCTCCAGCCTCGGCTTCTTCTTCGCCCTCCCGCTGTCCCCATCATCATCATCGGGGCGGAGATTCCACGACGCGTTTCGCGTGCTCAGCACCATCTGCACAGGTTTCGCCTTCCGGCGACCGCCCACGCCCGCGTCGGCCCCAGCCCCGGCCCCGACACCATTGTCATCCCCGACACCAACGAGACCAAGGCCCGATCTCGACGAGTCGACCGGCCGACCGAGCCCGTTCGCCCCGGCCCCACTCACTGCCGTAGCCGGTACCGAGCGCCTAGAATCGTCACAAACACCCTCCGTGAGCATCGACGCTCTCCGTTGGGCCTCGATCTCGAACTCGGTCTCGGTCTTGGTCTCGGCCTCAACCTTGGTCCCATCCGCACCCGGCGGCGCCTCAAACTCGGAGCGGGTGCGTCGCCTCGAACACGGGGCCGACGACGGAGCCGGCGATCCAGACGCATGCCTTGTGTTGGTGGCACTGGCGGAAGTATCGGACGTCTTCGGTGCCTCGTCGGCATCTTCCGGGAGAAATAGGGGCTCGCGTGCAGAGCTGGAAGAGCGGTGTTTATGATCATGCTCAGGGTGAGCGTCGTCAACTAGGAGCGGAGGGTTCCGTCGGTCCATCGAGACAGACGTAGGTGGATCTCCGACGTCGACGGCTGTTGTTGGGAGGCTTGCGGAGGGTATGGGCGGGTCGTTGACGGCGATGACAATGGGGGATGCACCTCGGACATTGCGGGTGGGGAGACTCGGCGAACTACGGTCACTGGAGGACTGCGGTTGAGATTGGGGCAGAGATGGGGCATGACGCTGAAGCTGCGAGTGCAGGGTCTGAGTCCCTGCGAGACCGACATCATAGGTAGACCTTGACGAAGAGAAGGTTTCCTCCAGAGCAATCTAGGGTCGACAATGTCATACATGCAATCAGTCTGACGAAATTTTACAAAATTCAGCGACGGGCTGTGCTCACCTTGAGAGCTTCCAGAAGGTTGTTCTCGCTATGCAAGAAGATCGTGCGTTTATCCGGGCTAACGTTGATGTCGCATGCATCTACGATACGCGGTAAGATGTGTCATAAACCACGAGCTACGTTGAGAAAGTAGGGCTTCGACACTCACGGGTTGGGAGTATGAAATCGGCGACAATAAAGGGAGACTGATTGGCGTTGAAGGATCGATAAATCTCATTGAACGCTTTCTGAACCTGCCATCAGAACTGTCAACCACTCCACTACATACCCTGCATGACGTCCCTGTTCGTACCTTGGAAGGGTTGTAGGGTCTCCCATTGACAAAGAAGAACTGTCTGTCCGTGGTTGTCCGCCCTGAGTTGACAGCGAACTTCGAGATGAGACCACGGACTTGAACATGCGTGGTTCCGGATCTAATGACCGTCAACTTCTTTGGTCGGATAGCCGCGGATGATGACCACAGCTCCACACTTACGCGTCAGGATCATCCGCTACCTGTCTCCTCAAAACTGCCTTTTCGGTCTCGACTTCGAACTCCAATTCCAGGTCGACAACGTTGTCGAGGGCACGTGAGCCCCATAATGCGGTCGCAGATGACTTGATAGAAGGTACCCCATCTGTTCGGAGTTGCACGGCCTTGCGACTGGGAGTGGGAGCCGACGGTAAGTAAGTGGTGATGAACTGTTAGTCGAGGTGAAACACGCTTTGGACACGCACCCTCCCTCCGGCGTGTTCGTCACGGTGAGCCGAACGCCCCTATTCTCCTTGGTGCACGGAACGAGAGCGTAGGCGTTCAAGAGGTTCAGAGCTTTTCCAAACTCTCGTTTGATGTTGCGTTCCAGCTCCTTGCGGCGCACGGGCAAGGGTTTGAAGAGGCCCGTGACAGAGACGGTGGTGCCTCTCTAGCAAATTTAGCACCCGGAGGAGTCTCGGAGACGAGGGAGATGACCGGCCGTACCTGGCGAGCGACTTTTCCGTTTCTGTTCTTAATCTCTCCAGCCCTATCCATCTCCAGCACGGAACCCATTGGAGCCTCCGAGGACGTCGCGGTCGTCACTGTTACTCCGTCGCTCAATGCACATAGTGACGACAAGGCTTCTCCACGAAAGCCAAACGTCAGCACAGTCGAAAGATCCTCAAATGACGCGAGCTTAGAAGTGTGGTGTTTGAGCGCTGAGGATCATTATTCATTAGCATGACGAAGGTTCGATGCGTGCCACTAAACTTACCTATGCTGTCGTAGTCGGCCGGGGCAATGCCACTCCCGTTATCGATAACTTCTATCAACTTGAGGCCGTAGTTGTGAAAGCGAACCTCTATGTTAGTAAATGAGTTACAGGAAGGCGGTGGTGTGCATCAGAAGCGTGCAGCATACCAATATTGGTGGCACCTGCGTCAAGGCTGTTTTCAACAAGTTCTTTGATAGCTGTTTGTAGATCAATGACGACCTGTCCCGACGTTATCCTGTGGACCGAATGGCTGTCGATGGCTTTAATGGCCGCGGCGTCTTGGATTCCGTTTGAGACATGCTGTGACATTCGAGAGCAGAGAGGAGGGCGTTGGATGTAATTGTACGCCCACTGAACTTCCGCTTTTGAGCAGCCTGAGTAACAACAAAGAACAGGAGTGTCTGTTGTGGCGGGGACGAGCGCCTAAGAAGTCTGATGCTACGCACAGCGTTTCCACTTTTATGAGCAAACACAATGAACAAGCAAAGTTCGCGGCGGCGAAACGGTCGTGTGTGGGCAGGCAGCGAGGAGCAGCGAGGCGGACTAAATTGACCCTGCCTCAATTGGCTGACTGACAGGCGGAAGCATTTCGCGTCGTTACGTTTCTGTCCAGCCCGAGCCAGCTGCTGACTCCATATAAGGGCTCCGTTGGTCAGTTCAGTTCCATGTGCCTGCAACGTTTTTCTCTTCACCGACTTCATCTCTAGTTCAGCTCTCAGCCAGGCGCATCAATGTCGCTCGTCGGCCCCCCAGCGTCCCACAACGAAGTTCCCCTCACCAGGGAGATGCTCATCGACCTCCTTGGTGACATGTCCGAGCAGATCAGGCTCGTCTTTGGCTGCAAGATCAGGCTCTTCGTCCATGGTGGAGCCGTCATGATCCTCCACCCCTCCCTCTCCCAGCAGAGCAGAAGGCGGACAACCCGCGACGTCGACTACATCAGGCGCGCCTTCGGCCACGAATGGCGCAAGATGGGTATCCACGACGCTGAGACGAAGCTTCAAATATGCATCAATGCGACTGCGCTCCGCTTTAGAATAGGGTGGGTTTATCAATCAAGCAGCGATCTTCGACATGATCGAACTGACTCGTATCGACTTCTAGCTCTGACTGGATGAACGCAGACCCCGATGTTGCCCTCCCCTTTGCCCGAAAGTGAGTATCTCTACTCCATGTCCGCCACACTCGTCATCCCGTCATCCCGAAAGAACCCGCCTGAACCAGGTTGACTCATTACCTAAACAATCTTGCAGTGCAAATGCAGAGGTGTATGACCCGATATACCACGACTCGAAGCAGCCCAACAATGTCTCCATGAACGCCGTCTTCGACTCGCCCTTCCTCACGCTCATCGCCGTCACCCCGTTCTGGGGCGTCGCCCTCAAGCTCGTGCGGTACAAGAAGGAGGACCCCTCCGACATCGCCGCCCTCCTCCGCCACGGCACCACACTCAACGGCGTGCAGTGGACGCCTGAGATTCTCGAGAGCTGGCTCACGAGGCTGTGCTGGCCGATGGGCTACAACCAGTACCAGGGTCAACAGCTCGGCGAGCTCCGCGACCGGATCCGCGATGCGGTGCGCAACGCGCAGGCATACGACGCCGCGCACGGGACGAGCGACATGCAACTTGTCTCACAGGCGCAGATACAACCCCCTGCCCCGCCGGCGTCGGCCGACCCCTTCGGTCACGGACGTATGTCACTACATTCGAATATGTTCATGCAGGTCCAAGGACCGGGGCCCATTCCCATCTCGCCCACGCCAGCCCCTCAGCCCAGCACCCAGTCTTTCCCATGGGGCGCACCCTCGCAGCCACCACCACCTCCGGCTGCCCAGCACCAGCCGTCAAGCTGGGAACAGCAACAGCCGCCGGTGGTCCAGTCCCTCCAGCCATGGCACAGCTCCTCGCACGTACCCTCGCCTCCGGGGTTCGTCCCCGAAAAACGCTCCTCAAGACACCGCGAGTCGCGTCGTCATCGAACGCCCTCGCCTGCTCCTCCGTCTGTGACGTCGATGCGCGTCTCTGACCACTGGCCAGGACATGGATCGTCGCACTCACATTCACACTCGCATTCGCATCCGCATTCCCACCCGCACTCGCACCTGGCAGCACCACCCATCATGTCCTTTGTATCATGACTCCGGCTTCGACGACGTTCTACAGCCGCAAATAATATCGATCGCCTTCTCGATCCACCACGATCGATCGCCTTGCTCTTTGCTCCTTGCCTTTTGCTTCATTGATCTGAACTCTGAACCCGAACTCAACATTATACCATCCACGCCCTATGACGCACGCTCTCAATATCCGATATCACCCGCCGCACATGCACTATTCAGCCATTACCCCATCATAGAAAGTGCACGTGTATTCTCAAGTGATACCATGCATTCTTCATTTCCTTGTTCCCTCGTTTCTTCATTTCTTCGCTCTCGATCTCATATGACTCTCTCGTGGCTCCCGCAAATCGACTCTTGTAACCAATATTGCCTCGTGTACCTGCCTGTAACGCTACCCATCTGCTTCGTTCGCTCTGCTAGACCTTGCTCTGCTCTTGCTTCCCGTCTCCCTTCTATTAGGGTCTTTATAATATTGTCTCCCCATGGTTGCCATACGCTCTCTCGCTTCTATCTACACCAGATGTAGTCCATATGTAACGCCGTAGAACAGCTGCATCTAATTGTACTTCTGGTCAAGTCGCCGCGATGCGCAATACATAACAATGCGTATACCATCATCGCTGTCTACGTCATGTATTATAACGTCGGAACGCAGTGGCGAATGCTGACCGGTATTTTGTCCGCAGGCAGAGGTGTGATCCTGTCCAATGGGGCACGCTTAGCAAGGGCAAGTAGGTTGAGGCGCAGTTTTCGTATGAGAGCGTCTTCCGTCTGGGCAGATGGAGCCGTCGTGGTCCCATTTGTGGCCTGGCTAGCTTGTAGCACCTGCGCCTGCACCTGTGGCTTCGTCTCCCCATCTACATCCATAGCATCTGCATCTTCCTCTTCCTCTTCCCCCTCCTCCTCTTCCTCCTGCTTCAACGCCTGCTTATCGACAACCACCGTTACACCATTCGGCTGGCCACCCACACCATCCGCGGTACCCTTCCTGACCAGCTGCTCAATCGCCTCCGCTGAATACTCCAGTGCCGCCTCAAGCACGTCCGACGAGTCCTCCACCACCCCATTCACACTCGCACCTGCACCCGCACCAGCATCTCCCTCGGCCTTCGACTCCACCTGCGCCTGTGCCTCCCGGTGGCTCTGAATCGCAAACGCAAGGTATTCCATCGCATTGTGCGCCTCCCCCTCGAGCGCCTCCTCCGTCTTGCGCCGCTTGTGCGCCGCCCCGGCCCACTCGTCCTCCGCGATGAACAGCTCCTCGGGTGCGTAAATGAGCGCCGCGAGGTCAAGCTGCTCGTCCAGCACGAGTGGCTGGGCGGGTGTACAGGCACCAGACGAGTTCAGCGCGCTCGCGAGCGCTCGCTCGAGTTCGGGAGATAGGGTGAGGCTCGGATCGGGCGAGGAATGGGGGTCTGGGAGCGCGAGGCGCGCGGCGACGGCGCGCAGGACGGCGTGGCGCCCGTGGGTGGTGGGATTGACAACGGTCTCCTCAACGTAGCGGGCGAGGGGCATTCCCAAGGGAAGCTGCGCGTCGTCGACAGGTGACACCTAATAGAAATAAAATAAAATCAGCTGCGCTGAATCCAAATGCGGGACTCGAAAGAGCTCACCGGCGGAGACGTCTCGTCGGGTGACGGCGGCCGCACGAACTCTGCCAGACTGCGAACGTACGCCAGCCCATCCACACCGCCGTACACCAGATCTCGGATATACGCTGACCCGTCGCGCGCATTTTCGTCCCGCCAGTGCTCGGCATCAGACTGATGAACTTTATCTTCCCCAGCTGCTGCTTCTGGTGACGAGAGCTCGGGGCGTTTTCTGCGCAAACCATAATCTTCAATGGACTCGCGAATAGTAGCGAAGACGTCGTCCTCGGAGGTCGTCGTGTCGGCGTTCATCGACATCTCCTCCGTCAGCCCCGCAAATGAGCCGAAGTCTGCGGGCAGAGCTTCCCTGAGCTGGTACTCTTCATCCTCTTTCTCGCGCTCCTGTTCTTTGTCCTTTTCTTTGATCCTAGCACGTGATGGAGCTGCGCGGGTAATGGTCCAATGTCGACGCTTACGCGTAGCTGGGACGGTAGAAGCAGGTGTAGGGGCTGAAGGTTGGGTCGGCGATGGAGGACGACGGGAGATGGATGGGAGTGGGCGATCGGTAGCAATGTTGACGGGGCGGTAGAAAACTGGTGCTGGTGAATCTGGGATTTGGTGTAGAGGCCATAATATCGGTCGCGTCGGTGGCTCGGGTGCGAAGACCGATAATATTGAAAACGGGTCCTCAACTACGGAGGCGTCATCTTTCAGATAATGAAAGCGTTTCGATTTGCAAAGTGGCGTACCTTCTAGGTAGTCAAGACTTCCTTCGGCGGTATAAGGTGGCCCCCCCTTCTCCATCCTCAAACGCTCCTTCTTCGTTCGGTACCGCTTGCCTATCGGTGCCACCGTCGTCAGGCGCGTTTGTCTTGTGATAATGGCATAACGTACCTCGAAGCTTCAACGCTAGCATGAGCTCCGACCAATCAGAGCCCGGCGGGAACGCCGCTAGCCCATCCTTCGAGCCAGGAAGACGACCTTCCGAATCGATGCTCTCGGATATGGTCGGAATTTTCTTGCCCCGACCGCGCTTGTTGGATTGCTGCTGCTGCTGAACGGAAGGCGCAGGCGAGCCCTCGAGGTCCATCGGTGTCTGCGCCGTCGCCAAGGTCTCGGCGTCATTTTCGTCGACGTTCAGCGTGGTTGAGTCGTCATCTTGCTCGACATCGATGTTCCAGTCGGTCTCGTACTCGATGACGGTGGCCGCTGCTTTGGAGATATGGTCGAGACCCCATGTCTCTATGCGGTCGGCTTCCGCGTGGTAGATGGTCCCGGGTGGATTGAACGTCTTGGCGTTCGAGGTGACTAGACGGAAGTCATCCTAAAAAGCGCATATAGTCACTTATCACATCGCGCGAAATGATCGTGGTTACTCACTGTGAATTCCTCCAAAGAACGATACTTCCCCCGACTCACTTTCGTGGAAACGGTTCCAAAATCCATCGGACGTTTGATGACATCCGCGTAGCCCGGGATCTGGTCTGCGGGGACAGGCTGGAGAAAAAAGGCATAGTCGTCTTTCCTGTGAATAACAATGAGATCAAGACAACGCTGAAAGAACAAGGTCGAACGGACTTCTTGATTTGTATGATGAGTTTTGTCAAGACCTCTTTCAGAGGCTTTAGCTTAACTGGGCGAGGGACCTTCTCGACTTTGACATCTTGAGGGACTGGGGTCGCGCCTTTCGATTTGCTCTTCTTCAAAATTTTCGAGGCCTTGAGCGCCTTGAGAGATGGAAGTTTGAGGGTCAAGCCGGAGCCTGATGGTACAGACGACCCATTCGTCTCGGCGTGGTAAACAGAGGGGCCAGGGTTGTCGTTTTCAGCAAACGAGTCGAACTCGTTCATGCTTGTGTCTGTTGCAAGGGATTATGTAACATCCCTCATACATACTGGGCTGTCCACGTGATCGGCGCGCCATGGGCCGCCCCTGGTTTGTGTCCCTTGCTCAACCGCGCCGTACAACCTGACTTGCCTGTTTTTTCCATATTGCGTCCATGTTCTCATTCCCCCAGGTCAACATCCCCTCAACTCTCTGCCGTCGGTAGGCTCCAAAATAGGGTCGACGGAATCACCTAGCATTCCACGATAGGCCCGCATCGGCGCGGCGGCGCATTTCAATGCTCTCGGTGTCTCTCCCGGTCTTCGCTAGGTTTACACGGTTTCAGCGGTGACACACATACCCGATGGACTTAAACTCTAAACTATAGACGCCTGCATGGACCTGTCAAGTCACTGTGCGTTTACATACGACCGCCCAGATGAATGAACAATACAAGCATGCTCCGAACCCCAGTGCGATGACCGCTGTCCCTCATTTGTTTACCTCAGGCAGCACCCTCTCCTACTGATGAACGCCGAGGAGACGTCATGCATACCCTGCCCATGAGGCTTTCTGCCAATATCTTCTCCCCCTCGCGACGCCCGCTTTAAGCTTCCGGGGGCGGTCACAAGGTACCCTGGATATACAACGACAAACCGCGTACTTGTCTATACTTGCTGGTGAACTCTGCTGTGTCGCCTGTTTTGACCAACACAAGTCTAAAAAGGGGTATGTGGGGAAAGATCGAGACCATTATCCCATTAGGTTTCGGGGAGGCCCACACTAGAGTGTCTTCGTTCTTGAAAAAACCTGGCCCTCCGAGTTTGTCGAGATTCCACCTTGCTGGCGACCCCAAATGCACGACAACCGGGCTCCGCCGATAGTTGGGTAAGTAGTCAGGGGCTACCTGCGGTCACCACGGCGGCCTTCGCTATGATGATGACGCTCGCTTCGCCATCTCATCTCCGTGGCGATGTTTTCAGTCAATACGTTGGTTGTGTCAGTCTTTATTCTGTCAAACATCCATCGATAACAACTAGGGTCCAGCGGCTTGTTTTGCATCCGTCGTATTCATTCTCCAAAAAAAGCCTCCGCGCTAATTCAAAATTCTGGAGATTTTGAACGCCTTGTCATTTCACACGTGATAAGGAACTCTACGGCATCCTCGCAGTTTTCCTGTAGGTGTCTCGACTGTTCCTCGACGTCGGTCTGCTTCCGTGCCGCGAAAAATTAATTTAAATGAAGCAGCTCTTCGACCTGATGGAAAGCACGCTCTAGTAATTATCGCCGGAGCTCTTCAACCTGGCCAGACTTGTGCCGTCCTCATGGAAAGCGCACTATAGAAGGTCCGCCATGTATTATGGGCGAACGGAATACAGCTAATCGCGCACAGCTCGGCGTGTTTGGAGTGCCCCGCTGCTGATCTATCCCCAAGCACTCTGGTTCATTCTGATTCCCGTTCTCTCGTGAAACACGACTCGGATGGCCAGCCCGACAGCGAAGACGGAGGCAATAAGATTCTTTGCTCTAAAGAAGGTCCCGTCGGTAACCAGGCCAGGGCACAATAATAGCGCGTGAGATCTGGACCGTCAGCTCTGCAACTAGCGCGTGGGCAGCACGGTCGCCTCGGGGAAGCATCTTCATTCAGGAGTGGCCATGGAGACTGCGAATGGTAATGACGGCGTTCCCTTGCGTTCCTCGTGTATCACCAGCGATTATAGCAGACCCTCGTCGTTACCGTCGCCGTTCGAGCGGTCGTAGACGGTGGTGGGCAGGAGCAATCTTATCTGGAGGATGATCAGTGATGTTCGTTGGGGGTGGACGTAGGCGGTGGTGCCTTAGCTTGCTGCCTCGGCCCCTGTTCGCGTATGAGAAGCACGGACTTGGTCTCGGACGGCCGAGTCAGATTTCCTTCTCGATCTCGCATGTCAGATGCTTTCTAGGCAGCGCCGCCACGGAGTTGGAAATTATGCGATTAATGTGCCGGAAGCTTCTGTATTAGGCAATCATGAGCGTCGTTCCTGAAGAAGAATTGGGTATTACGCGAAACTTCAGTTGCCATCAGCCTGCCACTTCCCACCGACCACGGTAGTCGGGCGCATTAATACTTTTGTATATTGGGTGAGAAGTCACACAAGAAGGCTTGCATGAGTGCGAGAATGCTCAACTCCGCTGACGTGGGGTATTAGCAACGTGAAAAATTATTTTTGACCCTTGCTGTAGATGAGATGAGGAGCCAAATGTGGTTTGCTGGCGACGCAGCCGACATTTACGCGGAATTGGCACAAACCAACATGGTGACGACAAAAAATGACATCGGGTTCGATCACTACCCTCGGCTACTCTCATATTTCGCTACAATGAAGATCATCGTCAGCTTTCCTTCCCTTATTTTTTCTCCCGACTCCTTCCACCCGCTCCCTCTCTGCCACGCCGGGCTGGGGCGTCAGATGTGCTAAACGCAATTTACGCCTTCACGCCTTCATTCATTCCTTGTCTTGTTAAATACGTTTCCATCTTCGCTGAATGTCCAGTCCCTCCTCGCCGCAACGCACAAACTCTCCGAAGCGCGCGCCTTCACCTTCACCTTCCACCCAGCCGCAATCCTCACGACGCATCGAACACGAGAACAGCCCTGCCACACACCACGAGCCTTCTCCACACCCCTCCTCATATACCGCCACACACGCTCGTGTGCCATTAACCATCCATTCCGCGGATCTTCATTCTGAACCCACTACTTTTGGCCAACCCAGCACTTCTTCGCGCCCTCGACCCCCAGACGACGAACTCAGCCCGCGACCCAGCAAGAAGATGCGCGCAGACCTTCATTCCCCCGAGGAACGTGTTTCCTCCAGCCAATCCGACACCTCCTCACAGAGCGGTATGGCCGACGTCGAGACTGAGCCAGAGAAGGGCCAGCAGTCCGAACCGTCCAACGCCCCTGCCGCCCCTGCCCCTAAGAAGAAGCGCACACGAACTCTGACGACACCGCACCAATCCGCTGTACTACATGCCCTCCTTGCGCAGGTGAGTTGCCATAATTTCTTCGCCAGGGGCGGGGAGGCGCTGATCACGATTTGCCCCCTAGTCTCGATTTCCCACCACCGCCATGCGCGAACAAGTTGGACGTCAAATTGGCCTCAGCGCCCGTAAAGTCCAGGTCAGTACTGTTGTCTCCCCGCCCTTTCGCCACCATGCTGACGCGTACCTTGTAGATCTGGTTCCAAGTAAGGACCATACCAGCGCTTGAATTGTGTCGTACTGACTGATATCTTTCAGAACCAGCGTCAGAAGGCCAGACGTCCTCAAGGCGATAAATCAGCCCCTTTGTCGCGTCCTCCCCAATACGGTCCTTTCTCAAACACACCAGTAGCCACTCCTTCCGCGGGTATCATGTCAATGGGCCCACTGGGCCCTATGTCCCACATCGCGTCTTTCACCTCCTCAGATAGCATGCGTCCGCTGGGCGCGGAGACGAGCCCGCTCGGCCCCGAGCTGTCCGGCCCAGGCATCCCAGGCTTCCACCGCCCAGGTTATGTGTCCAGCGGTTCCTCGAGGGAATTAGATCCCCAGACCTTCATGCGTGGTACCAAGAGTCCAGAGGTCCCCCGTCAGCGTGCCGCGCGGATGACCGACGAGTCCCGCATCCTTCCCGAACTCAGCCACACACAGGGTGGACGCCCTCTAGCGCCCCGCCCTCTCACCGCTCCCGGCGACGATCCTCGGTCCCAGAGCGCACGAGTACTGCCGCCGCTAAACTTCGGCGCTTCAACGCCACCTCGTCGCCCCGCCAACTATGTCTCGCCCACCCTGTACCATCAGACGACGACTAGTTCATCCGGAGCTGGCCCTGGACCTGCCAGCACCAGTAGCGGGCCTCGTTCGGCGGGTCCAGAACCCTCGAGCGCGCCAGCCACGGCCTCGAGCATGCCCCCGCCGTTTGCGCTCCAACCGCAGCCTCAGTGGGACCCACACACGTTCGCTCCGTATACGCCACCCCAGTTCTCTTGGACTGAGTCTTCGCGCCGGCGTCCTTCGGTGCGATGGAGTTACTCCGCCGTCGTTGGGAGTCCCCGCTCTAGTAGCGCTTACGTCTCCAGCAGCACTCCCCACTCGCCCAATCACCCTCATCCGTACCCAAGACGGCCCCGCGAAGGCTCGGAGGATGAGGGCCAGGAACGACGCTGATGTCACGCGTGCCGTCCTTGCTTCTCGCACCATTCACATGCTACGATCCATTTTTCACGCTCAGTACACGAAGTCAACACGATGATCCCCGTTCCATTTTCGATATCCCTCCGCGCGCTCTTTACCTCACAATCGTACTCTTGCATTTAATCACCGGTCATTTGACGCTTTCGTTATCTTGTTGTCTGCTACAGCTACATTACCGCATTTGCGCATCTCTCACAATTAACCCCAGAGACTTAATTCACGGAACACACCCGCATCCTTCTAATCCAGTTACAGTCAACAGTGTTGTTTTATCTCTGTACCGTCCTTTCCTTAGACGACAAAGTTCGTGATAACTATCTTTATCGCATCTCTAGTTATTCTAGCCTACCGAACCTTATACATCTCCTTACCCGAAGCATCTACTAATATACCTCGTAAATACAACTGTATAGTACAAACCACCCTCCCGGCGTGCAATCCATTTTGCCGACTTTCCAGGGATTCGTGACAACTAGCAGCGTGGCCGAATGCAATTTTCACCGACCAACCGGGGACAAGACCGCGTGGAAGAGAGCGAAGAACACTTCTACGTTCGACGGCCCACAAGGCTGGCTCTCAATGCCTGTTCTCTGTGCGAGGTGGTTGCATCGCCATCGCCATCGCCACCGTGAACAATGCCTCCGGATGTACCCTCTGAGGCGACGTACCTGCGGTCTGTTGAGCCTGCCGCCTGGTCATCACCGGCCCTGATAATTGCCGTCGATCCAGCAGCACGACCGCCGGCATGCGCAGAGGGTGTCCGCCTCCCGGCCTTGAGCGAGCTGTCAGAATGAAACGGAGATGGTCCTGACGCATTACGTTCTCTTTCCCGGCAGGAAAGCTCCGCGGAATCAGCCGCTGGTATTGGTGGTGGCGCCGGTGCTCCAGCACCCTGCGATGGCGAGCACGGCGCCTGTCGCGGAACAACGCGCTGAAAACGTGTTTCTGAGACCGCCTCATCGTGCGGGCCGAGCCTTCCTCTCCCTCTCTCTGCTTGGAGCCTTTCCTGGAGTCGAGAGCGCCTATCGAGCTGAGATGACGAATACGGTGACGGCAGGAGTGAATTGTCGTCAACGAGAAACGTGTCGCCGTTGTGACCGCCGAGACTGGCGCCTTTGTCAACCAAAAATGAGGCAGAATCGCTCAGTGGGAACATGGGTGTGGATGCTGAGTGCGACGACGCCGTGCGGACGGTCGAGAGTCTTTCTGGCACCCCGTGGTGCTGCTGGATATGGCTCGTTCCCGGTTGGGGTGTTTGTGACATCACGTTTGGAACAAACATTCCATGTTCGTCGGCGCCAGTGTCTTCATCACCAAATTGAAGTGTTAGTCCAGGATCAGCCTCGTGCCACGACCCCACATATGAAGGAGGCGAAAGACGAGTGCTGCGCTGCAGTAAACCATTATCAGGACCAGGAGGAGGATCGGAAAGTCTGGCTAAAAGGGAAGGGACGTTGCTTTGTGTGGGAGATAATTTTAGCGACGTCTCATGGTTGGGTTGTCCGTCGCCATGTCGGAGTCGCTCGTGCCAGCGTCCAGCAGCCGGCTGCGCGACTCGGTCGTTGACTCGAGACTCCTTCTCTGCAGCCGATCCAGACCTCGACAGATGCGCTTCAACCAACTGTCGCAGGGTAGAATGACGAGGAGTTCTGCGCCCTTCCGTTGTGAGGCGAGCTAAAGCGGCTGATGGTTCTCGACCATGCCCAGATAAAGTAGCGCGGAGAACACTGTCGATAGGATCACCATTTGGGCCAGTGGCCGCCGTGGAGATGGTACTATCGGCGTTGGTAACTGCCTCCCCCTTTGGAGTAAGCCGCGTTTCTGACACAGGTTTGTCGGAGACGTCCATCGCCCTCAAATGTGGATCCCGAGACACGAGGCACGAGAGTTCATCCCCATAGCCCTGGCCCAGTTGATCCACAGAATGTTCCCTAGCTTTTCCCTTATCCTTAGCTCTCTGTAACCGGTCAATGTTATCCTCGGCGCGAGTCTGAGTGCTGCTACCCTGTGCAGGACCAGGGGTGGCATCGGACGCACGGTCAGAGCGTGGGGAATGGTGTGAGTGAATGTTACGTTCTTCAGGACGGTCTCGATGGCTAGCTTGGCCCTCCTGACCGGTAGATCGAGGCCTCAAATTGCCAGATAGAGTTACGCTTGCAACATAAATTCCCTCAAAGCCGTGTGACCCTTCTTGGTTTATGAAGGATGGCGGGGATTGTGAACGTGACAAACTAGACCTCTCCGAAGAGGAATCGGGTGTCCGTGAGTGGGACGCACGTCCTTCACGCCACCTATGGCTTCGATCCGGTTCCACAGGAGGTGCTAGGTCAGCTGGGATGTCGTACTATTGTCTTGATTCAGCAGAACTTTAATCATCATTCAAGATAAGGTACACACCTGAACCGCCGAATCATATACGTTTAGATCCCGGAAGGGGCTCCGCAGATAGCAATAAATTTCTGCGAAACAGGGTCTCAGAAGGTTTGCGCCGAAACGACCCAATTTACACATACCATGAGCGAAATGTTCCGCATTCTCGTGGCGATTGCCTTCGATATACGGAGCGTCCATGTCTAGAAACTCGGCCACCAACTTAATTGCTGACTCAGACCGGATGTCAATTGATTTCATTAAGGAGATGGTAAACGTGGTCAGAAACTAGAAACAGTGAGAATCACCAAGATGCCTTGTTAACTTCATCGAACGAGGGCAACAATAGAGGCGAGTACGCGTTTTTGCTTACCTCAATATCCAGGTCGGGCCAAACTCGTAGCTCGCGTCGCAGGAAAGCCGTCATGCGACTGATGAGGTCCGGCGAACTCGCGAATTGCGCGGGAGTAGGGAAAGGACGATAGCGAGTGAACGAATTAGACGCCACGTGCTAGAGAACGTTGTGTTTGAGACGAGACCTTAACTGCAAGGATGTGGAATATGACTACAGCACCTTAGCATATAGGAGGTGACTATAGATCCACCTCCTTCGAGCAACAGCTCTCTCTAACTGATCCGCTTCACCGGATGCCTGCCGCGCTCTTTGGCCCCATCGACGGTCTCTTCGCGGCAAGTTCCGAGAACGGCCGCGGCCATGCACCTGGGCTGGAGCAGAAGGACGTGGTGATGTCCGTAGTGGAGGGAGGAAGTGCTTTTGGTAGTCATAGTTGGACCGAATGCGGTGAATCAGGTAATCGCCAATAGCTTGGGAGCACAACGGGCATTTGCGAGATTGCTCTAGTGAATCAAGGGTAGACAATGTGTTTAATCAATAGTGCGGAACCTACTTACCGGTCCAGATCAAGATGCACTCAAAGCAAAACTCATGCGAACAGGTAGGGATGACAGTTGTATCCGCTTTGGAGTGCAAGCATATGCTACAGTGATCTTCATCTAATGATTGGACCTCGTCTTGCAGCTGAGGCTGTTGTATGACATCGTCTAAAGACGGCGAGTGTTCAAGTTTGATTCGCTTGCTGGAATGGGGTTCGTCGTCCATACGGGCTGCAGGGTGACGGAGTCGTTGACGAGCGCCGAGAAAAGGTCGATCAAGCCATTTGCAAAACCCGGCATCCGACGCCGGCCCGAAAGTGGCTGACGTAATGCATCTCGGTCGGCTAAACCGGATCGGTCCACTGCCACGTGGAGGCACAAACCTTGAAATCGCCAAACTGTCGGAGACTACCGGTTGTTTGCCAGTCGTCTTACCCTGCAAGGCCCAGATCGTTGACCCTAGATCCACAAAACTATGCACAGCCATTTGTAGAACAAAGGTCTCCAGTTTGCCTTGCGATTCTCGTTTCACAGAACCTGTTGTCAACACGCGCTCTTGACAATTTACATAAACTTGTCAGGAGTATCCGCAGCGGTTTGATAGATTTTCAGGATGCAATAAATTGTGATTGACAAGGGCACACGGGCCGAGTACCTCCAAGGGTATCATCCGTCATATATGTTCGGGCCCGCACGACGTGGTCGAAAAGTATTTGCCACCGAAAATTTGTAGAGTACAGTACTACATACTACTATTGACACCCCGGGCCCCGGTCGAGTACTCCCCAACTGATACGTCGTGATAATTTGCGATAACTCAGCCCTTTCCCTTAACGCCACGCCCCGAGTGGCTCAAAGGTTTGAGATGATGGCGTTGAGCTTTTGGTGGATGATATGCTCCGCAGTGTGGGATCCGGCTAGAGCTGAAGCTGAAGAGCAATCATCAGAGCAACTATTGTGTTATCCTGTTATTATTTTGAGGGTATCATAGTTACTGTTGCACTGCGCGTCTTGTATTTCCACAGATTTCGAGTCATGAGATATGGTGTGCAAGGTAATGAGCGCTCACACAGAGTTGACGGCTAAGATCATATATGTAAAGCCGAGCCGGCATAGTCATTACCTGTCCCATTCCGAGCTAACTCCGCTATGCTCCGCTGCTTGAAATCAGTGCTGTATTTCGATATTTGAGTGTCCGAAGTGGGAATAGGTTCAGGCCTTCGGCATTGTTCTGGCAGAAACGCATCATAATCCTCATCTCTCACATTCGCACTAATTATGCTGAAAGAACCAGGACAATAAAATGGGAAAGCGTCGGAGCGGGTGTATTGTAGGATGGAGTCGGAGTGTTGGTACTTATTCAAGCAGAGTCCGCGCGCAGCAGCTCTGCATCTATCATTTTGCGTCTGACGTTGACGTGAAACCGAAATAGCGGGCATTTTCATTTAAATAATATACGTCGACACGATGATAGCATACGACAGCTGTGGCAGTGATTGACATCACCGGGCATCTCACAAGCTCACACCTCAATCCCACCTGTCACTTGTCAGCCTTCCGCTTGTTCTTTCTCCGCCACCGTCAGTTGACCGCCTTCCGCCGTCGCTTTACTCCCAGGAACTGCTCCTGAAGTTCATCGAGAAATCAATCGTCAGTCATGGTACGTTAGTTACAGCCATCAGAGCTCGGCACAGTCGCCACAAGCTACTGACAAGGATGGATCGGTCAATCAGGCTAGCGATACACCATCTCAAGGGACCACATCGGTCTCGTCTTTACCCCCTGAGACGCTCGAGTTCGCTCATCGCGTGTTCGATGCAGCGCGTAACGGCGATTCGGAGTTGTTGCTACGGGCCGTCGACGCGGGCCTCCCCGTCAACATGACGAACGATAAAGGTGCGCATGCTTGTATCAGCAGACCTGTCTCGCTTACCCTTGTGGCTATCCGACACTCCTGCACCCACGACTCTCGTCCTTGATCTCTGATCCGCCGATATCCCTGGCCCTGTTTTATCCAGGCAATACCCTGCTGATGCTTGCTGCGTATGCCGGACATAACGAGCTTGTCGACGGGCTACTTGCTCGTAAAGCCGATCCTGACAGATTGAATGATATGGGCCAATCTATCGTCGCCGGTGCTGTCTTCAAAGGGCACGATGAGATCGTCCGTACTTTAATGAAGGCAGGGGCAAATCCCAGACTCGGCAAGCCAACAGCGATCGAAGCGGCTCACATGTTCAACAAGAAAGAGCTGATGGAAGTTCTCGGGGCAAAGGACAGTGATATCGGGCAGGAGGTGCCAACACCACCCAGCGCTGCTGCGGGCAATTAGTGACTCTGATTTCATTCAAGCATAAATTAGTGACAGTGTATGACATGTAACATATGTAGGTAATTATGCAGAGGAAATAAGCGATATGTACTTAGAATCATCGAAGATACACCCTCCCGGAGTCGTTGCTGTCGTCCCCAAATCCATCAACCTGTACCCATCTCTTTTCCGAGCACCTTCAAGCACTGCTTCGCAAGGATTCGGGCATCGACTTCACTGATGGCATCATCATCACTTGGGCTGCTATGGTCGCCTATCCGTGTCACATTGGTTGTCGCCGACATTTGCGGAACATTCCTTGACGATAACGACACCCAGGTCGATGGCGTCTTCCTCGGGATCGATGCGATCTCGCAAAGGACCGGGTAGAAGTAGAACAGGTGAGCAACCGCCGACCGACGCACGACGTCGGCAACAAGAGCCGAGGGTGGAAGAGAAGCATCCACACCTTTAAAAGAGAACAATGAGCTATCGATGTATGGGGAACAAAGTGAGGAAACATAACGACCGGCTCCGTGAAGCTACCAAGGAACATGTAGAGAGACAAGACTGCAACAACTTACCCGGTTGAGAGGCACTGTTCTCGGTTGGAGAGTCCGATAGAGCGGCCCACAGGGTCCCAGGCCAAAGTCTCGTCTCTAATAGTTTGCGAAGAACGTAAAGAAGTTCGTCCTCGCGAGCCCTGCAATCGACGCATTAGTCGTTTGAGTTGAGGCAATTACGCGGAAATATGCGTCTCCAAAGTGAATGAAAACTCGCCTAGGGAAGGGCAGGTTACCGCGTAGCGCCTCGTCCGCAACATATCCGACCATCGTGGATTTGCACCTGTCGAGCAGGGACGGCAGACAAAGTGCCGCTACCCTCTTTCGAGAAGCGCCGGGTTCTAGATAGATCAGACGGAACGTCGTCAGCACACACGCACATCGACATGGGGATGGCGATATGAATGAAAGAAGCACAAATAGGGCGACGTAGTTTAGATACGAGGATACACGCACCGGTCGTGACGTCGGAGCAGATCAGGAATAACAGATCGAAACACCAGAACGAAAACCTCTCCCGCGGGACGAGCGCGCCAAACGCGGTGCTACCGAAGCCGTCTAGATCGACTTTCTCAAACTCGTGCGAGTCCGGACTCGAGGAAGAAGACGCGGCACCAATAGCGTTCCTTGACCTATTCAATCTCTCGTGCATAGGCGAGTCCGGGAGGGATAAACGTTCTTCCAGCGATGCGTCCTTGTACAGTTGACTGCCTTGGTGGAGGACTTTGGCAAGTTGTGTGATAACGGAGTCCGGCACCTTCGCATCGCCGAGGTGAGGTACGATGTCGATCTCGAGGGAGCTGATGAGAGAGAGGTCAAAGTTCTCTTCAGTCTCCTGAGTTTCGAGTGAAAAGGTCTCCGCCACAGAACTTTATTTCGGGTTTCAGCCAATCATGCGCGGAGCCGCCAACAATGGAGACCGCACCAGTCAGCCAATATTCCCCCTCGGAAAATGTCGATCATTTGCCTCCATATCGCTTCAATGCGTTCCGGCGGCAAATCTATGTCGGCAGCGATGATCGAGAACGGGTGAGCACGGTCCTGAAGCATGGATAAGTGTACTGTACTCACTGTCGCCGAATCCAGAAAGCCGTCGGGCAGCCTCTGTGACAATGCGCAGGAAACACGTCGTGGCAGTCTTCCACAGCGGTGGATCTTTGCCGAACTTCGACGGGGCAGGGCATTCATACTTGAGCTTGATGGGAATCGAGTAGGCCTATATACAATAGTAAGAAGTAAACCCAATCAGTCGCGTGAAAGTTAGAGGTCGGTTTGGAAACTTACCGACAATATTGCCTCCACGGTCCCATCTGAATACACTTCGACGTCATCTTTGAACCTGACGAATAGCTCCACCAGGTATGGCATGACCTTCTTCGCGAGCCCAATGTAAGTCATCTGACGTCGCGACGCCTTCGAAGATGTGGATGAATGATCGGCCTGAATACTGAAGGCAGCCAGGAAGGGCAGTGTGCAGAACTCAGAGAGATCATGCATGACCAGCGAGGGCGATCCCGATCTGGACAAGTCGACGTCTTGGATCGTGTTCATGACCACGCTCTGTTTGTGTGAAGTGGGGGAGTTATTATTTGACTGCGAAGAGAAGGATATGTTTTACCTGGGAGGGGGTAAGCCCATCGATGTCCGGTCTGTATTCCGGCGAGTTCGGGTACGTCAAGACACCTACGGAAAGGATGTCAGAATCGCCTGCCAGACAGGATGCAACAAAGAAAGCCGAGGTCGAGGTCGGCTAAGCCCGACGCTTCAAGAAGCAGCGGAAATCCAACAACATAGAAGAGAAAGCATGCAACATACCCTTCAGAATCTCCATAAGCCTCGTCAACCGCTCCAACGGCCATTCCTCTCTCGTCAGCGCCCTGCTCACCACCCGCGTACTCCTTATCACTTCAACGAGTGCGACGAGACTTTCCTGCGAGAACGCTTGAAGCACTTCCTCCAGCGGTGCATTCGCAGACCGCATCTTCCCACCCTGCAAAACCGCGCCGCCAACTGTGTCGCACGCCTCCCAGGCCTGAAGCCACGCGTCTGCGACCTTCTTCCTCGTTTCCTCCGGGTAGCCCTCCGAGCCCGAAGAAGATTGTGAGGGGCGAGGTAGAGCCTTGACAGCCTGCTCAAGACACAACAACGCAGGCGCGCTGAGCGATCGGCGGTCAAGCAGGACCGTGTCCTGCACATGCCGGACGAACACCTGCCACGCGCGAGCGAACGAGCCAAGTCTGACGAGATGCGCAGGGAGGAACTCGGCCATGATCGCGCCGATGCTCTGCAGCGCGAGCGCCTTCGAGTCGTCCCACGCCTTCTCGCGCTCGCGATCCGAACTACTGGCATCCTCCGGTATCGTTGCCATACCGGACGCGAGCGTAGGGGTTGGAGGAGACACAGGGGCGTCATGGGTCTCCAGGGCCCGCCGGGTTTCATTCGAGAGCGCGTCAAGGAGCGGGAACGTGATTTTCCACACGCACTCGTCCCACGTATCGTCGCCCAGCGTGGCGCCATACAGCTGCATGGCCCTGAACAGCGTCTGGATCGACCCGTTCCGCACCTCCGCTCGCGCGTCCGAGCACAATCCGAGCACCTCCACGAGCAGGTCCATCCATATCGCGCTATACTCCCGTTCCTTGTCCGCGTCTTTCCTCTTCGCCTGGATCGAGTCCGAGACAGACCAAAGCAGGGATTCGGCGGCGGTCAGCGCGATGTTGGTGTCCGCCTGCTTGCCAAACTGGCCCAGCGTGGAGATACACAGCCGGAGATGGTCTGCGGAGAGCAGGGCGATGGCATCGCAGACCAACTTAAGAGACTGGAAAGCGATCTTGACGAGGGTGCTGTATGCTTTTTCGCTCGTATAACCGAGCGGCGACGGTGGAGGTTTGCGTCCGCTTGACGAACCCGCTGAAGGTTCTGCGGCATGTAAAGACAAGGTGATGACAGAGTCCACAGAAAGTGTCCTCGACAGCGAGACAGCCGATGCTGACGAGACCAACCCGGTGGTAGGAGGTTTGCAGACGCTCCCAAGCATCTCGAAGATGGTCTCCCAGCCTACGACAAGGGTATGTCCCGATGCCTGCAAGATCTGATGGAGCGTCTCGAGACCCATCTTCCTTATCTCATTGGCAGTCCCACTCCCGGCCACGAATCCTCCAAATCCTCCGGTTTCTCTGTTTCCACCGCTTGCGGGGAGGATGACCTGCTGCGCTAGCACTGCCAGCACACGCTGTTGCACGTCTGCCTGGAGCTCGCGGTTGGAGGAAATATTGCGTGGAACGACGACGAGGATCTCGTCGAGTATGCGCGCGGCTTGCAGGCGTAGCGCTTCGGGTGCGCCCATATGTCCGAGCACGGATAACAAATGCGTTGTCGTCGTGTTCCATGCGATGTCTGGAGAGCGGTAGATGAGCCGGTGGATGTTCAGCATGGCGATCGTCCCGAGGCGCTCGAGGCCAAAGTCACTCGAACGCTGGCGATGAATTAGTGAGAGCGCACAGGGAATCGAGCAAACCAAGACTCACAGACGTCTTCGGCAAATGGATCCCGCTAACCCTTCTCCGATGAGCATAAGCGCTCTCCGGCGACAGCGTTCCACCTGGGCTCAGCGCCTCCTCATCAACACCCGCCGACCCGAGCCCTGCGCTGTCCGCGGAAGCCGCAGACTGCATCCCGACCATCTCCGCGCTCAGCTTGCACAACGCCTTCGTAAAATCATGGAACGCCCCATCCTCAAGATTCTTCGACGCCTCGAACAGCCGCGTGATCGCATTTTGCACGCCTTCGGCATCCGCGTCTGCCAACAGGGGGTGGCGTGCTTGGCCTTGACCCTGGCCCGGCCCTTCTCCCGGCGAAAGCGACATCGACGCCTTGGACGGTGTAGACGGCATCAAGCTCGCCCTCCTGGATTGTGGCCCCGGAGTCGAGGGACCTGCCGCCCGAGCGCGCAGGACGTAGTCCGCGTTCTGAAGGGTCTCGAGGATCGCGTACCAGCTCTCTCCCAAGCTGCCGGCGAGGAACATTGCGCTGCTGACGAGTGCCTTGAGACATACGAGGTTCCGCTCGCTCAGACCCGGCGCATGCGCCTGACTTGAGCCGAAGCCGAAGCCATCCGCAATGGTGGCCGTTCGGGGTGTGGTAGGTTCTGCCCCAGCGCTTATCCCTCCTCCTCCGGCACCAGAAGAATACGAGTCGAGGCTGGCGACAACCTTCGCAGGCAATGCGAATTTCGCTAAGCTCGTGAACAGAGCATCACGTGGCGTGGAGAGGCCGAGCATGCCCGCCACATTGATGAGCGCTTGATAGGCTGTGAGGACGTCGACGAAGAGTTCGTCTGAGAGGTTCGTCACGATCACGAACGACAGAGCGGCGAGCAGCGCCGGCCAGCCGTTGTCGACAATCGCCCTGACAGTGCGAAGTTGGCGTGCGTTGCCGGTACTGGCGTTGCTCCCACTGCCACCGCCGTTGTTGGTGCTGATAGTCTCATCTTCGGGGAGTGCGTCAACATCGAGCGCACCAGGAGCGCGAACAATAGGCTCGCCGGCACTCCGTGGGCGCTGGACCATGATAGCAGTATACAGAGGTCCAGTGAACGACGCAAGGCCTTCGCACAGCGCGACGATACACTGTACCCCGAGGAGGTAGATGTACGCCTCTGGTATTGGCGGGGCGTCGGCTTTGTCGAGCTGGTCGATACTGATTGGTCGTTAGAGAAGACAGTATTAAAGACCAGGAAGTATGCTCACCACTGCAACTTCATAGCCGCTCCCTGCACACCCAGCCCTCCGCCCGATCCTATCATACCCACAACACCCGAGACAGTCGCGCTCGCCGCGTTCGCGACCATCCCCGCTATACCGCCTCCCACGTCGTAAATCCCACCCGAGCCTGACGTCGAGACGTTCTCGGAAGAGTGTGAGGACACGCCAATGCCAAACATCTGCGAGCTGACACCCAAAATGGCCGGCTTCTCGGTGACAAGGCGCTTGAGCGTCGTGAGGAGAGACGCGAACACCTTTGAAGCGCCCGAGCTTGCCGTTGGCGTATTCGGATCTTGCGACGGTGGTGGCTGCAGGGCGTCATAACGGTCCCAGATGTTCCGTATCAGCTCTGCGTCGCTGCACAGCCTGTTTCCGAGGTTCAGTGTCCAGCACCAACCGAAGCACAAACGACAAAGGATGGCCTATAGTGTGGACTGCCCCACTCACCCTCGGATAACCTCCATCGCAAGCACGCGTACCCATGGCCTCTGCGCCGGATGATCTGACCCGTCTGACTCGTCGCCAACCATGCGGATGAGGAGCATGAGAAACACCTCTGCCTCAGTTTGCAGTTCGTGGGAGAATTGCTTGAGGAGAAGGAAGACGACGCGTGTACACCGGAGTGTGAGTGGGAAGACGTGTCGATCCGAGAGAGATTTGAGAAGGAGGGGACAGAGGAGGTGTTGGAGGAGAAGTAGAAGTTCTGAGCGCTTTGTGACGCCCAAGGTCAGGTGTGATTGTCAAGGTCAATGAGTGGATTACACACCTTGCGGAATAAATCATGGTAATTTGTGAGTACACTCTCAATCAATTCCAGTGCGAAGGTCTTGTGGAGATGGTCGAGCTTGAGAAAATGCGGACGCTCCGAGTTCGCGAGCAGGCAGAGGTCCTCGAAGACGGAGTACGTGTCTCGCGCGTAGGGACCCAGGAGACGCATCGTGCCGTCAGGTAGGACGGTGTCGATCTGGGAGTTGGGTGTCTCTTCTTGTCGATCTTCGGTCACCATCTTGTCGACGACGAACATGACAAGTTGACGGAGGGTGGCTGCGGCTGTTGAGGACACGACGGCGATACGCGAGTCTTGCAGTTTGAAGCAAAGGAGCAACGCCTGAATAACCACATAGAAGCGGATCAGCCAAAAGTGTGTCAGCAAGATGATGCGCAGTGTGGGTATATGCGAGACGAACATCACCGAGCTGAACGCCGTGGACGGAAGGGTAGTTGGTGATGAGGGATACAAGCGTCTGAAGGATACGGAGCTGGATGTCTACGCCTTGACTCATGGCGTCCGTCATAGTTTCAATTATTGCGGGCACAGCGGAGAGTGGGACTGCTCTCATAGCGATGAGTCGCTGGAGGGAACCGAGGGATATGGCGACGACTTTGGCGTTCTTGGTTGCGCAGCCCATAAACACGGGTCGGAGGAGATCGCCTGCATGAGGGCTATCTGATGGTATACGTGGATAAGAGAGTAGCCGAGGTCATACGAGGGAAAGGCGTGGGGTTGGGGTACGAGGACTGACCCGGGGAGAGTCCGGCGGTTGCATACTCTGGCGAGGAGCGTAGGATGGCTAGCGACTTCTCCGCTGCCTACGGTAGGTGGATTGTAAGAGTAAGGTTGAATGAAAGATGTTATAGCTTGCCTCTCTGATCTCCGGATGCTTCCTCCTGGACTCACTGGCCAAAGACTGCGATGGTGAGAGTGTGCATGTCAGGGAGCGGGTTGGCTGATACTGAACTGGCGACTGACCTGAAGCTCTGTAACCAGAAAGGTAAGAGAGCTCATGTTACTCCTCCAGAACAGCTTTCAGGTTTCCGTGACACGTATCAGAGCAAATTGAGGGGCGAAGGGCCGACTTGCACTGAAGAGTGCGTCAGGGATATGGGTGGATGTATGCGCGCAGTCTTCCCTGCCCGGCTCGGCGTCAATAGAAAGCGAAGACACCGCCACCATCTGCCTCCTTTGTCGTGACCTTTGTCTGACCTTTTCTAAGGTCCACTACTTTAATCGATGGATATTGACGTTCCTCTTCCACGAGACTTCACGAGGGCGGGGAGTTTCAGGTCGACAGCCTTCCTACAGCCAAGATACCTCAGACCTATCTTCCCCTTCCTCTCTCGCGTGTCTCACCATGTCACCCCAGCCAGATCACGTTGACCACCTCTTCTCCCGGCCCTCCGTGTACGAGACCCTCTTTTCCATGCTCTCCCCGAGGGAGTCGATCCAAGTTTCGCGATCCTGTCAAGCTGCTCACGACGCCTACTTGAACTTCACTCATCGCGCCTACGACATCAACCGCCACCTCTTCTACTTCTTCTCCGACCCCGTAGCCTTCCGCTCCCTCCAAGCTCGCACCGGGACATTGATATCGGGTTCCGATGCACTGCAGTTTCTGGAGAGGACCGTGTATCCTGGGTCCAACCTCAATATCTACACTCACCCCGGTCATACTCTTGAAGTCTTAGATTGGCTAGTCAACGCCGAGGGGTATCGCTACGCGCCCTTTCCACGTCGTCCACGAAACTATCGCGACGATGTCAAGCCATGGGACCCTCAGCAGAGCTCGATGCGATGGAATACATGGGTCCGCGACAACGGTACCGGGGAAAACGGTCTAGGAAAGATCTACCCCTTTACCAAAGTGTCGGGTTACGGAGGCGAGAGGCTGAGAGTGCAGGTCATGGAAGCTCATATGAGTCCTTTCATTGCGATCACTTCATTCTACTCCAGTATGTTCCCTCTAGAATTGGCTTCGATCTCTTTGGCTCAGCTACTGTGCAGCCTGTACGATGAATATCATCGCGTTCGACTGCGCATACTCCCTATATCCCGTTCAGACCTTCGAAGATCGAGAAACTCTCGTGACGTCGAAGGAGATCGACAAATCCCACATTGACAAGTACACCCGTAGAGGCTGGAGCGTCGTCCGAGTGCCGTTCTGCCCCGCCGACGCCCGCTACAAGACATCGAGATGGCAACCTGCTGCATTCCGAACGCCGCTAGATTCGAGGACCTGGAGAGTTCGCCTGGACATGACCGGCGTCGAAACGCGCCCATCCCTAAATCCCCCTCCCTTGTCCACTAGCCTCCCATGGGACCCTGTCGTAGCGAACAGTTGGGAGCTCAATACCCTGGATGCATGCCAGAAAGGCGCTGCTTTGCCCGATCACTCGGACTGTACTCAGCCGGCGATGACTTGTCATCACTCGCAGCTTCACTCTGGGTTCTTCCGCTATACCTACGCTGTCGCCGATGCTGCCCTCCCGATGTTCATAGACCAGTACGGCAACGATGATATACGTAGGAATCCTCAGGCATGGTGAGCCCTTATGCAAGCTTGTCCTAGTTGTAGATGAGTTCTCTTATTACCCGGGGTTTTCAGGCTCGACGCAGAGTTTCCGAGATATGTTCAAAAAGCGCTCGGCGAGCTCTTTCGGATGTCAGGAGGAGACACATTTCCTGCGATCAGCGAGCAGATGGCCTACCTGTCTAACTTGCGTACGTCTCGCTTTCCAAATGTGACCTTATGTATCTCGTCTTATCTAACCTCATCTAAGTCCCAAATCGCCAAGCGTCATCCTCGTCCATGCAGCAACCCATATCTGTCTCGACGCCGTCTCCAGCACCCCTATCTCGGCCATCGCAGATCACTCCCGATAGCCGCACCTCGAACGCACCTTCATTGAAGCATAATCTTGCACAAGCGCTGCCTCGCCTTCGGGGCATGTTCGAGTAACTCTGTCATTGGACCTTGGTTTACGTTGTGTCAGTCTCATGTTTATAGCCATCGAACTTCGTCCATCCCTTCTTTCGCCCGTTCTCCTGTATCTATCATTGTTCAAACTTCGAAGTCAATGGTAATTTCTTTAGCACCTGTGCACTTCTAACACTGAGACCATTCATTTTCGTATACGCTGATCATAACGTTGACCAGGATGATCCCTATGCTGCTAAAAGCTCTTGAAGGTAGCGGCTTCCTCCACGGTGTTCCATCGCTCCCTTCCTTTCATCTATCCATAGCTTGGCATGTCGCGCCGGCCGGGCTCCGTTTATCAGATCTTGTCATTGATACCGGCTCTTAAGACCGTTTTGTCTGTGCTCTCTCCGCGAGACAAGGTGTACTCGTCGCTCGCCTGTCACGCTGTTCATGAAACACATCAGGGCTTCACTCGCCGTGCATATAGTATCGCCCACTATCTTTATAGCGTTTCTTCTCCATCCCTTTAGAATACCGCACTGTTGAAGCTCGCATAGGGACGCTGATCGCGGGGGCTTGCACGTTGCAAATCCTGGATAGGACCCTCTACCCGGATCTGACTTGGGCATCTGTACCCGTTCTGACTACATTTTTTTGAGGTCACGGACGGGCTCATCGGGCAGAGGGTTATCGCTATGCCCCTTACCCGCGTCGACCCAAAGTCCCCAAATGGGATCCAGAACGGCCCTTCTTGCCATAGGGCATCTACCTCAGAAATGAAGAAGCTAGCCTCAACAGCGTGGGCGAGGTATACGCCTTCAACAAGGCTTCGAATCAAGCGGACGTAACCCTTCGGGTCTGCGAATACTTGGCAGCTCAGCACTCACGACGAGTGCGAAGACACTGGGTATCACTGCTTATCCCGCGGACAGCCGACACTGTATTGCGACTAAATGAAGCTTCTGTGCGTCGAATGCCTTAGTTACGTTTACGTCGTTGCTGAAGGCACACTTCATTACTTTAGTACCACCATTCGGCGAGCTGGTGCGGCCTGAAGCATGGCAAGTCCGCGGCATATCTTGTTGTACATGAAGACCTACTAAGTCAATTGTCTTAGGTCCATGCTCGTTGCAGAGTTCCCGGAATTGTGCCAACAAACCTTAGATGATTGTTGTACAATTCTGGGAAGAGGCTTACTGTGCTCGGTGGCCTGATGGCTTTCCTATCTCTGTCGTGTGCGTATCTGACTCAGCATCTTCGTTCATCTAACGCAACATCATCGCGGAGGCGGTGATTAAAGTCCAAAAAAACAGCCTCGTTGACCCCGTCGGAAGCAAGGCGCCTCCCCAAGTCATCCGGAACAGTTCAAGGCTATGCCATTGTCCAAAAGCCACCTATGGTAACCGGTTATTGTCGTAGCCTACCTAGCCTTCGAAAGAGGTTTCAGTCATATCCGGTATGAGCTAATTGTCACCACTGCATCTGTCTTCTGTGTTTCAGGCCTTTTCTTGGACTCTTCTGTTTTGTGGGATTTTCATGTAAACTGTGCAGCCCTATCGGGGCCATGAATATCTGAGCAAGCGTCATCGAGTCTTGTCTTGGCATTCAGACCCTGAAAACCAACCTTGAGCGTGGATGTCTTCGGTGGCATATGTGCATACTACATACCGTCTCTGGCTTGATTTTGTCAACATCCATCGGTTGGCTGATAAGTCCAAAGCTTCATGATTGACACAGCACAAGCATGCGACTTTGTGGCTTGTGGCGGAGTTATCTTGGGATTCACGCTTAGAAAAGGTGTGTGATACGCTGATAGCGCTCAGGTAGGATTTCTCGCTTCTCTTATACTAGTAAATACATTAGAAGTACTTATGTAGCTCCTGTACTCGAATTTAGCTTCTGATTCTCTAATACATAGCTTCTGCTTCCCCGAGCCTTGGCCCAGGGCTTCTGACTCGTCCGGTGGTCTATCCGCCCATCTCGTGTCTTATTATCTTATCTCGGCGTCGGCCGATTACGTGAACACGATGACAGGCTCACGAATTCAACAAGTTAGTTGTGTATTGGCTGTGTAGGCATTCAAAAGGTCATCCGGTGATCCATAACGGCTACAGTACACGAGCTGGCATCTTCAGGAAGCTTATCATATAATCTCGTGTACAGCAACCCCGACTTTGCCGAAGCCTCAACGTATTCGTGCACACTGTATCGAACTATACAAACTCCGTTACTGTACTCCCCTACTAGGACCAGCCTTCGCATGCAATCCGAGCACTGCCCAGATCTGAAAACCAGAACGCTCTCCAAGGTGGCACGATTTGTACTCATGTTGCGCCCCATCAGTCAAAACACGCGCACCTACAGCTTCCAAGGTGGAGGCCTCGCTGAGAGGTAACAGGAATAAATCACCATTTCAACTATCCAACTAATGTTATTGGTAAAGCGTTCAATTTTACATGAGGGCCATTCAACCAGATATACTTGACTGCGGACGAAATACTCGCCAAGAGCTACTATAGGAAGTTTACTCTCTCTGCATGAACTGTTACAGTCAACTCTACACCTTTGCCAGTCTTAGTAGGGACACCCCTAATCATCTCTCCCCTAGATATCTCAGCAGCCACAGCGTGGGTGCGGATGTTCAGGATTGTACGTGGGCCAATCACGGACATCCATAACACCTGCGCAGACATCTCTGCGGCCGATAACCCAAGGTTCTACAGGTAGCTTCCTCAAATTTATTAAAACAAGTATGTGGCGAATGACTCACATCTGATTCGAACATGGATAGCAGACCCAGAAGTTTTGGGAGGATATACCTGTATAAATTTACCATCAGCAGTGTATGATTAGGATATATAGTAGACCTCGAACATGCAACCGAAGAGGATATTATCCCTTACAAGCACACCACAGAGGTCATTCGTTGACATGAGGTTCAGCACACTTCCTTGATGGGTTGTTTTAAGATACTTTGCAAAGTAATAGAATGTCAACATCAGAATTAACGTTTGAAGGGCGATCACAACGACGCTGTCAAACACAGTAGACCATGAGGACGTGATGAGCACCACCATGCACGTAGTGTAGCCGAAGTCGTTGACTAAGAGTCGAAACCATCAACTTGAAGTTTGGTATAACTATACATAGTGAGAAGGTGAATTACTCACCAGCGACTCCATGGTACTGGGAAGCAAAAACAATGACCCTCGCAATCTGCTGCACCAGTAGCCAGACCGTCAAGAAACGCATCATGGCCCTAGACTTCCTAGATAACACATAAAGTCGCATAATCATCGTGACTTCTGGATTTTAGCTTTCTTTTCGGTTGAATACGATGACCTCACCTTGAGTCACGAAAAGAACAACGTCGGATCCGACCTGGGCTATCCACCAGACTGATAGGCCTGATGGACGTGTTAGCATAATGCTATTGGCATTGGTACTAAATGATGATCCTCACATCTGAATGTACCAGAAGGGTGCCTATTATTAATGACTATGATCAGACGTCATATGAAATAAACATTACCCCTGTACATTGATGTTGCATTAGTTGGTGTTGTAGTTACAGTAACTAGTTAACGTACAATTTTCGATATTGAGAAGTTCATGTATGACACTAAAATAACAGCCGATGAACAATTTCGCTGGTATCATGAATGGATGGGACCGACAGGCGTTGCATCTGAGACCGTGTAATTAGCACTTATCTTGATGTTTTGCAGAATGAAAATACGCACATGCTGACAGTCATCCCTAAGTAGCGCAGCTTATAAAATAACACAACCGTTGCTTCCTCAGGGAGTACGTTTCAGACTTACCACTATGTACAGGATTGTGACCAGATTTAGCTTCCTTTTCTACAGTGATAATTAGCTTTTCCTTCGATAGTGTTAGGTTCTTTCAAAGCACATACCCAAATATTATTTATCTCTTGGTCGAGACATAATACTGTCGATATTGGTGTCACCATGGAATCAATTACATTGGTCATGAAAACACCCACTAAAATCGTAAATAGCAAGAAATATTGCCGTTGCTAAAAGGTGAAGAAACTAAATTCATATTTTAGTGGTTCACCCGACATTACGACTCACCCTCAGAGTACCTTGCGATCTCAATGAAATTATATAACGATGCTTCGCTTGAGATGGACCCAGACATGATGTGCAGTGAAGTCGCTGTTCTTCTTCTTCTTGGTTAACTTGTAGTAAGATGGAGGTAGGTATTCCGTATCGAACTCCGGACGTAGCATGATACGTATAAGTAAGCCCATATCCTTATACACATTCGGAACAAGGCCATACAGCTCTCATTCTCAGCCTCATTCGCACCTTGTGCTAGCAGTATCATTCCGATTCAGTGGCGTGGTCCTGGAGTTGGCGAAACTTGATATACCAGACTGTCACTGCTCAGCAACACGAAATCGGGAGAGAAAAAGACTCAACACAAGGTCTCCACTCTCACGAAGAGTCAAAATCATTGTGAACGGGAACAAGAGGTTCAACAGGTATCATCAACTAAGCCTTCAGCGTGTGTGCAGAAAGTCGGACCTTCAATGTTACAGTATCAGGGGCGGAGCCTGCTCGAGGAGTACAAAGCAAGTAACATCCTGATTATCACCGCTAGCGATTTTGCTGATGTTTGCGAGGGGACCTAGTGGGAGTTTAGATTCTTCAACGATGAAAAAATAGAAAACGAGCATCTCTCGGGATATTGCGAGTATTCAATTTGTTTTAAACGCCGATGGCGTGCAAAATGAGCAACGGCTGGGTCTCACATTGCGGGCAAACAGCGATGCCATCTGAGGCGAATCAAGAAAAAGAGGCAGTGAGACGAAGCCTTTACCGATACCTCCGATTCTTCTACCCCTTTTTGACACGGGAAAAGGTCTTCTTTGAGCCAACATTTAAGTAGATTTCAATCATTTTTGTTGCAGGATAATCACCATTTGTCTGCAGTGTCAATGTAAGACTGACATTTCGGCAAACTAAGTGAGCATTCGGGTGAAATTAGCTCGCTTGGTCTTTTACAACACCCGCTCTCTAGCAACGTTAGCTAGAGACTGAGGAAATTAAAATATGACGGGAGAAATGCACGAGGCCAACAATGCACTTCACTTGCCTTTGTCCCCGTCCTCTCTTGTTGAAGCTCGAGCCAACGTATCTGATGTCCCTCTCTCAGCTAGCTATGTTATACTGTAATCGCGTTCGAACACGGAGTCACTTTTGTTGAGCTGCTTCAGGACAGCGAGCAGGGAAAGTAGAAGGAAGAAACTCAGGGTTTGACGCTGAGCTTCATCGGATGATCATGAGTGCTATTAATTGGAGACTCGGAGGCATGGATGGCCGATCAAGCGTGTCGGCGATCACTCTTATGCCATTGTTATGTTCGCGCCTGACCAGCGTTTGAGAGCGCCGTAGGCTTTTGGACAGCTCTCATCATGTTTTACGGCGTCTGCCGAACGCTTACTGAATGGATGAAATCACTTTGCCACCGCATTAGACATCGTCACCGAGGCGAGAGGTGCCACTGCATCGTTGGTCCCGTCGGATTGAGCGTCCATTTGGCCCCCGGGATCGAGTGCAACTATCTCCAGACCTTTGGGAATCTTTGAGCGATGTCCACATGCCGTGATTTATGTGTCATTAATTACGGATACACTCTTTGTGTATCCCCTTCTCTGCATTCTGTTTGCGCGTTATTCCGTGTACAACAGACTGTATCATTAATATTGGCTGATCAAAAAAGCGCCGGCGAGCGCTTCTTGGGCCCTGGAAACCAACCTTGAGCTTGACACTGCATCTAACTTTTTCTGAGCATTTATTTGTGCTTAGCTGACTTCTCTAGGCTCCACTGTTAGTCCATTTTCAGACATATATGCTGGGGTTCTCCGGCGGACTCGGAGTCAACAACATCGATGCGCTGGGCAGGCATTCTCTTCAACAGTCGTCCAACGTTCTATAAGTACTACCGTAGCCGACAAGGCGTTTCCCGGCCGGAGGCTTCTGCTATATAATTGCATGCGTGGAAACCTTCCTTAGCTGAACGAATCCATTGAGTCCTAATTTGCGCATGCGGTATGACCGAGCGGCACTGCAATATTTGTCACTGCCCTTCGACCCAGCCTCTTTTTGTTCCCCTGGTGCGCAGACATGACATTTGTCATGAAATTCATAATGGAATACCTCCTCAACGGCATGGTAATGCATATGAATATTGTGGCCCTATAATGAGTTGACGCGAGGACTCTATGTGCCTTACACAGAGCCATCAAGGTTCCATTATCAAATCGTAGCTCTTCTATGTAAGTCTGCTTCTCAGTCACGAAAGCGATCTAAATCGGCCGACCTCAAGCTTCGAAAAGGCGGTTCAGAATTTCTGCCCGCTGATCTATATGCATTGTGCATGCGGTGCCCTCTCGTGCAGCAGCAAGGATGGCGCGTGCAATGGCTGCGGATAATGCATGCAGAATACAGAAAACTTGGGATGTCATCTCATATGCCCAATGACCCGATGGCCTCCGTATCTCTGCCTATGCGCTCCTCATTTCCAGCATCTTCTCTATTCATCCAGCAATGCCATTTTGATGCTATATTACGATAGTATCCACATCGGCGCTGAGGTGGCGAGGCATGTCCAGACAAGCAGCCTTGCCAACCCCGTCAAAAGAAAGGCACCCAACCTCGCCATTTGGAATGAATGAAGACTATGGCATCACTTAGAAAAGGCCGCCCCGGAACCTGGTCATTCTTGTACCTTTACCTGGCCTTCGGAGATGTCCAAGTGATGTTCGTACGTTACTACGTGCTTGTACCTTCTTTGTTTCAGATTATCTCTTCCCTTTGTTTCACACTCTTCTATATATGATGCGTATCCCTATTGGGACGTTTAAGCAACCGGCGTCGAGCGATGCTTATCTTGGCATTCAGACCCTGGAAACCAACCTGAGTTCGAGCTTGGACCACTTTACCGGTACCTATGACAGTACCGTTTCCTACTTGTTTCTCTTGTGAACTACTGATTGGCTGAGGCTACGGCTTCGTGATTGATGCAGATGTGGGTTTAGGGCGGTGGAGTTAGCACATAATGCAACGCTACGCAGTGGCTCCGTCGGCATTCAAAGAGTCGTCCAGCATTCTAAAAATGTTACTGTATCCGGACCGGCGCCATGCAGAAGCTTCCTATGTATACTCGCGCACAGAAACCTTTCTGACTTGGACGTTGAACGTTTGAACAACGAGGCCTCGTTATCATCCATATACTGTGGTCTCGGCTGCGCAATCACCGTGAGTCGTTGCTGCTGTCCCCTTGGCCCAGCCTCTATTCTAATTGCCCTGGTTCGGGATACTACGTTTAGTCCGGTAAATTACTTCCGCTAGAACACGCTCATGTTTGCAATGCTTACTCCTGTGAGGATAATCTCGTTTGGGCATTGCTTCGCATTCTGATCCCCTTTCACGGAAGCAGATGGCTTTCCTCGATTCCAATTTTTCAGTCCTCTGCGATTGATCGGTCTGATCATGAACATATACCCGTCGGTAAACACCTTCGACTTCCGACAGCTTATAGCCGTTCTTGGTGATGCGTTGTCACGTACACATAGTTTTTGTCAATACCATATTACATCAAGTAAGAAATGACGAATCTCGGGAATAGGACAAAGTGAAGTAATACTTCGTAAGTAGTTCCATTATTTGGATGAGTAATCACCACTGCAAAAACGTATGTGCCTGATTTTCAGGTATGCACAAGGTACGTGGCTTCTGATTCTGTTAAATCATGTGTTCTTGACATGATTTTGAAGTCAGGTATGCATGTACCTGGTACATAAAATCATGTACTGTTACCCGGAACCGCAAAATCATTGTCATTTTCCAATGCTGGCTGTAGACGCAAATAAAACTCCCATTAAAATCATTGCATTACACGATGAGTTTCAGCAACTATTAACACTAGTGAAGCTTCCCCTCCAATGCCATTACTGCACCCCATATGTTGCACTATCCACAAGCCTCATAACATCTGACATATGTAGCAGTACGCGTTGTGAGTGATTGTGGCAGGTTATCGATCAGGACAACTGCTGCGCGAAGTGCGTTGAAGCGTGAGCGGACTCGCCAATTTTGGGCAGAAAATTCAAGCTCCGCAGCAAGCGGCCTGCAACGCTCACGACGGCCTCAACACCCTTCACCTCCCCCATCCAGTTCAAGGTTACCGGTATCATCGCACCCCGCCGCCTCCATGCTCGTGCCCAGCCCGCATGTCGTATCCCAAGCCAACCGCCATCTCTCATATCCAACGCGTTGACGTCGAGACACGCGATGGAAGTCGGTCTTCCGATGCAGGCCCGTCGACACACCACGTCAAGCTCTCACGCAGGCCCGTCTGCCTCAACGCGGTTTCGCGGGACGCGATTCAAGTCAATTCCCTCCCCAACTTCGCAGGTCTCTTGTCGAGCACGTCTGCGAGGGCATCGAGTGTGAAGGATTTGGGTAAGTTCATATCTCCGTCACAGTTGCTGAGCATCTCCTCTTAGTATGGTCCGGGTCCTCTGCCACACGCACACCGCCCTCCCAACTTCGGCCACTCTCCGGCGGCACATGACGACCCACATGACGGACTTGATGCTCGCGTCCGTCTCCCCGCACAAGACCACCCTCCTCCCCTCGCACACCATCGTCGTTGCGCACTATGTTGACCCTCCCCACCTTCCCTCCTGCGGATCGCGGCGTCCGTGCACCACCAGACCCCACGCTCGAAGGCAGCCAGCCGGAGCACTCACAGCATGACGTAGACAGTGTGCGGCTCGAGGCGCAGACACTCAGCAATGGTCAACGCCGTCGCGGGCGTCGGCAAATACACGATCAAGTGCGGTGGGCCGCCTGTCGTCACGCGGCTCAAGGGCGCCAAGGTGCGGTATGACCACAAGTGGGGGATGCTCCGTGTGGAGTACGAGAAGGCGGACAGTCGTCGGATTCAGAGTCTGCCGTTGTCGGCGCAGGGCCGGCTGACGCTGATAGGACGCCGACGCTGCCGCCGTCATTGTCGTCGCAGACAATCGAGTGCAAGCTCCGCTGCGATCTCGACACGGACGGCAGCGCTGGACATCGTCGCGGACCCGCCGCTGCAGAACGTGACGTGTCTGCAGCGGCACCGGCTGTCGCAGGGCAAGGTATGACATGCCCTTCTCTGTGCCCTGTGCATCGTCATTGACATACTGTATCTTCTCAGGTCGTCCTCATTCAAGTCGCTCTCCAGACCACCGAATCCAATAAGCTCGCCGGGCGCGTCTCCAACGTCGTCGCGCGCGTCAACTCGCAGTTCTCGATGCTCACCTACTAACCCATCGTCTTCCTGCACACGCAGGACCTCACGTTCTCGCAGTACCTCGTGCTGCTCACTGTCGCAGATGTGTTCCTCGTCATGTCGCTGCACGAGGGCATGGCGCTGCGCACGCACGGGTTCGTCGAGTGCCAGGAGGGACGGCACCGGCCGCTCATTCTGAGCGAGTTCATGGGGAGCTATAGTCATAGCGGATTCAGGAGCTGTATTGCGGTGAACCTGCAGCTAGCTATCTGTTGTGTAGTGCATTAATAGAATTGATTTTGACCTGATTCTCGTATGTTCTGTCGTGTGATAAATAGTCTCTTCTTCCATGAAAACTAGTCATTCTGCATGTGGTTTCGCATATTCGTCGACAAAATCAGGTACATTTAAGGTGATTCGGACAATTGAATCACACAAAAATGACTGATTGATTTTCGAGCAAGTACCTGATTATCACGACAAAATCTCAGTGTTACTATGTATCTAATGAATGATAACTATGGATTTTGCACCTGAATGGTGCCCATTATAATCAGGTATATCCACCTTCACAGTGCACTTGGCTGTGACGGAGGTCGCCGTACAGGGGATTTGTTACAGAAAAGCGACATTCTCTGAATGAACAGTAACGACGAATTCTATCTCTCTGTTCGGTCTAGTGGATATATTTTGTATCCTCCCTCCTCGTGAGCTGAATTTGGAAGCATGGGTGCGAATGTTCAAAATCGTGCGTGGACCAATCACAGACATCCATAGTACTTGCGACGAGAATGTTACTACTAGCATTCCAAAGTTCTACAGATGGTTCATTCAACCGGATATGGTAAAGCGTAAAATTGAGAGCTCACGCGCACGTCTAAGCTATTGGGAGATATTATGCCAACAATGTTGGGAATGATATACCTGTAGACATCAGTTAGAAATTCATGCGGTGAGCACGTTGAACTAAGAATCGCACAAGCAGCAGAAGAAGTTATTATCCCTGACAAGTATTCCACAGAGGTTGTTTGCTGACAATAGGCTTTGCAATGTTCCTCGGTAGCTCGTTTGAAGATATTCCGCAAAGTAATACATAGTCAGTATTAGTACCAGAGTTTGGAAAGCGATCTCAGTGACTTTGTCGAAGTATAACGTCCGCCAAGCAGTTTCCAACCCCACAAGGCATGCCCTGTGACCAAAAAGGTTGACTGGAAACCGATATAATTAGGCTCCTTGTTGCCTTGTCAAAAAAGTAGAGTTCCGTACCGATGACCCCCACGTACTGAGTAGAGTAAACGATAGCTCCCGAAATATTCTGCGACAGAAGTAGAGCTGTTAGGACAATGCGCAAGAGCCTAGACTTCCTCGATAGTGCGTACAGCCGCATAACCATTGTAGTGTAAGGGACGCGCTGTGCACGCGCCTAGACGGCCCCTGACCACCCGCGCCACATCTCGACCGCTTCGACACCTTTCGCCATGCTTCGACCCGCCCGCTTCGACTCAACCCTGATCGATATCGACGACCATCTGCATCGTACGATTTGTCTCTCATTGTCCCTCCGGCCTCGGCACCTCGCTTGGACTCCCGACCCGTACGCGCAGCTAGATCTGTGCCTAGATGCTTTTGTCTTCACTGCAAACCTCATGTACACGCGTTCGTTTCCACTCGTAATTTCTCTTACTCATACCTCGTCTCGAAAACGTATAAATACAGCATCCTGTCGTAGCTATTCTGCATTGAATTCAGCCCCAGTTCCTCTCGCAACTTCGAGTTCAGTCCGAGTCCCAATCACCACTCGTATTATCTACTACCTTTGGCACATCTGTTCCTAATCCCCTTCCGAACTCGTATCTACTTTGTCCAGCCACTGAACGGCTCGACTCCCCACAGTAGCTTTCTACGATTAGCTTAAATTTCGATCGTGTATAGTGGACCCACCGTCCGTTACAAAAACTACAAGCATCGATCCAACTTGAGCTATCCACCAGGCAGAAAGACCTGATAAGGTCATTAGAGTAACGATTTGTTAGTGCAGTATGGTTTCTCACATCTATATGCATCAGAAAAGCGCCGGTTTAGGTTAACTGACCACCGTTGTATACGATTGCTATTTACCCCTGTGTCCCGTTATTGTGTTAAGATCGCTATTATACAGCAAGAATTACACTCACAACTTCCGAAATTGGCAGGCTCATATATGACACTACGTAGAAATGGCGGACATCAGCAGTCCAATGCAATGATTACGAGGGCACCCGAGTCCGACTCACGGGCCATGGTTCTGGCGATGCATCATTAGCACGTACAAAACATCGTGTCAGAGGAACAACACACACATGCTTACGGATAGGCCTAAATAGCGTAACTTTAAGCGTACTCAACGGTAATTTCATTGGAAGTGTTGCATTTGATACGCACTGCGATGTAAAGGACTGTAACCAAATTTATCTTCCTTCTCTAATTTCACACTTCAGTTCTACCATCGACTCATCATGCAAGGGACCCTCTTGAAACGCACCCATATCACTTTTATCTCGCGGTTAATGCACAGTACTTTCATAATATTTAGTGACTAGGATGGATAGTCACCGAATAACCCTCACCAAAATCGTAAAGAGCAAGACAGATTGCCGCAGCTACAGCGACGAAGGTCCTAAGTTGTCGGTTCAGAAGACAATTCAACACTTTCACTCACTCTCAGAATAACTTGCAACCTGAAGACCCAAAAATATCCTTGTGGTGGTCTTGGACATGAGGTTCACGTTCAGTGTCGAAGTTTCTGTGTGGCCCGGTGATCCCAGGTAGTAACTTGCCGTATCCGACTCCAGACGCGGGAAGGAAAATCAGTATAAGAAGGGATGCTACTTTTCCCGCGCTTGGAACAAATCATAAGCCCAGCTCAGTTCTCAGCCTGATATCTTGCGCAGGCACCAGTATCAACACGAATCGACAGGCACAGTGATCTCGAAGTTGGTTGTCCAAAGCTGATACATCAGACATTCAGTGGCGGTGACCTAAATGAGATTGGGAGGCGAAGCTTTGAATACGTCTTCACTCTCACAAAGCATCACAATCGTGATGACAGCGTACAAGAGGTACAGTACTGTGTATCATCAGCTAGGCCCTTCAGTATATGTTTCAGCCTCCATATCTATGGTATCAGGCGCGGAGCGGTATCAAGCAACGATTTCCACATAGTAGAAATTTTGCTGTGCCTTGCGAAGCATGAAAGAACACCACAAGCTCTACCATAGCGTCGCTCAGAGGTGAACGCATGGACGGTCTAAAAGATAAGGGGAGAAACACACCAGGTCATGTAGTCTGCCACGATACACGTCAATTTTGTGCTCCGCCTTGCTTTCAGCTGAATCCCATTTTAATAGCTTCCTACCACCACAGCTTACATTCCCTATTCAAGCATGTGTGGAAATGATACTCCGGCTGGTCCGCGTTAGGACAGCGAAAGCAGTAGCAAGGAGCCCACGGTTTGGCTCTGAGCTCATCGGAATTACATGGATAGCCGATCAAAGTAGCACTGGGAGGCAACCTGATTCCTGAGGTACTCCTGAAACCGAACCTAATATACCTGGTTTCGGGTATCAAATGCACGTGGATTGCTCAGCATCAAGGGAGAAGGACAAGGCGGCCTATGTCACCCTGGTGTTTGCTTTTTCTCACAGGCTTACCTCCTCAATTTGCCCTTTTCTTTGTATTTTCTTGACACGAATGAGCGTTTGAATATTTGAGTGACCAGCCAATTCTGTGGAGCGTCTTCGACCGCTTTCATATCTATACCATATCGCGTCCGGGCAGGTCTGACCAGTTACCATGGTCTGAGACATACGTGTTATGCTTGCGGTAATCTCTCGGCCAACGTTGCCACGTCTCCAGAGAATTACTAAACGGATGGAGTCACTTTACCATCGTCACCGCAGCGGGGAGGCGCATCCAATGATAATCCGTGCAAGAATCAATCACTGGTCCCGTCGGATTGACTCCACCCCTTTGTCAATATTAATTAGGAATGAAATGAGGCAGTGACGTTAGTACTGCGTAGAGGCCGCCGTCTGGGCACAATTTATCCTACGATGCTGCGTATGCGGGGGCCTTCGGGGATCTCGAGCGATGCCTACATGTCGTAATCCACTTGTTATTATTACGGCCATCTTCTTTGTTTCTTCTCTTTCCTTCATCCCGTTTGCGCGTCCTTTTTTCATACAATAGGCGGTACCAATGACCAATCAATTAAGCGCTGAACAACGCATCTTTAGGCACCCGAGCCCTGGAAACCAACCTTGAGCTTACCTCTCCATCTACCTCTTTCTGCGCATGTCTTTGTGCTGAGATGGCTTCTTCGGGTGTCACTATTGATCCCGTTTCAATATCTATGCTCTGGTGTTCTCCGGCGGACCGAACAGTGTGCTGCATAGACGTCCAAAAGTCAGCCGGTGTTCTAAAAACGCTACTATAGCCGGCCGGGGAAGACGCTTCTCGGCCGGAGACTTCTGCTATAGATCTGCACACGGCAGCATTAATTCCCAAGCTGCACGAAATCGTCGAGGATTAGTTTGCGCATGCGGTGTGCCCGAACGTCAGGGCAATGCTTTTCAGTGCCCTCCCCTTGACCCAACCTCCGCTTTGTTTTCCCTGGTGCGAAGTACTAAGTTCCGTCATGATGGATTACCTCCTCGAAGGCACGCTCACGCGTGAGAATATGGCTCTTTGGTGCTGCATTGGTGAGGCCATGAGAACGTTAGAGGTACTAATGCAGAACCTTCATCATTCCATTACCAAATGGTAGACCTTCTATTTGAGTCTCTGCTTCCGATTCAATATCCCGTGACGGAAGCAATTGGCCGACCTCAAGGCAGTTCGAAGCTTCGCCGCTGATCTACACGATGCGTGTGCGGCGCCCTCTGGTACAGCAAGGAAGGCGCATGCAATAGCTGCGGGAAGCTGGGCGGCGGGCATGCTTCCGCTGGCAGAAGGCAGGCCCTGGTCCTGGTGTGCCAAGAACAATGACATTCCAAAATGCCATTCTAGATTCTTACGACCTCCCTAAAAGGATATGCTTCACCTTCATCAAAGTATAAGAACCCTGCCCCATTTGCGTTGATACATTACGGCGCGATCCCACAACCCGTACTCCCTTGCTACTCAGTACTCAGATCTCAGAGACAGTGCCATCTTCATCATCTTCATCATCATGAAGTTCTACGTCTCCATGGTTATTGTTGCGGTCGCTTTTCTCGTGAGCGAGGTTTCAAGCTCGCCAATCCCTGTAGCAGGTCAGTATTTCATTCCCCTGGAGCATATTTGTATGGTATTTGTTGACAGCTAATATCATTCAATTATATCGCTTAACAGGAGAGCCTGCAGTAGCAGGAGACCTTGCAGAAGACTGGGAATTTTGTGCCCTAGGCTGCTTCGGGAAGTGATGGATTTCAGCCAAAACTCAAATTTGTGGTCTGTGGGTTGTGGAGATCAGCGTTTAGCTCACCTATTGAGGGATTGTCATCGGAGAGAACGATCTTCGCGATAGTGGATGACGCTAGTAAATCTGTCGGACTATATGTATGGACTGTTGGGAGTTTGGATGTGCTTTAGCTGTTCTCCGCCCGTATTTGCTGCTATCAATGTAGGATTATTGACAGAACGTTAGTACTGTGTTGGTTGGGCTGTAGCTATCTCGGTGCCATAAAGAGGTGAGGTGAGCATATTCGAGCCTGGGGTAGCTGAACTATAACAAAAACCATTGGGACGTTGTTTCTGAATGAGATGCAGTAACGTGGTGGAAAATGTGTAATGCTATAATAACGCTCAAAGGCATGTAAACGTCTCCCTGTGTACCATTATGGCTATCTGTATATGTCCAGCAGACCCAGGTGATAAGCTTTGGGTCGATCCGCCGCGTAACTCCAGTTTTGCATGAAGCGTACGAATGTTCAAGATTGCGCGTGGACCCATGACGGACACCCAAAGCGCCTGTGTTGTGTTTACAATGATGACTAACCCGGCGCTCTACGTGCAGGCCTTTAAAAGAAAATCCTGATACAAATAAACAATACCTCACCTCGTCGATGCCTTTCAGGCTAGATATAATTCCAAGCGCTCTGGGGAAAATATATCTGGATTTGAAAACAAATTGGTGTTTTCTATCCACTGGCAGCTCTTAGAATGACCTACATAAAGCAGAAGACAATGTTGTCCCTGACAAGGACATTGCAGAGATCGTCCATTGAAAGGAGCTCCATAGAGAATTGCTGCTTGTTGAGCTCTAGATTTTTGAATAAATAATGCCCCGTAACGATGAGGACTAGGACCTGAAAAGTAATGTCGCTGGCATAATCAAAGGAAAGAGCCCATGAGGGAATATCGAGGCCAACAACGCATGTGTAGAAGCCGGGGAAGGGATTTACTAGTCGAAATTTAACGTGAGATTCGCACAAAGTGGGATTAAAGCCTCCGTACCAATAACCCCGCCATAAGTATCGGCATATAGAGTAATCCTCATAACTTGTAGGCCGAGAAAAAAGGCTACCATCAGTATGATAACTGGCCTCGACCTTCTAGATAGTGCGGTTATCCTTATAATCATCGTGGCTTACCGGGAGTCAATCAGATTTATTGAGTTGTATGAGGTCAGCTAACCTTGTACCACGAAAACAATGACATCCGACCCAACCTGACCTATCCACCATATTGAAAGACCTGATAATTTATCAGCACTAGCGTTATCCAGAAGAAACCTGAAACATCACATCTGAAATTGAAGCGTAATATCACTGGGTTAATCGGTAATAAACGAGTAGAGAATGCCATTCTACCCCTATACGTCAAGATTTACTTAGCACCTCTTGGGGGAAGGAATACATTGATTACTGACTAGTTTAGATATGGATAGGTTCATGTATGATACTAGGTTATGCCACTCTAGTCAGTATCATCCATTTTCAAATGAAAGAAGTAACGTACAAGCTGTAGTCCTGAGAGTGATTTATTGGCGTGTAGTAGGAGAAATTTATGGGGCATCATTACACGCACGTAGTTACTAGAAGCCCTGAATAGCGTAACTTGCAACAAAAGTATGTGAATTCTCTTGATACTAACGCATGCTCATCTACTCTTGGACTTACCACTAGATAAAAGACTTTCATCAGGGTAAACTTCTTGTCCTGTTTTCGTGAGTCGTACCCGCTATCAGCTACGAAATTGTACCATAGTGTAGAAACAAACCCAGATGGAATTGACCTCCTGGTCGAGGCATATCACTGGTGAGGTTATCAATATACACATCATGGTTCTATACCGCTGGCTCACGATAATCGTAGGCGGTGAGGCAAAGAGCGGCAGCTGCGATTAAAAGGTCAGAAACTGCGGAGACACCAAATCAATATCATACCCACTTTCAGCATAGCTCATAAGTTGAAGCTGAAGGACGATATCTTCGATGGTCTCGGACATCAATATCTGCAGCTGTCGGGTGAAGGAATGTGGGTCGTTACTGAACGCTGCATTCAGAACAGGAGAGCATATAAGTAACGTCAGGCGTCACTGACCGATCTTTGGAAGAAGCTTGAACAGCCTTCGACCTGATTTCTATCTTGCACTCACGGTGTGCGAGTGAATCTGAGACGTTGTACTGAAGCTAGTACCGAAGGTTGATAATCAAGTGCTGAGCTTTATCTGCATAGGTATGGCAGCGGCCAACATTTGGTCAGTATTATCACTCCCACGGAGGAACAATATCACGGAGACGGAAGACAAGAGATATCAAAAACATTATCAATATGGGCCCCAGTGTGTAGGCGAGGAGGTCAGCCTCGAGAGGGGCTTGCTTAAGCAGTACAAGGCATGTAACATATCAGCTGAGATTTTACCTTGACCTTGTTGACACGTTCGAGGGACAGTTCTTTGGACCCGAATCTGAAACTTGGACAGATGCAATGCTTGAGGGAGTATAGGGGGAGGCTATACTCAATCTACGGCTGATGATCACTTCAAGTGTGGGAAATTTTGATCACCCAACGCATCGCAAGAGATATACCTGTCATACAATACAACCGCTCAGACTATGCAACATGGCTGCGCCCTGTGATGATAATTAACAACGTGGGCAGTCACGATCATGCAGAGATCATGCCGGCTTCTAGGAGTCATTGTTTCACGTCGCCACAAGAAAGCGAGGTGAATCAAAAAGGTGAAGACACGAGTTATCACACACGCAGCCATATATCCATCACTCGTACAGATGAACGAACCATCTCAGAGGACACACTGGACGGGTTATACGAACAACGATCAAGGGATATAGGAAAGTCAGAACTTCGGCGTCAAACTCTACGAAGGCCACATCGTGCAGGGGGCAGGTTTAGGTGGGTATACCTGGAGCGCATCCACGCCACAGCCCCGCCGCGGCGAAGTCTATAACCTTAATTATGAGAGAGATGAGGGAGCTGGTAATTACTAGAGGCCGAAGAGAGCACGTACATTGCTGGCTCATTTCGCGGGCAACTCAGGTCATAGTTGCTTGCTCGTGGTTTGAGTATGCCTCTCAGGGCTGGGCACTTTACCAGAAATGACATGGAATGCCCGGCGAGCAATAACTCAGTTCGTGTTCAAGACTGAAATGCTGATCGACTAATGTTTATGCGGGGAAGGGAAGATTTCATCATGTTAAAACGTAACACTACATTACCCAGATTTTATCCACCGGCGAGACGAAGGAGAGATGACAAGGAGAAACGTACGGCTTCATTAGTTCTCATTGGTACATGTCTCTCGCAGTTGTTTTGGTGAAGAAGAAGCACACAGATCAATCGATAAGCGCTTGAGCCCGCGTCGACGAGAGAACAGCAGCAAGGAGAGGGCAAGAGACATCCGAGGTAATCCGTACAGGCAGTGTTTGTTACAAAAATAAGTCACGCTATCGTCTAGGTGTGAAAAGCGGGTAGGTGGAAACCCCCCTCGCTGGGTTTTCGTCGCAAAGCCAGAGGAAAAACAAACATGCATTGCACCCGAAAGAGCAACCTCTCCGGATCAAAAAAAGGATAAGTGTCTGTCACTGCTATGGAAAGCGTTTATCCTTTTCGTAGCCCTAACCCTCAGATGGCTGCCAAGCAGGAGAAAACATAAACCGGAGTAAATGCTGGAGATACTGGGTGGATACGGGTAATTACGGTCTATCCTAATGTGGAGCTGTGCCCTCTTCCAAGGAGGCAGAGAAGCCAAGCCTGTTCAGCCGCTGATGGTGTTCAGGAAGAGCTTGCGGCGCACGCTCCACACGAACCTTGTTGGAAAGCTCATCGATGCACATCGCCGGAGAATGGTTAACCCGGATATGTTAGCAACTGATAACGAGTTATTCTTGGTATCCGAGCGCGCCTCCATCAACTCTGTATAAGACCTGGCACATCTTTTGTTTCATGTCGCTCACAGCGCTCTTCCTGTGACCAGCCACTGCTTGCTACCTTGGAATACCTCATGAATTTCTCCCTATCTGTAATTCTTGCTGCACTCGCGTCAATCGCAGCTAATGTGAGGGGGATACCACTTCCATCTATTGGTGAGTAAGCCACATTCAGAGATAATTTACTGCTTCACATGATGAATCTAAATATCACATCATAATGTTTGCTTTCTCAGAGACTCCCGTCGCGGATGTCGAATGCATTGAATGCCTTCCGTAGGACATCAATTCCTCAACGCCGGTATTGGATCTCCGTAGCATGTGTTACAAAATCGTAGGCACGCTGGATGCTATAGGAGCCATAGCTTATTTTTTTAGATGCATCAATTGGGAAGTAAGCGAGTTGAAAAGTTACGCTAGCGTTATATCCTTAGCCTGAAAAATATGTTGATCGATTTGACAATCGGAAGGTGTTAGAGTTGATAGTTGGTTCAATGAACCTGTCACACTATAAGCTGCTGGCATATTTGATATAGCTAGGCTAGAATATGGTGATAGTCTCCATCTCTATTGTGATCTCTATTTGACCACCAGCGCCGGAAGCCACGGCATTCGCAGGAGCCCCATTGAGCCTCATGTTCTTGTTATGCGTCCTTATGTTCAGAATTGTGCGTGGTCCTATCACAGACACCCACAGAGACTGAGAAACATATGTCAGCACAATGAGTCCCAGGTTCTGCAAAAGTAGTCAAACAATGAATTAATGACCCCCAAAATCACACACGACAAGTTTACCTGAAAGCTCTTCACTGCGATTATCATACCGAATAATATGGGTAGGTCAGCCCTACGAGATATAGTTAGTGTAGTCCCTATGATGCAGTCTACCGTGAACCTTACAAGACGTAAAATATAATGTTGTCTCTAACAAGGATGATGAAAAGATCATCTGTTGACCAAATGTCAAGCGGGAATTGCTGGCGAGTAGTTTTGAGATGACTGGCGAAATAGATCAACGTTAAGAGGAGTGTAACTGTTTGAAATATGAGGGTGACAGCATCATCGAATATGACGGGCCACAGAGGAATGACTAGGTCTTCCGAGCACATTGACCATCCATAGACGTCTACTTCCATAACTAATAGAGTACCAAATCGTTCGTCGTTAGCGGCGGTAAATTCAGGGGGATTGTGGATCGGAAAACCTGCCTGCCACCCCGCGATACTTGCAAGAGAATATGACCACTTTAGTGACCTGCTCGGTGATGAAGCAGGATACTAAGAACCAGAGCATTCTTCTAGACTTTCCGGATAAAGCGTAAAGTCTCATGATCATTGTCACTAACAAGTAGTAAGCAAAGGGCTTCCTGAAAATCACAATATTATAAGTACATGCGTACCTTGCAGAATAAACAATACTAAGACGCATCCGACCTCGTAAATCCACCAGCTGATTAGACCTTAAAGCTATGTTGACATACTGAAGTTATTCGCACGTGAACGAAAGGACTTACATCTGTATAATTATATGGTAGGCACACAACCTAATAAGCGCATGCTCAAGAACACACTTAGAAACTTGCACACACCCCTGGGGTGATTTGTACATCAGCGAGATTACGACCTGAGTAGCGTATAGGCTTACAATGCCAGGAATCGAAACGCTCATGGACATTACTTCAACAATCAGATAGTAAGCCTTTATTAAATCATTACAATGTGCGAACGCACATGCCATGGTTCTGGAAAATACTGATTAGTATCGAGAAGAACATCCCTGGCAGCTGTATGAGTATACGCACATTGTGACCAGAAGCCCAACATAACGCATCTACTAAAGACGCGTAAGTGGAGTTGGTACCGTATATTCTTGAATGTATACCGTCATATAAAGGGACACCACCCACGACATTTTGCTTTTCTATTACCAACAATACACTCATAGTATTCCCCACTAGGACAAAAACATAGTCCATGACGCACCCAGATTACATTGACCTCTTGGGGCAAGCATAAAACTGCCGGGATAGCTAAGAAGTACGAGACGAACGCCAACCTTGCATGCTTACAATAATCATAGATGACGAGACACATGGCGGAGGCTGTAATAGTGGCACTGTTGAGATATTGTAAAAGGGTATCGGTATTGACTCACCAACTGCATAGCCAACAGTGTCGAGTTGTAGAATCAGGTTCGCTATCGTAGAAACCCCAGACATGAGGACAAGGGAGGTAGGCAACAATAGTGCCGAAAGTTGCACCAAAGCTATATAAGCTCCGTGTTGGCTCGGGAGCCCTCGTTCGGTATAGTGCTGGTGTCAGAGTTGCGCCCGGGTATCTTCATGGTTAGACGAGAGCGCGCAGCAGTACTAGATCAGCCGCTTTCTCGATATCAGCACAGGAAAATACGGCACTACCGACACCGAGCTCCCTAAAATTCCCTCGAAGAATGGAGATGCCGAGCCAAGATGATTCAAACATAGCCAGGTTCAAAATTAGGCATCATCATATAGATTCGATCGTAAGAGCAGTATACATAGGGGCTTAAGCGCTTTGAAATCAGTCACGAAGCACATGAACGACGCAAAGGTTACGGAATTGGCCAGCCTGCTTCTGCAGCTATGGATTCTCGGGCGCCAGTAGCTAACTTTTGCCAATGTAGATGATAGGCAACGGCATTCATAGCCGGAGCAGACTGCGCCGAACAACGTTGCTGGCAATTTAGGAACTTCCGGTGATTCGCTTTTCCTTCGTTAAAAACCCACACACATCCATTCGATAGCGGTCCGTCCCAGGAACCCTTGCGAGCGTACATAACAGCGTCGAACCAATGTATCTAATACATTGAAGACAACCATCCCTACTATGATACCCATGAGATATCAAAGCGAAGGCCGCTACCCTAGCGTTGATAGGCTGTAAAGATGGATGGTTACAGTGGGCTGTGCTGATGCGGCGGAATGTTTCAGAACCACCCTCAACCTAGTACATCATTGACCTATCGATTCAGCTACGCTATGCCAGAATCTAGAAATAGGTCATCATCAGCACTCCTCCAAAGATCATCTAGATGTGTATGCGAGACTCACGAGCAACGTTCCACCAGCCCTTCATCCGTGGTGATGGGCTGTATAACGGGCAATCCCTCTTCCGCATGATTAAACAGCATCTCCGCGCTCCCGTTCGAATACGGTTCCCAATTAGGCGTGATGTTGATGGAATCGAATTTCTCGTTGACATCCCAGAAGCGCGCGAAGGACATGTACGACTGAACGTAGGACGCTACAAAGGCGGGGTTATCATACGGAGGCGTTGTACTACAACGTTCCGATCAATTTCGCGTGTCCTCTGGGAACATAATGCGAGCTCACTTGTTGAAGTAGTACAAAAGGTCATCCGCATGGAGGCCTGGCGGCACAGCCCAAAAGCCCTGGTAGACCGATCGGTGAGGACTTTGGATATGTAAAAGACGCAGATAACATACTCTCCACGATTTGCCGGGGAACGCCGCGAGCATGTAATACGTAGGGCACAGGAAAATCGCTGATTAAAATGGTATAAGCACCACAGCTCCTCATGTAGTCTGAGACTCACAGTCACCCATTATCGTCTGCATCTGCTCGAGCGGCGTTCCCACATTGCTATACAGGGACTCCGCCTGCTGCGCCTGCTCCGGCTCCAGATTCGGAAAGAGCGTCGCTGCATACTCCGCAACGGTCAAGTTCGTGAACCTCACGGAGCTCACAAAGTCTGTGCCTTCGTGCGAGTTGCCGAATGCTAGGTATAGTTGCTGATGATATCGCGTGTGAGCATATCGAGGAAGTACGAGTACTTGTAGTACGCACACCGTTGACACGTCCGCTCTGCATCAAGGCCGTTGGCCTGTCGGCAATGAAAGTGCCATCAACGACAGGGACGAAGCCGTAAGTTCCGGTGAGCGCCAGTTTAGCAACGTCGTTATTGATCGTGTTTAGCGTTGTCGCATCCACGGCCCGGAGACAGGCCAGCGTGTCGCGAGCGGAGGTACAGCTAAGAAAACACGTCAGGTTGCACTCGAGACGTTCGACAGCGACCTTACTTTGCCTGAGCGACAGTCTGATTGTAGTAGTTCTACCGCCAAACTTTAGCCCAAGCCCCTATTTAAGAGCGGAGATCGGCTGCATACCTGCGGGACGCGATCGTTATACCAGTATTGGGACGGGAGGAAGGTGGAACTTGAGATAACAGCTTGGAATAGAGGAGGCTGTGTGCTTCCGTTGTTCGCAATGATGTGCTGCAGCATAGAGCCAGCGCCTGTTCAATAGTCAGAACAGGCCTTTAAGAGACACGTGTAGTGAATCCAACCTGCAGATTGTCCCCAGATCGTTACATGCGAAGGATCTCCACCGAACTTGGATATCTGCGATGGCCTTTAGTACACGCCCTTGAAGACAAGATGGAGGCTTACATGATCCTGTACCCACTTGAACGCAAATTGCTGATCCACTGCGACACAGGTCAGATCAGGGAAACGGACTTGGAGCTTGGAGGACAACGTACAAAGTCCGGTGTTCAGCACACCGCCGTCCTTGACCTCTTGTCCAGCGAGGAAACCTGCTTTGTGTTAACAACCCAACCCATCTACCGGTTGAGGTACGATGATCACCAAATAATCCCATACGATATTGGATAGCGACGATTATTACGGATTGGTGAGAGTCGATCACGAGATCAGTAGCGTTGTACTTCGCTTCGGTCATCCAGCCTTCAGCATACCTGTGGGACGACAATTGGCCTCACTTTACAGGCGAAAACCCGAGGATTCGGACGTACCCTCCGCCATGAACCCATACAAGAACCGGCAAACCGCCGGTTGCATTTGCATTGCTGGGAATGTATCCGGGAACGAAGACACTGAAAGCACCCGATGCGGACTTAAGAGAAGTCTGAGGAGCAGAAGGCGCTGTGACGTACTTGAGAAACAAGCAATCCTCCGACTCTGGCGGTGTTCCGACACTGCCAATGTCACCATTGCGTTTTGCGAAACCGTAAGGAGAGACCGGAGCACTGCTGCTAGCGCCGTTATCACTTTGGTAACACATGTTGGGAGGCGTGTTTGCCTGTTGAACTCCGGAGATGTTGCCAGGTGGCTGGGGTGCTGAGAAGCGCAGATCACCTGTTTTAGTTTTGTACTTAGCCAATATGTCGTCACAGGAAAGACGAGACAGGCGTACCAGCTGGGGGTGCGGCATAACGTATTCCTATGAACTCCGTGATCCCGTTAGACGCGTTGTAGTATCCCTGATACTGTGCATATCCGACGTCGATAATGGGTGCAGTTGTAGAAGAGGTGGAGGCTCCTGTAAGTGACGCCAGACAGAGGGAAAGGAGGCAGAGGCTACGCAAGTAGGATAGCATGTCGCGGGAATGTCAAGGGCTTGGTTCCAGAGCAGGTCCTGCGAAGGCGGTCAAACGATTCGTCCTGAGTATAAGTACAGCGCGGTAAGCCACAGGGAGCAGCCTACTCGCATCCTTCGCCGTGGATCCGTCGAGGCCCGATTCACGCAGCTGCAAAACGCGGCCCGCTCGGGTCAGCTGCCCGCGAAGTCTCTGCAAAACATCGGAAAGAGACGCGAGGATACAGCGAGAGGAAAGGGGAATGACGAGAGGAGGCTAGGCCTAGTCAGTGCGTAAATGTGATGAGGCCGCGAGCATGGACGCGTTGAATCTGCTGATCATGACGGATGGCGCCAGTTGGATCGTGGCAAGAGGGCAGGAGGTAGGCCGTCGGGTGCGCCGCGCCTCTCGCGTCTAAGCGTGGGAACACGATATTCAGGGGCTTGTGCATATGTTGACTTCGCGGTCGTTCACCAGATTATCGGATATTCAGTTGGTTAGCTCAAGGTTAGCTCTCCCAATTAACCATCCAGTCTGTTTAACGCTCTATCTATGTCTACAGTAGTACATATTACATTGTCGACTAATCGTGAAGGGGGTATAAGATAATGTCGTGGGCTGCAGCAAAGGCTCTAGACTTCTACTGAACGAATCAAACCAACTTGACTCATGGAGGCAGCGGGCGTAGTCTAACGTTCCTTGTGGGTTTGTTGAGCTGCGGATAGCATTCGCTGCTCAACACAAGCTTTAGGTGTCTGCTGCTTTTAATCAGTATCTAGTCCGATGGATAATCAGGATAGAGCACGATACCAGCTTGAATGATGTGTACGGCAAGGAGATTGAGCCGATGTGATCCTTGCAATCCGAAAGGACTTGAACTCCGGACTTGACCCAGATGTATATAGCGATTGTCGCGTCAATCACTAGACACGTTATAAATGGATTTATTCCATCTTAAATTAAGCAACAGTTGGCGGCTTACCGAGACTGCAGTACGATTGCTGATAGCGCTCGATTGCTGCCTCCATCGTGTATATCTCAAGCGGCATGATTTCGACCTTGAAGATACGGCTAGCGAAAGAAGGTGCTACTTTGACTTGATCAGCACCGTCTCAGATTTATACCTCTATGCAGAACTGCATAGCATATGATATGTTTCATCGGCACGTATCCGCACCAAGAGAACTCCGTTATCGTGCACAGCTTCAAACGTTCAGCCCATGCGCCACTCAGAATGAGCGGTGTGACGCAACAAACCCGCCCCGTGCATGTGATTATTAGAGTGCATAAACATATCTTTGTTTCGCCTTCTGTGATCTTCGCCGGATATGATCGGCCCTGCCAAGCACGCTCAAGATAGCCACACACACCTGAACGTTATATTAAGCGGTGAGTTGTTCTGGCCGGTCCCAGCATAAAAACATCAAATATCCGAGAAAACATGCAAACTACCACGAGGATCCGGCACAATTGACCCCCTAGTTTCGACGATAGAGCACTAGCGCAGTGCACGAACAACGATACCAAGTATCAGCTCAAAGGTCCAACGAGCGCTCGTCTGGAGGACCTCTTTGACATGTTGGGGCATCAGGGTATCTGTGGCACATTAAGAGAGCCCATGAGCACCTAGGTTGAACGTGATTATGACGTGTGTTGACGATAGGCGCATTCGGAGGGCAACCGAGTTGAGCATGATAGTAGGGCAGATAGCGTCGGAAGAGCAATGACTCCGACCAAAGACCAACCATTTGCCATTGGCCCGGCGATATCCGAGAAATATACGAGCTCCGATATCTCGCGGCACGCGTTCCGGCTCTCTCAAACCTCTCAAGCTTGTCTTAGGCTCTCCAGCGTCTTACAATCAGTGTGCTTCGATAAAGTTTTCAGCATATCCCAAGCTTGCGCATCACGCTTAAGTAAGGCTGCGTGATCCGCACGCAACAGGTTGTCAATGCTCTAGCGAAGAAACCCCTGATGCTTCCATGTTGCTTAGAGGGTCATGCCATTCGGTCGGCCCGCATTAGTACAAGCTTGCGCCAAGTACCCTCAAGTACTGCTTCGAAAGTTGCCTTTGAGAGCTCAAGGGCATATCCCCGCATACTCGAAGTTCTACACATACTCGGCAGCATTGACGCGCGGCTTCAATAGTAAGCACACTCAAGAGACACTCAAGCACACTCATTCCGACTGGGAAAGTTGCAGAGGAGGTGAGTAATTTGATTTTACTCACGCATGCAACGCGTCTGCTCGGCATGCTCGGTTGTATATAGTACTTGCGTGGATGCTGTGAAGGGGCAGGGCTTACGCGTCATGTCGGCATGAGATCGCCAATACCATTCGCGGTGTGCATTTCTTCCATCTATTTTGATACGTTCGGCATTCAGTCCGGTTTTGGTCAGCGCTCATGTTTTCACATCATAACAAACACCCGCGCATGTCTACCACGATTCATCTCCGGGTCATTCATCAAAGTATAAAGACCGGCTGGATAGCTGGAGCGCATACGCTATCACCATACTGTCTCACAAGGCCAAAGAAATGACTTCCACTGCAACCATCCGAACCCCTTCTAGTGCTGTTGTTGTCAACAAGATTGGAGTACGTGTAGTCACGTTTAATTTCGTTATCATCTCTGACCTCGGCTTGTTCTGATAGCATGGATTGATGTCCATGACGTACGGTTGAATTCTAAGCCGTTCTTGAGCTGCCTCTCATACAATATACGCATATAGATGGCAGGTTGTAGCCCCAAAATCGGATGAGGAGTGCTTTGAGACTATCAAAGCCGGCGTTGATTCGCTCCCGAATGGTGTCAAGATGTTTCTGAACGGCGGTATGTTATTTTGATAATGCTGGGTCGCGTCTGCTTACCACTGCTTTAGGTGAGTTCTACGGTCCGGAGAACCACATGACAGCGAACCTCGACATGCTCTCTCGGTTCTTTGAGAAGTACCCCGACTATACCAAGAAGACGTTCCTGTCTGTGAAGGTGCGTGATGTGTTATATATTATCGGTGTTGTCTCGCAGGTTTCTGATTTTATTCAGGGCGGCACCAAAGCAAACGAACGGGTCCTCGACGGAAGCGCTGCCAACACCACTCGCAGCGTCAACGCCGTAATTGAGAGACTGCGTGGCAAGAAAAAGCTCGATCTTTTCGAGTGCGCTCGTGTCGATCCCAAGGTCCCCCTTGAGGAAACTATTGGGGTTCTCGCCGAGTTCGTCAAAGAGGGAAAGATAGGTTCTATCGGCATGTCGGAAGTGAGAGCAGAGACGCTGCTCCGTGGACACAAGGTAAGCACCTTCCTAGCTCTTACAATAATAACGACTGACATCCATCAAGATTCATCCTATTGCTGCTGTTGAGATCGAAGTAAGTCCTTGGGAGTATGGCCCCGAGCAGCAAGCCGTTATCAAGGCAGCAAAAGAGAACAACATTGCTGTCGTTGCCTATTCGTACGTCTTTACTTCTGAGGTAAGGGTTCCACCACTGATATACTCCCACTAGACCTATTGGCAGAGGCTTCCTGTCGGGCGAAATCAAGAAGTTCGAAGACATTCCGGGTGCGCCTATTCTTCTTGTTATGTGCACTTGGCGTTGCTCAAATAGCTTTATGATGTGTAGAGACTGATTTACGCCGTTACTTCCCTCGATTCCATCCCGACGTATGAAATCCCGCATTTCACTATCGCTCTTATTGACCCCTATCTCGCAGAACTTCGACAAGAATTTCGACATCGTAAACAAGCTCTCTGCTATTGCCAAAGAGAAGAACGTCACTCCCGCTCAACTCTCTATTGCATGGGTTTCAAGCCTTGGAGATCATATTGTTCCTATTCCTGGCTCTAGGTACGCCACGGGGTTAATAATCCTTACATATCCGCTGACTTGATATGACAGCCGTAAGGATCGCACTCTCGAGAACCTTGCTGGAAACAATGTCAAACTCACAGCGGATGATCTCAAGCAAGTCAACGAAGTCATCGATAATGCTACGTTTGTCGGAAACAGATATCCTGGAGATCAAAAGGCGGCGTTCCTCTGGGGGTAATGTTTTACGGCACTGTGTTACATTCATCTTCGAAAGATGTAGACATCGAATGGATTCCCTGGTACAACGTGTATGGTAGACATGTGTACCCAATGGTGAATATAAATAGTGGTGCTAAACGGTTGGATGAGCTTGCAACCGGGTGTGCATGATGATGCGAGACGAAACTCAAATCAAAGAATCAACCTTTGACTTATGCCATGCTTTAAACCTATGAAACAAAATAGCACTACCCTTCCGAGCTTGCAGAGAGGGGTGCTATTACGCCGTCCACTGCATAAACGCTTAGACAGGGAAAGCCTGAGCACGGACGGCCTTGATCCACGCGGAGTCACCGTCGGGGTACTGCCAAGTCATGACGCCAGCGTCTGCACAGGGTATGTCAGATGCTTGAAAGGTACGCTCAAGAAAGGGGCTTACCCCAACCTTTTCCCTTGGCGGTCTTGATGCACGTAGCAAGGTCACCGGTAGACATGAAGCCACCGTTGGTCTGGTCACCAGTCGTCGCGGGCTTGCCGATGACGAGCTTGTTGAAAGGAACGCCCGAAGCAGCTATCTCGAAGACGGAGGACTTGGGCCACTGACTCGAGGACTTGGTGAGAAGACCGTCGCAGGTGGTATATTCGGTGTATTCTACAATCGCATGCGTGTTAGCTATGCCAAAGATATCAGATGTATGGGAATGCTTACGGTTGTAGAACTGGATGTTATACCAGTCGATCATACTACCCACCGCCTTGTCAACCGCGAGGTAAGCCCCAGAAGGGTACGTGGGAGCACCACTAAACCAGGGCGCCACGGGCGCATGCGTGATGACGTACTGTGGCGAGGGCAGCTTCTTGCGCAGCTCAGTCGTGAACTTGATGAGCCAATTTTCCGCCGTGCCATCCTTCTTGTTCATCGCTTGGAAATCCTCGTAGTCGATGTCGACGCCATCCAAGCCATACTGGATTACCCACGTGGCGAGACTGTCCGCGGTCTTGACGGGGTCCGCGCCTGACGTTGTGGGCGCTTCGCTCGAGCCGAAGGCGGAGACCATGAGCTTAATCCCGGCCTTCTCGTATTCAGCCTTAGTAGATGTGCGGGTCGCTGCGTCCATCTGCGACCACATGACAGCCTGGTCCGCAGCGCCGGTGGACATCCAGAAGGATAGCAGGCTGTTCGAAACAAGCTCAGCACTTAGGTGAAGAATGAAAAAAAATAGTGCTTGACGACGTACAAGGTATTGTAACCGACAAGGTCAGTTGTCTTCGGGGGACCGGTCTCGCCGGAAATCCACTTGTCGCTGTATACGACCCAGTGAGGGGCAGCAGGCGCGCTGGCACGAGCCGTAAGACCGGTCTCGGTAGTGACGGGGAGAGCGGCCGCGCTGGTAGCAAGCAGCACGGTGAAGAGAAAAGTAATGAAGGTGCTGAAGGGGGTCATGGAGATTTGTCTGCGCTGCAGGTATCAAGAATCAAATGAATGTAAAGACAGTGAAGAAGGAAAAGAATGAGGCAGCCCAGAAAGGTGCCGGCGCTTGACTAGGGAATCACCGCTATCCGTACGCGCAACTTATACCAACCCCACGCATCCGGGCGAGGTGAAACCCGAAGCTTCGATGACGCGAGCCGAAGCCATGGTGTTGAGCGCACATTCGACTGCCAGCATAGCTCTAAGGATAGCCAGAATTGAACAGCATGGGCGGGAGAAGGGTTGGGTTCCTGGATGGCAACTGTAAGCAAGGACAACGATCAGCGCAGGTGCAGCTCATGGCGATATGCTCACTTGCCTCAACGAGTCTTCACACAGCGCTGAACATGTCGCCAAGGTAGACATACCGTCGTGGTAGCAACACGGCTGGAGTATTGCCGTTAGCAGTGAATATAACACCAATTACTCGTAGGCTTGTTGAAGGTGACTCCCTCGAACGTCTGCAGACTCGTAACCGTGCACAGCACCATGAAGCCTGACCCTTGTGTTTTTGAACGTAGTTACCCGAGGTGGAGCGACAAGTTAGCTTTCTTGCTGACCCAATCTGCCAGTTTGCCCTCCATTCATGTACAGGCTGGTATAGAGCTCAAGCGCTCAAGCGCCGGTGGCTCCTGAACGGAAACAATTGCCGCAGCGAGTGACGCCATGCGCACAGTACACCTGGCCATACGGGCCGTTCGATACAACACATGGCGGTCAGCGCACCGCGGCACTTGCGGATCAAGACTCTCCCTTTTGCCAAGAAAGAGTTCCGAACCCAGGAGTTCCCCAGATTCAACGGCAAGGGGCGATGGGCTGACCAACAACGATGTCTGAACACTGAATTAGTGCGCGTCACAGCGTCGCCCACGCTTGCAGCCGACGTGCGCTGTTAAAGACGCAGTTCCTAATGGACAGGCCTCATCTGCCCGGGTTCTTCGCCAAGCCGATGATTGTCCACGCGGTGAGATTTTCCACTTGGAGAGGTTCCCGGAGAGCTCCTCCTCTCGGGCTTGAAAACGCTCTTGGCTTAGAGCATCGCCGGGAAGAATACTCCCAGTACTTGATGACAACGAAGGGAAGACCATACCTCCCATTGGGATATGGAGTCGAAGGGTAACTTGATGTTGTTAACTGTATGAGCGACTGTCTAAGTTAGATGCAAGGCAGCGTTGAATATGTTCACGAATTGCGTGAACGGCCGACAGTGAGATTCACCATAACATATGAACGAAAATTGTAGGCCACACACGTCGCCTCTCATCGACCCCTCACACCTCTGCGGGAACGAGCATACAAACACAATCGACTTCTCCTTAGACACATGCTTCTTCCGGGAGGTTCGATGTACAGCTCGACGAACGAGATCGGCTCGCAGGCTTTAGTGACCGGGATGATCTTGTATGAGACAATGTCACACAACGGCCTCTTGAGAGTCGTTGTGCCGCTCAGCAGCATCTATAACAACAAACTTGTAAACCATGACTGGCGCGGTGGGCGGGAGGCATGATGTGCAAACATGGGACGTTCGGCGGCTGTGCGGGGGACGGATAGTTGTGCCACGTGGTAAATCGGCTATAATGAGGCCGTTGAACCGAAGCGCGAATCACCCGAGGTTTGTACTGGTTGCATACTGATGCGCGAGTGTCGCGGACTCACGGTCCCTTGGCTTAATCCCATCGTCGACAAATTGGTTCCAGCTATAAACTTCTGTGATTAAAGTACTATTTCTCATATCGTACAATCCGATAAATAATATCTGTCCACCTCTCCGCTTCTTCTTCTTCTTCCCACCTACAGTCCTATTGTTGGGAGATGAATAAAAGACATCATGTCACTCCCGACATGTCCGAGACGTCGGATACCTGGGCACTGCCCAGACATGCGTAGAAACTGCGCATGAGGCTCCTGTGTGGAGCGATTACTAAGAAAAGCTCCTAAAAAGTAAATAGAAGCCCCTGAACATGATCCGATGCCAATCCGAGCAGACAAGTCCAAGAGACTAGTAATATATTAGCAATCCGTAGAGGAGAGTACTCCTAATAGCCAATACAAACGAAAGACTAGTATAAAAGTAGTCTAGAAGTGAAGCAAAACTTTACCAGCGCAGACACCTCACATCCGCGCGAACCCAAAAGGTTATGAGCCCCGCACGCTTGTAGCTGCATCTTCATTCTCCATGTCTTCTACCCCGTCCCACTCCGACTCGAGCAACGACGACGAACGTGGTCCATCTCCGTCAACCACGCCAAAGAAGACTACGGCCTTAACCGGCCCGAAGAAGGCCGTGATCGCAACGGCATCAACATCGAGGGCAGCGGCTCCCGCAGCCAAGACCGCCAAGCCGGCTACCACCGACAAGGGCAAACAGCCCGCGCACCCCACCATGAGCACGCGCAGAAACCCGGCCCCACAGATTGCACTGCCGATCGCCGAACCTATGGACGACGACGCCGCCGCTCCACAGCCGCCGGTCCGCCCTCCTCTCGATCACTCGGGCAAGGTCCAAGTGGCCGTCCCGTTAAAGAAATCAGACCCGTACGAGGTCATGGTCGCGTGCCTACAGAGCCAATACCAAAAGGTCACGGCAATGTCGGGCACCGACAAGCTCCGAAAAACAAAGGAGAATGGCAACAACTGGTGGTCCTGGAAACGACGTGCGACCAGCATGTTCGAGGTCACCGGGTGCCTGAAAATAGCCAATGGTGATTGGCCGGTCACGCTTTGTCGGACCGA